GATTCACTTATCACAGGAGTTCCAAAGTCGGAGAAACTTGTCATTCTTGGGGACTTCAACGCCAGTAATAGAATGTAACCTGGAAAATTGACACACTTGACTTGGGGATTCAACTCGACACAAATATTTTAGTACAATACCAGGATCTAAGAACAAGTCGCGAACTATTTTATTAAGAAAAGGATTTTAAAATGAAACAAACTTGAGACCAAACTTAAATATGAAAAACTGATAACCATAAACTAAAAGAAAAACCCTAAAACCTATAAGAATAAACTATAACCAACACAGGGTGTCAATATAATGGACCTTAAATGCACTCTGACTGAAACCTAAGAATAAAAAATGACAAGAAAAGAAAGAATACAATTGTAACGGGCCGAGCAGACTGGGGCGTGGCGGGGCTACTAATTAAAACAACCAAAGAAAACACACAGTGAGCAAGACAGAATTCGGGGGCGCCTCCCAGATTTTAGTTTGATAATATACGCAATAACTATTTACAAAGATAAACCAAGAGTAAATTAATAAAAGCAGATAAATATAATATCGGTTGAAACTTACAACTATAAGACCAGTGCAGTGGCGTGGCTGGAGGAGAGCGCACAGCAAACGGAACCTCAACGTAACAGTGCGATAAAGCAAATAAAAGAATGACCAACGCCCAATTGCGCGCACCGGTCTTATATACCCGTAAGGTGCACCCGACCAGAAAAGGTATTAAAGGAATGCAAGATATGTTTGGAGCTTAACCGCTGTGTTGCACGTGGCGAACAGAGTCTTTGTTACACCACCTCCTGCTCCAAAAAGACACGTCCCGTGTCTGTGCAACAAAAATTTAGCAATTATTACAAAAAGTGGGACCTAAAGAACTTGTATTAATTTTATAATTTCAAATATATAATTCTTCAATAATCATTAAACATCTTTGATTATCAAGTAAAAGTCCATAAACTGCTTTTAAAGTTTCTTTGTTTATAAATGAAACTCAATTTTCCAATTCTTAACTTTTAGCAATGTCATAAAAACGTCGTAAATCTTTCATCAATTCCATAATTAAATTACCTTTTAACGTTTAAATATGTCTAGGAATTTTTTAGTTTTTCCCTAAAATTCCATTATCAAACGTTTTATGGTTTTGTTTTTTCTTCTTCAATTAAATCTTTGATATTATCAATATCGGCATATTTTGAAAACACTTGTTCAACTTGTTGTTTTTTTTCCAAAAGTTTAACGAAAATATACTAGAAAACAATTACATGGGTCAACTAAAATTTACTCAGTAATAACACAAAAATCTCATGGTGTGCTCTACAGATGTTAACATTCCAAATTCACCGTAATGTTGCTGTTTTTGTTTTTTTGTTTTTTTTACACAATGATTAATGGTACGGTTTTACACAGGATCTCTAATGACTTGGAACAGTTAAACAAGATTTATCACAATAAAAGATACAGAGAACAGGGAATTTAAGTTACAAAGTCTCTCATCCAGTTGGGAGGTCGCGTTACTCGTCCAGATCGGGTCCGACGATGACAGAATGTGTTGTCCTCTTGAGTTGGATCCCCGGTTGTAGTGTCCCCAACGACTTGGCCAAAATCGTCAGAGTCAGTCCAGCTTGCGAATTCTCCATCGGTAGTTCCGGACCAACCGATTGGCTGTCTGTCAGCCTGAGTTTCGCCCTGGATCACGGGATTGTCGCCTTCCCTCAGAGTGCACGGCTTCAGTCTGTCAAAGTGGGCGAGTAGTACTCAGTACTTGGACTAGGCAAGGGCGGATCCAGAACACAATTTGGGGGGGGGGGGCAAAAAAATTTTGGTCCCCCAAAAAGTGGGTCAAAAAAATTACGGCGTGGGGTTCGGGGCCCGCTTAAGGGCCCCGAAATTTTTTTGGATTCTAGATGCTCTGTGGTGCGATCTGAGGCAATTTCTGATCACTTTAACCAATGTTTTTTGAGGAAAAGATGGTGGTGTACTCATTGCCTGCCTTTATTGCGATGTCACATAAAAAAAAAAAAAATTTGTTTCGTTTTTTTTTTGGGGGGGGGGGCCATGGCCCCCTTTGGCCCCCCCCCCCCCCCCCCCCCCTGGATCCGCCCTTGGGACTAGGTAGTTCGCGTCAGAAAACTTCTTGAGAACTTTGCAAGGTCCCTTCCACTGACTTCTGAGCTTTGGAGAGAGTCCGATGTATTTCGCCGGGCAGAACAGCCACACGCTTTCTCCAGGCTTGTATGGACTTCCATACAAACGACTGTCATACAGTTTCTTGTGTCGTTTCTGCTGCCCGTCAACATGCTGTCTCGCCACCTCAAAGGCCTCATCTAACCTTGTCTTGACCTCCATAGCGTAGGACTCGGGTCGCTGTACTTTTGCGTCTGGTACTGGACCTGCAAGTATATCTACAGGCAAATTAATCTCCCTCCCAAATACTAAACTATTTGGGGTAGCTCCTGTGGTTTCTTGTTGAGATGCCCTGTATGCCATTAATTCATATGGTAAATGCTGATCCCAGTCACTTTGATCCTTGCTACAATACATGCTAAGCATTATTTGTAATGTTCGATTAAAACGTTCCACTAGACCATCTGACTGAGGGTGGTAAGCAGTGGTTGAGTTTTATCAATTTCCAGTAACTGGCATAGTGTACTGAATAATTTCGACTCAAAGTTTGTACCTTGATCGCTATGAATTTGATTTGGCACGCCATATCTACAAATAAACTGTGTAACCAACACAATCGCTACAGTTTCAGCTTGTTGGTTTGGTAACGCATAGGCCTCAGCCCATTTGGTGAAGTAATCCATTATTACGAGTACATATGTATTACCATCTCTTGTAGCAGGAAAAGGACCCATGATATCCAGGGCTATGCGCTCGAATGGCGCGCCAGCTGGTGCTAACTGCAGAGGTGCTTTGTACTTTTGTTTGGGAGTTTTCCGCGCTTGACATAGTACTTCTTCTGAACCTTTATTAGGGTGCGTTTTTGACCAAGATGACCACCTGTACGGGTGTCATGACTTTGTTTCAATACCTCTTTTTGCAGACTGGACGGAACAACCAACTGAACATTGACTGACCTGTCTTTAAACTGATTGGAAAAAAAATCAATTCTCCAAGCAAATCATGTCATCTTTCAAAGATGAACCAAAAGTTATATAAAACAAAACTTGATAAATGTAAATTCTTCCAACCTGTAAAACTAGTCAAAGAAACTTAATTCCTATAAAACAAAAATACTCGTCCTTACTTCAAATATATTAAAAAGGTAAAAGAAATCATAATTGTGCAGAATCCAAATCCTGACCCATCATGGAACAGTAAAATCCCAATGCTTCAAAATTAAACTTTCACAAAAACTTTCCAAAAAAACAAACACTTTAGACCATAACTAAGTAAAAACCTTCCAAAAACTGCACAGGAAATCAAAATACATGTATGATAATACAGCATCAATGCCTTCTGAACTGGCATCTGTGTCCAACACATACTCATCCTCTGGCGAGGATTATGACAGGACTGGAGTTGTCTGCAGGCTCTGCAGCTCCTCCTTTAACTTAGTGAATGCCTCCTAACAGGCATCACTCCAAACAATGTCTTTAGACTTCGACATCAACGCATGCAGCGGACTGGCAATGTCTGCAAAGGCTTGGATAAACCTGCGATAACATGACGCAAGTCCCAGGAAGCTCCTAACTTCCTTCATTCACACTTGTTGGTACTGGCCACGTACTCTGCCACTGCTCTGACTTTCTCGGGATCCGTCGCTATCCCCTTGGCCGATACAATATGACCCAAGTATGCCACTGACCTCTGAAAAAGGTTACACTTGCTGGGTTTCAGCTTCAGCCCAGCCTGCCTCAAACGTGAGAACACAACACGGAGACGCTGAACCTCCTCATCGATTAATTGTCTTCCCAAATACAATCGCATCATCCAGATAAACCAACAAAATGTCCCACGGAGTCCAGACAACACATTTGTCCATCAGACGCTCGAATGTGGCTGGTGCATTTGCCAAGCCAAGTGGCATCACCCGAGTCCATCTATATAACCCGTTTCGTACCACGAAACTCAACTTCTGCTTTGCATCCTCATCCAAGGATACTTGCCAATACATGTATATCCTGAAGTCAAATCTAGGGTTGAGAACCATTGTGCTCCGGATAGGGCATTAAGCGTGTCATCAATTCTGGGGACGGGGTACGTACGCGTCCTTAATCGTGACGGAATTCACCCCCCTATAGTCCACACACAACCGCTTAGATCCATCCTTCTTCCTCACCAAAATAATATTGGCTACCCAGGGGCTATCTGAACTCTCGATCAACCCCTACGGTTAAATCTTTCAACAAAAATAAAACAAAACCACAAAATTAAATGAATATAACTCAAAAATAAACGAACAACTCAAAAATAAACGAATATAACTCAAAAATAAACGAACAACTCAAAAATATACGAACGTTTAATTTTGAGTTGTTCGTTTATTTTTGAGTTATATTCGTTAATTTTGTGGCTTTGTTTTATTTTTATTTTTTGGTCTTTTTTGCCCTTATGGCCGCCCATACAGTGCCAGGCTTTCATCATTTAAAAAAACTTTGTGTAGATAAATTAAAGTATTCTATCAATCCGCAGAATCAGGAACCCCTTTTGCCTGTAAAGAAGACACTTGCATTGTGTTGACCTTGTGTAGAGAATAAACAGCTTTAAAATATTTTTTATCACATATCTGAATGTTTTTACCCCCTAAAAATAGTTTAGCGGCTTTGCATATTTCGCGTTGATGAGTATGGAAGTGTAGATAGGACATGGTTAAAAATGAAACTAATTCGTACGTACGAATTACTAAACCGTACGCGGCGTACGAAATACTAATTCGAATTACTAAACCGTACGTACGAAATACTAATACGTATGGAAGTGTAGAGTGCACATGTGCATGATGAAAATCTAGTTTTTACCTACCTACCGTGCGAGGCGCACTTCCCCATCTCCGGCCGGCCGGCGCGGCTGCGCTGCGGCTCCCCAGTCACTTTTTCCAAGCGCACCGTTCTCTCACATATATCATACAATGCATGTCGGCTCTTTTATCTTTGACATGACGTGCATGAATGATGTAGTTCAACACTCAAGTAGGCCTAAGCTGTAGCCAAGCTGCTAAGTTTAAACTTAAGTTCCATCCTGCAAATCTCTTTAAGAAAATGAGTACGAGGCCACGTTTTATGGCGTTATGGCTTGTGTTTTTATCGTCACTGTATCTTCAAGGGGAGCCAGTGGACAGAGTAAGAAATGGAATTTGGAAGCTATTTTGCCATTTTGGAGAAAGAATTATCACTCTCAGTCTCACTCAGACATGACATTGACAATGAACAGATGAACATATCAGGTGTTACATATGGAAGTGTAGATAGGACATGGTTAAAAATAAAACTAATTCGTACGTACGAATTACTAAACCGTACGTACGAATTACTAAACCGTACGTACGAATTACTAAATCGTACGTACGAAATAATTACTAATTCGTACGTACGATTTATTAATTCGTACGTACGGATTATTAATTCGTACGTACGGTTTATTAATTCGTACGTACGGTTTAGCAATTCCAGTGGCGTAGCTAGCTGGAGTTACCCAGCCCTGAGTTTTATCATTGGGTTGTCTAATAGACAACCCAATGATAAAACTCAGGGCTGGGTAGCCCCATAAATGTGGCCTATTTAATACTGGACTGCCTCCGTAAACATAGGCCACACGTCCACATGTACAAAAATCGTGTCGACTTTGCCAAATTTTGATTTTCACATTTAGGCTTAGTTTGTAGGATTTTTTTGCTTTAGAAGCATACTCACCCACTTTTATAAGCTAGTCAGAAAGTGCTGCCTTTGTCAGATGTCTAATTTTTGTGAAATTTCATGTTGAAATTTTGATACGCAAACGTGTAAAAATGAATCTGGAAATTTCATGAAAAATATACATCTGAAAAAGGCAGCACTTTCTGATTAGCCTATAAAGAGGGTGAGTATGCTTCTAAAGCAAAACAAACCTACAAACTAAGCCTTAATGTGAAAATCAAAATTTGGCAAAGTCGACACGATTTTTGTACATGTGGATGTGTGGCCTATGTTCACGGAGGCAGTCCAGTAAATAGGCCACATTTATGGGGCTAAGGGCTGGGTAACTCCAGCTATGGCGTAGCCAGGAATTTTCCCGTGGGGGGGGGGGGGGGGGCCGCCGGGGGGGGGGGGGGGGGCTGGAACATTTCAGGTTGTGGGGGCGTCATGTAGATCAATGATAATTTTTTTAGAAACTCAAAATATCAGTGGGGGGGGGGGGGACTTGGGGGGGGGGGGAGTGACAAGGTTTCATGGGGGGGCTGTCGCAGTGGCATAGCCACGGGGGGGGGGGGGGGGGGGGGGGGGGGCGTGGGGGTGACAGCCCCCCCCCCATGAAACCGTGTTTCCCCCTGTCACCCCCCTGAGATTTTGAGTTTCTAAAAAAGTTATCATTGATCTACATGACACCCCCCATGAAATGTTCCAGCCCCCCAGCAGCGGCCCTCCCCCCCCCCTTAACTGAAAAATTCCTGGCTACGCCACTACCCCCACGGCCCCCCCCCTCCCGTGGCTACGCCACTGAGTAATTCGTACGTACGAATTAGTAATTTGTACGTACGAATTAGTATTTCGTACGTACGGTTTAGTAATTCGTGTGTACGATTTAGTAATTCGTACGTACGGTTTAGTAATTCGTACGTACGGATTAGTAATTCGTACGTACGAATTAGTATTTCGTACGTACGAATTAGTATTTCGTACATACGGTTTAGTAATTCGTACGTACGAATTAGTTTTATTTTTAACCATGTCCTATCTACACTTCCATAGTTACATATCAGAAAAAAAACAAGACAGTTTTCGTGATTATATTATCAGTGATGGATGTACAGTGTACAGAAGTAACACTGGCAATTTGTTTTACTCCTTTAGTTGATTATGATGTACGTCTCGTGGGCGGTGACAATGAACTGGAGGGCCGAGTGGAGGTGTACATAGACGGCGTTTGGGGAACCATCTGTGATGATGATTGGGACATGAGAGAGGCTTCTGTGGTGTGCCGTCAGCTCGGATTCGAGAAGGCCGTAGCGGCGATCGAATCGGCAAAGTTTGGCTGGGGGAGCGGCGTTATCGCTTTGGACGACATGGCATGCACTGGCTTAGAATCCAACCTTGGAGAATGCAAAGCTTCAAATAAAATTGCAAACTGCTTCCATAGCGAAGACGCGGGAGTTCAATGCGGTGGTGGCACGACGGATCCAAATGGAGAGGGTATGCACTAGGGCGTCCTTGCACTTTAAAATAGAGCTTTTGCCGATCGAGTACCCTCCTAGTTTTATAACCCAAAGTAATATGTCTGTTAGTATGTTAAGGAAAAGTTTCAAAATCAGACAAGCCCAATTTTGTGTAGACCTCACACTCAGTGACCAAAGAATGGCCAATGGGCACAAAGCCTGAGCTTCTTTACATCAGCGTCAGGCGTCATCGGTACTGCATTCAAATGGCTAGTCCAAGTGGTCACCCCACCTCTCCCTTTTTAAAAGGGGGCGGGGGGGGGGGGGGGGGTCTATAGCCAAGTAATTCGGACTCGCTTGATTCATTGTACAGGTAAACATGGCTGGTTTGATACCTAGACTTTTTGACCAATATGTACAGTTGGTTGTACATAAGGCCAAAAAAAAATATAAGTCGGTCTCTGGTCAGCGCGCGCGTCGATTTTAACCATGCACGTCAATCACTTTTTTTCCAAAATGTTCCGCGGTAGCTCCGACAGCGCCTCTATTGCCACACCTCCTCAATTTTTTTTTACCAAAGAGCACCAAGGAATGGGAAATTGCACCAAGGCAAATGATCGAAAGCACAAGGCAAATGATTGAAAGCACCAAGGCAAATTATGGAGGACACCAATGTACACGAGGACACCAAAAAGCAAAATAGTACCCCACCTTGTCTGTACAATCCAAGCTTGAAGGAAAAAAAAAAAAAAGCAAAAAAAAAAAAAAGCCGCGTCCCCGCGTCAATTCCGGAACTTTGGTCTGACCAGAGACCGAATATTTTTTTTTTTGGCCTAACTGTCTATAGATCCACATCTTCGTCATTTCATGCCAAGAAAACCGGAATAAAGTGCTTGCCTGATGGGCCATATTGGCTTCTGACAGATATTAATCTTTTGCTACAATGATAATAATAATAATCATACCGGAGAATCCACCAACAAATAGGTATTCAAGGTGCTGGAAATTATGTCTATTAATAAAGACAGATAAATGGAGTTTATGAGAAAATATAGGGGGCTAGGGTAATTCCATTTAGTGGAAACGGGAGACGGTGCTTTTTGACCCCTTTGTAGAGCTCCTGTGGGGAGAAACATGCACTAGTTTGCGCACGTATGGCCCGAAGTACGACGACTATATTTTAAAGGTATAGTCCATCATTTGTAATTTGTGCATTTTGTTCGTTTGAAGCAACAAAATTGCTCAAAATCCAAAGAAGGGTGCTGAACAACTAACCTGATGAAGTTTCATCTCAGCTTCAGCTGTATATTTTGAGAAAAACAACATTCTAGGATCTCGATTTCAAATCAAAAGTTGCTGAATCATGTTTTCAATTGCGCCTTAATTCAGCGTCCTAGACACGTTCTCACTAGCCAATTGCAGCTACGCGATGTCGCACACCGATCCGACGAATTATATAGCAACCACGCACGCGTGTGCGTCGTGTCAAGGCTTGCGCGCGCTTCGCCGAATAAAAAAGCGAACTACTAACGGAAATTTCCAACGGTGCTTTTTAAGACGCACCATTGGAAAGGCCTTCTTTCGTTGATTTCTTCAACATGACAGCTTGCCAGAAAGAATAATTTCACAGGGAGTTAAGTCCCCTTACTTTCTTTCAACCAAGTATGTTTTTCAACAATAATCACGCCAGTTACTTTTTGGATAGCTGCCAATGATGGACTCTGGCTTTAAATGCACGCAAGCCCATTGGATTGCTGTCCTCGTTTCAGTTTGAGCCATCATAAGCAATGCACTGGAATGTCCCTCCCTGTGATCACCCCAAACTCTCCTTAGGCAACTGGGGAGGGTTTGCTTTAACACGCAGGGAGTTGAAAATATTCCCTGTTTTTTCCCTCCTAAGTTTTAGATCGTTACAAGATCAGACTAGTCAATGGGGGCAGCCCCATGCAAGGCAGAGTGGAGGTATACGATGGGCGTTGGGGACCCGTTTGCGATAGCCACTGGGACATGGACGATGCTCAAGTGGTGTGTAGGCAGCTTGGTTACGGAGACGCGGTCAATGCGTGGAAGGGCATGGACCTTCAAGGCTCTAAGTGGTTTCTGGGACACATTGTGTACAATGTGCAATGTCTAGGTGATGAGAATTACCTTCAGGACTGCCAGCTGTCCGAAACTGGATCCTGCCCCTATGACCACAACGCCGGCGTCACCTGCAGTGGGACAGATCCAGGTATCAAGAGTTTTCTTTGTAGGTTGGATTTCAAACACTCCTGCAGCATATCAAATAGGTGAAAATTGAGCACTTCATACTATTGTAATTATTCTATAATTCTGGGCAATAGACCCAAGGATTTCTCAAAAGCGCCCTAGGCACCAGAGTTATAATGACTCAAGTCCGACTGCAATCAACATTTTTGGTGACTCGACTCAACTCGAGTCCTTATGGGTAAATGACTCGTCTCGACTCGACTCGAGTCACTGCAAGCCAATGACTCGACTCGACTTGAGTCCCTCATCAAAAGACTCGACTCGACTCGAGCGAATGCTAAGAAGACTCGAGTCCCAAAAATAAAAGCAAAATTTTGCGAAAAAGTATTTGCAATGACTTATGGTGCGAATTTTATGTTCATTTTCAAAAATCTAGCATGTCACAGACTCCCACCTCATGGTTCTGGAACGCACAAAATACTACTCAGGAACCAGATTTTAAACACATTTTCCGATACGGTGTTACGTCATTGGCTTTGGGCGATTTCTTATAAAGCCTCTTGGATTCGAACTGTTATACATTTTGGAAAATAGTGTTAAAATATTCGTGACTCGGATTGACTCGGCTAAATATTTGACTTGACTCGACTCGACTCGACCTTCTTTAAAATGGCTCGACTCGACTCGAGTCACAAAAATCAGTGACTCGTTACAACTCTGCTAGGCACTGTAGCTTACAAGCCTGAAGAAACCTGTAGAGAGGAGGCAATAAACAATGCTGTTCAGTTTTAGAGGTGGGAGGAAAACACCCTGAAGGGTATTTTTTTGGGGGAAGCCATGGAATCAGGTAAGGAAAATCACCCGCTATGCTTTCGAAAATAAGCCTCCGCCCGTAACCCCCGCCCTGCAAACAGGACGCTGGGATACTCTGATGAGCTTCACAGAATCTTGTGAAGGAAGTGGCGTAAGACCTATGTATAAAGCATCTGGCAGTTAGACAATGTGCGCAAATGCTATATCGGGGGGGGGGGGGGGGGGGGGGGGGTTACGATCAAAATAAGCCCTGCACTTAAGTCGCGCTACTCATTTCCGCTACAATTTAAATTTTGCTTGCTTAAAAAAAAAATTGTCTGCGTTCATTTGTTCATATATTCACGGCGGCTTCAAACATTGTGTACTGGCCGCACAAAAAAAGTGACAGGATCTTTGAAATAAACCATGATTCAACCGCACTTTTTCCGTACGATTCTACCTTGATGTCATGTATATGAACATGTACGTAGGCATTCGCTATGAAAAGCACATGCTGTTTTGTGCTGTGTAGATCCAGCGCGATGTACAAAAGTGCCATGCACAGAGCTCTGTGATCACACCATTTGCGATCAAGGGGTGTTCTTTCTTAAGTACAATTTACCAGCATTGCCACTGCTTCCAAAAATACAAGTAATACTTTTTGTACAGTCCAAAACATTTTCTTGTTCGAAAATAAGTTCTTCAACATCACAAGATAATTTATGTAAAGAATTTGTTCCAGAAACGAGGTGAAACTCCACACAAAAAAAGATTGAAGTACCCCTTACCTTATCAATGGATGATCCATCCATTAAACGACAATTTGTTGAATTTCTTTCGAAGAAAGTAGAGATCGAAAAGTGGCATTTTTCACGTTACTGATCATTGCATGTACATATAAATGTTCAAGCGATTTGTTCTCGCAGTTTAAATACTTTGGACAAAACATTGCGGAACTAGTACATGTAGGTTACATCTGAAAGCATCCTTGCAACAGTTTACATACGTCATAAAAACTGGTACAATCCCTTTTCAGAAATAAGACAATAAAAAAATGCAGATGAATATACATGGTTTTTAACTTTGAGTACAGAAGAAACTTTATAAAAGCAATAGTACATTTGAAACAAGTAAATAAAACATCTATATTCTCCTCAAAATTCAAAAACTGCTGCTCCAAAAATTCAGAGGAAAGTGGCCAGGAATCGCCTCAGATGGCACCACAGAGCATCTAGAATCCAAAATTTTCCCCGGACCCCAAACCAAAAGGGCTTTGTGCTCCAGGCTCCAAGTAGTCCTGGGAGCAAACTGCCTCTACGCTATAATTTCACCACCCTGATTAAAACACTGCCTGGCAGGAATCGAACCCGTCTGTAGCAGGAAAGGACCACTGCGCAAACCTGACTCCCAATGCTTATTTTACTTACTTTCTATTTCTGATATTTTTTTTTTTTTGGCTGTCTTTCCAGAGAACGGCAAAGTTCAACTTGTGCATGGCGGGGAGGAGTCAGCAGGTCATGTCGTTATTTACTTTGAAGGGGAGTTGGGAACAATCTGTGATATTGGCTGGACCTGGGTCAACAGCGATGTGCTCTGCAAAGAACTTGGATTTGTCGGTTCCGAAGAGTATGGTTGGTTACTTTTCCACGTTTCATTATTTTGAATTCCAGAAATTTGTGCATCCTGAATGGAGAGTAAGCAAGACAACAATTATGTTGGTAAAGTGCAAAACCCAATTCCAATTTTCACAGTTCGTCGCAATTGCAAATGATTTTCTTTAAATACTTTTAGTTTTCTTCTCGATCTGGCTTGTTTTGTGCCCAGGCAGGACTGACGAAATACGTCAAGGTTGTGTTGGCCGTTGTGCACGGCCTATTGTTGTACAATTTTCACTCCGGTGCACACCTCGGAGGGTTGAAACATACGAGGTTTCGACTAGAAATGTCTTACAAATACTGTTGAAATCATTCTTGGGAATCAGTGTTTGGGGCATTTGGCTGTTTATCAGAAGTTGGCTGGAAAATTTTGCATTTTGAAAGTTTCAAAATTTTCAGCAAAATTAAACCCGTCCCGAACTGGTTAAACCATTGCATTAACTGAATGGAAACTTGGCAATACACTTTGCGTCAAGTTAAAAGAGTGTTGTGTGTTGCAGCTGTTGTGGTTCAGGCGCATATTCCAAAAAACACTCACAACTTGAATTTGATCATGTGTAAAAATCAATGACATCTTCATGTGAGCTTCAGGTGCCGTTTACAATGCATTATAATGTCTTTCCTGGTGGGCTCCCCTGACTCCCTCTCTTTGTGACTGATGAGGGGGGGGGGGGGCAAGGGCGGATCCAGAACACCGTTTTTTTGGGGGGGGGCCCCAAAAAAATTTTAGTCCCCCAAAAAGTTTTTGAGGAAAAGATGGTGGTGTACTCATTGCCTGCCTTTATAGCGACGTCCCCCTGGATCCGCTCTTGGGGGGGGGGGGGGGGGGTTCAACTGTGCATAGCATCTGTTCACCACAGTGATCGTTTTGATCATGATCATGATGTCCCTGTAATTTCTGTTTTACTTTGCAGATGGCCACAAGGACTCCTCATTCCTTACAAATATCATGAAAGTCCAGTTGGAGAATGTCAATTGTGAAGGCGACGAGCAAAGACTCGTCCAGTGTAGTCATAGTGGCTGGGGCAACAGCGACTGTGATCATTCCAGAGATGTCTGGGTCCGATGCCTCCAGGAAAGCCCTGATCGTAAGAATATATCAACCCTCCTATGCAAACGTACTTTTGTGCAAAGTTGTCCTTTCAGTCAAAATCAATCAAGCGATTGTTTTTCAAAGGAGGCGTGACTAGCTGTGACTGTTTATGTAACTTGAGACGGCTATGCTTTGACTGCAGGCCAATTGCCTACTTTTGTCTGTTGACTGGTTTGACTAGTCACAGCGCTTGCTTGAAACTGAAAATGATCTGACTGCTGGTGACTAGCCTGTGTAAAAGGCATGGCAGGGGAATTTTTTTTTTGACTGTCTATAACTGTTCAGACAGCAGGAGGGTCAAAATCATGCACTGACTAGAGGCGACTCATACTCAGCATGAAAGTGTTGAAGCGAATTTCAGGACTTCGTTAATCAAGGATTTGTCCCAATAGCCCAAAACCCTACAATTATCACATCAGAAGTGCAATTGAACAAAGCTGTTTGTAATTGTTACTACTAGTGCAGGGCCAGTTGAAAATGTGCCTGTTCGGGAGGGGCAAGTTGAAAATGTGCCTGATCAGGAGGGGCAAATTGCTTGACCGCTGGTATAGGTTGCATTCTTGCAGAGTTTTTGAAAACTGCTCGTGCAAACAACGCACGCGATTCAATGGTGTTTTTTTCACAGGTGGAACGCACACTCACGTCAAAGTTTGTGCTAAGTTTGAAGTTCGACCGCCTACAATGGTCGCTCAGTCGACTGCAAAAATAATGTGCCCGTGCAGCCACCACGTACGTGTACATACGGAAACATGGTACGCAGTGCTATTCACCCATACTGGACAATGGTATCGCCCTACAATGCACGTGCGCGTGCCCGTCCTTTTTGCATTGTTTGCGTCATATTGAGCACGCGCGCTCTTGCTTTAACATGACGTAAACAATTGAAAAGAACGGCAGTGCGCGGAGTTCTAGGCTATATTCTGGCGCGCTAGGTCCCAGAAAATACTGCTTTTTTGCAGCTTTTTCGAGAACTGCTGGTCCAAACCAATTCAAACTTGGCACTGCACATTCTGTTGTCCCGAGCAATACACCCGCCGATTTTCAACTTCATACGGTGCCCGGTTCTGGAGATAATCGGCAGACAGACAGACAGACAGACAGCATATTGAGTTGTTCGTCCCATTCATTGTTTGGATAGCCGACAGAGGGGGCTATTTATTTGTACAGCGCTCACTATGGATACGCACCTTTAGCCAATCAGGAGTACGCGCGTATCACGCGCGCGATCGATCGATGTCAACGCGACGTGTGCACGTGGCTAGATTGTGCATGTAAACAGACGGAAATTCGAGACAAAACCATGTTCTTTTACACAAATCTGAACGATCCATATATTCTTAGACAATGCACTTGTAAAATAGGACCTACACAGCCTTCTTGGAAAGTCGGCGAACAAATTGACAACACGGAAAGTGCAGTAATTTCCAATAAATGTGAGTGTTTGTCGACCGTTTCATTGTTTCCAGTGACCGTTACCATACATCAGTTGGGCGTATGTCGTCATATGATAATTCCATTATACTTCAGGGAGGATAGTATTACCTGAAGCGCGCAAACTTAGGCCTAGCCTACGCCTGATAACAAAAAAAAACAGGCCATAGGCCTATGAACAGCTTTGAAAATGTTTCACATCGTGGAGCATGCAATATTATCTAAATTAAACTTTATGTAGAAATAGTTGGCAGTATTATTTTCTAAAAATAAAACCTTGAAAGAAATGAAACAGTCCAGTTGACCAAATATGGTAACGGAATTCCCCGTGGCGTACCGCTACCAAAGTTAAAACGCTGAACTTCTGAAGTTCTTTTGAAAGTAAAAAGTACTAACACAAAATTTTCATACTGAACTTTTATTAAAATATAATTTGAATATTTGTGAACTATTCTTTCATATTCCGAGTGAGCAAATTGCATAACAAGGTTCAATGGGACACGGCACGTCGTGAAAGAGCAGTGTTGTGATTCGCTTGAACGAAGACCCATAGAGAATGCGCGTATTTCGGTTGTAACATGCATGTCGAACTTCAAACATAAAAGTACTTACACAAAATTTTCCGAGTTCGATAGGATATTTTCACGACATGATCTTGAATAAATGTAGTTTCAGATACCGAGTGAGCAAATTGTGCCAAGTACTTCAAATGAGCGGTGTAGAGTGATTTCAAAATGACACAGCGTACTCAGCATCAAATTCTACACGCATTTCTCTGTTCTGCCGTTGGCGGCGCCCCCAATGAGACGCTTCAACTCGATATGACAGAGATTCCTTGAATTGTAGTATAGATATTCACAGTCTGTGAAAAAGCTTTAATTGTTCCTATGCGTGGCCCAATCACGCTGCGCTTTATTTTGCACTAACTGTGTCTCAAGACTTTAACTGGTGTGAAAACGTAGCTTGAAATGTCTCTTTGGTTGTATTCTCTATCATGTACTTCTTTGAGTGCAAAATAACTTGCCATAATCAGACGGAATGTGCAATTAACATTGAGCTAATATACTGCCCCTGGTCTCCAGCTTGTGTAATTTAAAGACAATATATCTCCTTGACGCTCATTGAGTTAAAGATGTACCGTATGTACACCCTGAAAGAGAGACTTCTGTTCCTAAATTGTTAATTTTCTAGCGTTACAATAGTTATTCAGAATGGGGCATTGACTTGAACAGATTGGCTCATGTTTTGTGGACAAAGAAACTTGACAAGTGATGAATTATTTACGACCCAAAAATACTTCACCTTGTGCTAGGTAGACCGGTTCCCAGCCCCCTTTCAGAATTGAAAATGCGGGGACCAGAAACCAGGCTACTCACAGGGTTGATCTAAAAATCTGGAAAAAGCAAACCCCCCCCCCCAAAAAAAAAGGAGAAAAACAATATTTGTGAGGTTTTGTTAGTGCCCAGAATATAACAAAAGTTACGCCATGCCAGAAAAAAAAATGAATTTGTTGAAGATCACGACGGAATTTCTAAGAATTGATCTTATGATTTCTGCAATTTTCACAGCTCCCTTGCTATCACCTAGTGAAATTGCTAGTGTTCTGGTTGGAAGCATTGCCGTTTTCCTCTTGCTATTGTGCTTCTGCGTAGGATGCTTAACGGCCAAAAAATCCAGCACAGCGACGCAGGTGAGATTCGCCATCCCGGTCAAGAAATATTAGCTTTGGTTTGGTGTAGTGACATGTATATCAGGCTTCTGCATCTATGGTGCAATTAATTGTACAGTAAACTCCGGCTAAGACGGCACTCTCGGGACCAGAGAATTTGTGACGACTTACGCGAATGTCAGCTTCTGCTGCAAGTCGTCATTTTGCCGACTTACACAAATACACAAATTTAATCACGGGGTGAAAAAAATAGATTGAATTAATGGCCTATATGCGCATCTGTATCTGGATCATGCAAACAAGGCTTTGATTTACCCTGGTTTATTTCTACATCCATGGTTGATTCCAGCAAATATATCCTCAATGTTTATCATCACAAACAGGCTGTGGTATTGATTACAGAAAGTCATGCATGTACATGTACGTACGTACGTACGAAGCAAGGACGGCGCGGCCGGCTAGCGAGCGGTAACAGTGAAATTGGTACGATATACAGATCGCTTGCATACTGTACATGTAGCGTACATTGTGCACGTACGTACGTGTACAGTCACAAATTAAATGTGTGCATGGTACTGGTACAATAAGGGGACCCCCTAAATGAACAGAGCGCATTTGTGCAGTCGAGAGGGGGTACTGGTATTGATGTGCTATCGGGAAAACCCCTTTTTGATCGCGCACATGTAAGCGAACGATGCACACAATGTACAGACTGTGCATGAAACAGTACACACGTGCGATTAGTGTACACGTGCTAGCCGATGCATCAATCACGGGCCGTGCCATTGATAAACAGATGTCAGTTAGCAGTGTGTGGGACTTTTCACTCGACACTTCTTGCAAATCACAGAGCACGATGCCGACTTATACAGAGGGATTTTTGTGGTTTTGAGGAAATGGGACTGAAAGTAACACGCCGACATAGGTGAAATGGCGGCTTACAAAGGCCGACTTAGAAATGAAAATGTCAGTGGAAATGCATTAAAGACAATCGGGACTTTCGTCAGATGGCCGATTTAAGCGATATGACGGTTTATACGATGTCGGTTTAGCCAGAGTTTACTGTATGTCCTTACTTCTTTGGCCAATTTTTTTTTGCTGGGGAAGCTTTCTAAATCTACCACAGTCCAGCACTGTGCAGTAAATCAATGACACATCCATGGCACTTAAAACATTCATAGTATTCACTGAGCTAATACCATAAGATTGTGTACATTTGTTCGCATTGCTACTCAGCGTTTGCACAATTGCCACGGCAGGCCATAACTTATGGCCACACTTTCAGGACTGTCACTAATTCCAAATTTCTGGTTCAAGATAGTTTTTTCTACACCTTTAATATGAGAAGTAATTTTTGTTTTAGAGACAGGGTTCAGCGACGGCCTATTCCCAAGTTCCTCCTGGTGAGACTGTCGAAGCACCTCCCACGGTGCACTATCACCCTACGCAGCAGTCAGTGACTATAGGGGAGGCGGCATCGCCATCAGCTCCACCCTCAGCTCCACCCTCTTCGTCAGCTGACGAAGCCCCGCCAGCATATGATGCCGTCATGGCACGCCCAACCCACTTCCCCAAAGTACCGACAGATTCAGTGCATGGTGGCAATCAACCTGTTGCGTTGACACACCCGGCAGTCTACCCTGGACCTATAGAGCTGACCCATCCTCCAAGCCTGATGCACCCATCACCCCCACCCTATCAGCCCCCCTTGAGCACCCTCCCCTGAGGCTCCTGCTTACCAAGAAGCTCATAGTACCCACAACCACCAAGTCAGGTTCCTTCAGCACCCAGGCTATCCTGGGCCCCCTGAGCACCCTATCCTGGGCCCCTTAATTGACCCAAACCCTTCCAGGCATTGTGGCTAGAAACCCCACCAGGCGCCAACACAGCAACATGCAACACTTGCCTAAATGACAAGTTAGTCTGACCCCTGAGCTCCCTATGCTGGACTTCTAGACCACGTTTTACATTCAGCGTCCTAGCAGTATACACCAGCACCCAGTCATGCCCTATTAAAAGCCCTAACCTGGTCCACCCATTTTCCCTTTTATAGCCTGCAACACCCATCAGCACCCAGTCAGGTCCCCTTAGCCCCTGGCCCTTCCCATGCCCATTGATGACCCTCCAATCCCTGTCTTGGCCCTCTTCACCCATCTGTACCTTTAGCAAGCTTGTCACTCCCAACCTAGTTAGCTTCACTAAAAACCCTCCCCACCTAGGCTTTTAAATCTGTCTTTAGACCCACAATGCCAGCTTGCAGCCCTATCCTCACCTAAAACGTCTACTCCCCTAGTGATCTTGTTCTGCTGCCAAGTGAAAAACTTAAAATTCTATGCACTTTGTTGTTTGAATTTCTGAAATATTTTGGAAATTAAAGAAAAGGCTGAACAATTAAGTCATTCTCAACTCAACTGATAAATGCCTGAAAAGGGGTTGTGATGATCTATCTATGAAATAATCTTGTTGTCTTTCGGAGTATTTGTGGTAATGAAGTACTAGATTCTAACTAGAGATAAAAGTCAGTGGCCAAGTGCTGGCTATTCTGTATAATGGTTAACTAAAATCTCATTTAAAAAAATGTTGAAAGTACTCGATCTACTTTTTAAAAGTATTTACAAAACTTCAGCTATAACCTTGCCATATTTAAGATTTTTTTAAGATTTAAGGGGGGGGGGTGCTTGCCCCCCTCCCCCTGGTAAAGCGAAAAAAAGAACAGAAAAAGAGGCGCCAAGTCATGTGTAAATTTATTCGGGGGGGGGGGAGCAAAATATCCCTGCCCCCCCTCTCTAAAACTGATATATCGAGAATAGGTTGAGAAATACAGGAATTTTTTTGGAAAAAAACATGTTTTGCCCCCTCTAGAAAAACATCCTGGCGACTGGCTCCAGTCAAGCACTGTTAATCTGCTAAGGCAGTGGAGGACGTTGTCAACAATGTGAATTAAATCCCCTTTTGGGAACTTTGGGTGCCTTACCAGGGGCCAATGTCATGATACTTTGTCTGATCTTGCGGCTCACCTTAGGACTTTAGATAAGTGCCTGCTCTAAGATCGATCTCAGCTAAGACGCGTCCAAAGACCGATTGCACTTAAAGCAACACACATCAAAACTACCAATTTGACAGCTGTTTCATGTTTGTTTTTCCCGCTTGACGAAACAGTGGTTGAAAAGAAATGCGCAAAACCAATTTCCCGCGTGCGTGCATAGAACACGAACTTGGGCCAGAAATAAATACATTTCACACGCAATGTAGTTCACAAGACACGATAAAGTCATTCTTGCTCCCCGTTTCATCACTCTATTTTTTAAAAGTCGACCAAGTGTTGGCGTAGGCTATAATTTAATTTGATTAATAAGCTATTTTTATGAAAACTACACACGTATCAGAAACCTTTTCAAATCTGTTTCTGCAGCGGTTTTCTTCCTCGAAATTGTTACTCTAAGCCGACACTCGTCTTTAACGGCAATGGTTTTAATGCATGCATTACAGACCATTTGCTGCCATGCGGCCACTGAGAAATAAAAACAGTATATTTTGCATCTCAACTTGAAGATCCTGTGTTCCCCGGTCACACCTTTAAAAAGAGAATGTACACATAATGGTTTGGTCTCATTTCATTCATATTTGAGGCGGTTTCAGTTTTTCAGTGCTTGTATTATCTCATTTTTAACTGTAATTTTTGTATTGTTTATAACAGTACCCCAACTTGTTAGTAAACAGGGTGATATCAGAATAATCCCATGTCTCCGGGGTAGCCAAGTAGAAGGCAGGGCAAGACCATAAACTCTTGACATGTAAAGCATGTTATTTTAACATTTGAAACAGCAGGTTTTTAAAGTAAATGTTATTGCCAGTTATCATGGTTATGAGAGTATTTTGATGTGGTTTTTTTGATGTGAATAGTATTCCTTTTGCTGAAATATCGCTTGCCTTTATAGTGATCATGGCCAAGGTTGAAAAACAGTGTTTGTGTTCATAATTCCATAACTGCAAGAGTAGTGAGTGATTTGAAGGATTCTTTCACTAAAATAAAGCTTATTAATTGGGCGTTCATATCCTAGATCTGGAAAGCACTACATGCAGAACTTCTTTAAAATATAGGGGGTGCCATTTGGGTTTCCTTGTTTTCAACTTGCCTGTGTTCTGTTTTATTGAGAGGTATATTTTGTATGCATTTCATTTTGTACCCATATTCCACTTTTTGTATTCATTGCTAGAGCTTAATAAGTTAATATATTAAGTTAATATATTTGGAACCCTCTGTTTTTAAATATTTATTAATGCATCAATAAATAATAGTACATATGACAAATATATAAACCATGTATACTTCAGAAGTCGTTTCTTGAGGCTTATGGCATGCTCCCTTCAATCATAAAAACTAAACATGAAGGATTTTAACTTTGTCAGGAATTGGGATGCACAAAACCAAAGTTGGCATGTTTTGCATAACCATGGCTTAGAAATCGGAAAAGTCTTCCCCACCTATCAACCTTTGATTTTTATTTTTTCAGAATATTTCTCAGATTTATATATCTTTGTTAAGGAAAAGGAAAGTTGAATATTCAATCCTCTTCATGACTCTAGAAGAAGACTTGATCCGATGCACTGACGGATGAGCAGGAGATGTGAAATGCCCAAAAAAAACAACAACATATTTTGATACTCAAAAATGGGAATACATGTACTGCAAATTACATACGCTTAAGATCAGAGCTGAAATGATATCTGGGTGGTTTTAGCTTTTGGAAATTCACAAAAGAGTTGACATAGCATTTGGGAGATGGAACGTTCCTTCCTCCACACTCCGACCCTAACAAAACACGTTAATATACACTTCCTTTTCTGTCCTTCCATTGAAGCCTGTAATTCCATACATCTCATAAGGCTTTCGTCTTAAAGGAAAATAATAATGTAGATAAATAGGTTATCATAAGTATTAATCTGCAGAATCGGGACCCACTTGCGCGGTTGCGACTGCAAAGAAGACTATTGTATTTTTTTGACCTTGTGTATTCAGCTGAACTTGTTCAGGGATCGCCTTGAAACTTTGATGTCCTTAGTTTTTTAATCGCACAAACTCCTCCCTCAAGGATTTTCTATACCCGTAAATATGTGTTCATTATTTTACAACAGGCTGCAGTTGGATTAATTATACAAATTTGGTTATCTGACATGAATGGTGTGTTTTTTGGGTGTGTGTGTGTGTTGTTGTTTTTTTTGCTGGACGAAAATGACATCGTCCCTGTAATTTTTGAGAACCCTTGGCCTTTGTTGTGCTGCTGGATCGAAAATTTTACGTGCATGTCGTGCAACGTATCCGTGACCGAAATATAATCGAACTTTGAACGTCTGGTTTGCAGAGATTTGGGCTGTATAAATCTTTTCCCAACCATTGAAGATTTCAGACACTATTCAAGATTTGAAGTGACACCAGAGTTGCCACCAAAATGAGCGAAAAAGAAGGCAAAAAATGCCCCTTCGGTTTCGGTGAGGGCGGCAGCGGGCACGGCAGTTGCCCTTACGGGTTTGGCACTGGCGGCCACGGTCATCACGGGCCCGGCTTTGGGCACGGTGGGCCGGGCCACTGCCCGTACCTCCAAGGCCACGGCCACGGCCATGGCCATTTTGGGCCTGGATTTGGAGGCCCTCCAGGCTTTGGTCCCCATGGCTTTGGCCACCATGGCTTCGATCACCATGGCGGTAAGCCCCCGATGCTGCAGTGCCCATGGATGGTGGCTCGTTTGCACGCTTGCCCCTGGGCCTGGGGCGTGGGCTCGGGCCACCACGCCTGCAAGTCGGGGAAATCATGCGACTTCTGTGTGACCTTGAAAGTGGCCGACTTCTGCTCCGAGGAGCTGGAGGTCAAGGTGGTGGGACAGGAGGTGATCGTTCATGGTGAGTTTTGAGGATGATAATTTCTTTTGAGATGAATCATGAAATTACCTTTTCGTTGCTATCTGTTTGAGAATTGTTTATGGTAGGGATGTACGGCTTTTTATTTTAATATAACGTGATTTTTGTGATGTGCTGGGTAAAGATGAGACCATGAAAAAAGATTCCTACAAATATCATGAAAAGACATCGATTGTGTCATTGTGAGGCTTTTGTTAAAATATTGATGTACTCGTAAGGTATTTTTTTAACAATTATTTATTCATTTTTACAATTGCATTTTTAATTACCCCCCCCCCCATCCCCCCCCCCCCCAGGCAAGCATGAGCCCCGCCCAGATCCAGCAGATGCCAGCACCGTCTCCAGGGAGTTCACCCGTCGCTATGAGCTGCCAGACAACATCGATCTGCAGACCGTTGCCTCCTCCCTGAACGATGACCACGAGCTGATCATCACGGCTACCAAGAAAGTAGCCGAGGGCGAGCCTCGGGTGGTCCCCATCCAGGTGGGAGAGGGGTCTGGCGACCACTAGGCTGCAATGCATGAATGTCGGATGGAGGGAGGGCTTTGAAGTTACTTATCCATCCACCACATCGAGGGCAAAGGGCTTGGGCTGGCTATAAGGCCAAAAACACAACAACAAAAAATATTTGGGGTCCCCGCCCGCTTCGTTTTTGGAGGCTGCCTCCTTTTTTCCTTTTTTTTAAAACCATTTTTAAAAATTGATAAATTTTAAATAGTGACATAATTTTGGCCTCTTTGTCTGTTGCATCTAGCCTATATAAAGCTTGTATGTCATTTTCCAAGTGGCGGTCGTTGAAAAAAAAAGAGTTTGGCGGCCATGTTGAAAAATAGCCTGGTCGGGCGGCCATTTTGGAGGGGAATAAAAAGGGGGCCTCCTCCTTCCTTTTTTATTCAAAAAAGGCAGGATGCTAGACATGTTTTTTTTTTCATTTGGCCTAACCAACCCCTTCTGTCTGACCCATGCTTATTATTTACAAATTTGACAAAACTCTAACATTTCTTTCTTGCCAATAGTGTCACTGTTGCAAATGTTGGTATCACGGCTTAAAGGCTAGTAACGTTTGCAATTACACGAAAATGTACCTTATTTTAGTGAGAAAATCCTTGCTCATATTGAAGATAGAGACTGGTACCATTATACCCTGTGAAATTATTCCGCCTGAAATATTCAGACGAAAATCACTGAAAGTGGTTGAAGACAATGTGACAGCTTTTTTTTTAATGTGCATTAGCAGCAGAATCCAGTCACCTCGAACATTTTGCAAATGCTTTCTCTGTTATTTCTCAAAATGTAAAGTATCCACTGAGCTGACTTCAGCAAAGTTGAAAATTGAAGATTTGAAGCAATTTTGTCGCTTCAAACGAAAAAAAATATACACACACAAAAATATCTTATGTACCTTTAAGGCCTTTTGGTTTTTCTTATGTGCTGACCTGAACACTCAAGGGAGCAAAATTTCTCCTTGAAAAAACAGTGGACTTTTAGGTCAACACCTCAACCAAGTGGCCCCACCTACCTTTGAAAAACTCTGGATCTGAACAAAATTATAACACCACCTCCAACACATTCCTCCTGGCTTGAATTTTAAGACCTGAAATCTGCTAGACCAATAGGCTTCTAGATATGTAGACTTGAATTAGAATGCCAAGATACAAGTTATGAATAACACATGTATATTAATTGTTCAAGGGAATTAGGAAATGTTGGTGTACAAGGCTTCATGGCAAGTGGGAACAAATTGTGTTGTATTTCAAAATAGATTAAACTTGTACATGGATGCACCTAAATTGTAGATCATAGTACTAATATTCTTAAGCTCTAGAAATCTGGAATTCTGTTTTGTAGGGAAATCAGTTAGCCATAGAAAGCATTACACAGGTACTGAAATTGAATTTCTATTTGCATAATACTGCCTATCATTATATAACTCATATTCTCAATCAACTTTTTGTACTACTTGAACATGTTTAAATGCTTTCATCTTGTTCAAATTTAATCAGATTTAAAATGAGCAAACTTATAACTGCACAAACACTTTTGAAAAAAGATTGAATCGTTTATTTGGTTTGTGTTATACTTGATTTTATGTTGTTATTATTTTCTGCTTTTTGTTAATGATGATAAAACATGTCTGAAAAATTAAGAATTAATGATTAATTGATCAAGTAATGAATTACTGTGGCCGATTTAAGTACAAGTGAAAGTGTTTTATATCAAATTGTGCATCACACAATTTGTTTTTATTTGGCTTTAATTATTTCTGTTGCAGAGTTTCCATTAATGTTTATAAATTAAAGTTGCAGGCTGAAATTGTTTTTCTATGATATGGCAACAAAAACTGAGATGTCTCAGATAAATAAAAGGCGCATTCCTTTATGTGTTGGTCTTTTTGCTTCAAGTTACTTAAATATTAAAGCTGTGTTTGTGAACACATATTATAGTAGAAAATATCAGGAATGCTTTTCAAACTTGAATAGTAGTTTATAGACGTGAAAATGTCTTAATTTAAGAAGCAGCAGTACTACATCTAATGTGGTTTCCAGGCCTCCTTCCCCCTCCCTCCCCGGCCACTTTTCGAATTTCCCTGGCCGGTCAATTGTAGAAATTGCGGTCACCCATTACCCCCATTCGTTGACACGGATTTACGACACTGTCGACGGGAATCGTCGGCCAGCTGGATGCTTATTATACCGACGGGCTAGCCGTCCCGCCGACGACCCGGACCAAAACCGACTCGGACGTACTGCATCCCTGGGATATTTTGTATTTTGTGTTTGGTGTTGTTTTAGTTACTGCACCATGTAATAGTTTGCTGTGCATCAAAACCAAATAAACAAAATCAAACATGCTACCAAAATAATGGGCTGAACAGACCGACTGACCAACAGACGAGCAGCTCGCAGAAAGACAATGGCTAAAACTAAAACCTCTGAATCAGTGGTTTCCTAATTCGCTCAGCTTCACCAATTAAATAATAGCATTTAGAAATTAATTCACGTGAAGTGATAAAATGAAGGCCCAGGCAAAACTTCGAAATGTTCGAGATGAAGTCTACATCCAACCCATAATGAAACCAGAGTTTTGCAAAAACTAAAATCATTGGCAATTTTTAAAGTTACGCGAAACCGAGAACTTTATAAACCGATTACCGACACTGACAGTTGGATACCCCGTGCTCTTGCCCCCCAAAATTGTTTTTTTCCCTTCTCCTAACGACTTTTCAATTCGTATACATGTTTGTATGGACTTTTTTTCAACGAAAAAAACTACTCTTTTTCGATTTTGGGAACCAGCAACCCTCTGATGAGAAGGGCTTTTATACACAAATGCTCAATTAATCGAATTTTGGGAAGAAAGTTCAATATGGACATATTTTTTTCGGTCGATGTCTCATTCGAAAGTGAAGAACTTTTATATTGCAGGGAAATAGCAATTGAAACAAAAAAGTATTTTTTAGAAGTGAAACTAAAAATAGCATGGGGAACGATCTTTCAAATATGAAATGAACACTTGTGCCAGTTTTCGGAACAACTGCTTTCTTCTGGACACAAGAGGGCGGCGTTTACTTTATTAACCATGGAGGAAAAATTAACGCATCACGTGAAAGTTATAAAGGAGAGAGTGAAAACTGGGGTGACCGTTTTAGCCGATTTTCGGCTAACTTTGCCAGAATTTTTGTTAAAAACGAGTTTGACAGAAAATTTGACAGAATGGATTTTTTTGGGCAGATTTCTGGCAGAATTCTGCAAAAATGGTTATTTGACAGAAAAACAACAAATTTGAACAAAAACATGTACATTTGTTTAAAAAAGCTTCAATCCTTTCAAATAAACCCTTGCATGATGGGACAGGTTGGCTTGTCTAGGTGCTGAGGTTCACTGGGAAACGGACTTCGACGTGACCGGATCCGCGTTTTGCCCGAAATTAATTTACCAATAATTTCACAACATCTTTTTGTGACTAGATTGTTTATTATGTAACTTGAATCTTAATTAAGGTAATACTACCAATCTGCATGTAATTTTAAGTGTTTATAGTGTATTTTGAGTAATATTGGGGAATTTGGCAGATTTTTGATAAATCTGACAGATTTTTGATGAGCATTTAGCAGAATTTGGCTCTGACCTTACGGTCACCCTGGTGAAAACTTGCGAGGGAAGGCGAAGGGCGGTTCTCTTGAAGCGCTTGAACTTGAAGTAGGCCTAATGCCAGTTTTTCAAAGACTGTAACCGCCAATAATCATTTTGAAGGCGTGGTGAGTACTTAAGTTGTACACAGAATTTGGCCAATGGTCACCTAATGGTCAGTAGGGGTCATTTCATTCAAAATTACGCCAAAATTACAATTAGGCCTAAGTCAGTCAATCAGTGAGTGCTTTTGCGCCTAGGCCTCTGCATGCCTATCAAATGTTTCCCCCCACCCCTTCCCCCCCCCCCCAAATGTCGGGATTTGGTCACGTTTTTCATGCCCCAGGGTGGGAATTTTGGTTACTCAATTGATAGCTAATAGGCGCATAAAGCAGGCCTATCTTACAAGATTTGCAACCATCAAAAAACGAAATGATCAAATGATCACGAAATATCTTACTGGATTGTAATGTTAGGGGTCTATTCCTTCCTCCATGGTCCATGGAGCAAGGAAAACGGAAGCATCCTGTAAAATCGTGGCTCCTGGTCATGCTGGTGTAGGCCTACCTATATTTTCAAGAAAACTTGAATTTTTCCTACGCTGGTCGGCCGACCATCGTTGGATAAATAGGCCTACTGGCTTTTTGTCAACACCTGCTCCTAATTTTTCATGTTTAGTTATTCCTCATTTCCTTTGCAATTGATTACACACCTGTGAATGGGTACAAGCCTGCTAGACTGATTCTCTGACCATACAATTCCCCAAAGTCTATAAATTGTTCCGTTTCATCCTAAGTGGGGTCAGGGAACCAGACTACAAGAATATGGTTGGTTTTCTTGGATTTTTCAGCCTCTCCGAACACAAAACGTGAAGCAAGTCAGTATATAAATTTTCTATAACATACTAATGCTCCAAATCCATTTATTTCTGAAAATTGCAGCAAAAGCAAATATTAGACATTCCCTTTAATGTATCACATGAAGTGACAAAACATTGACAAATTTGCCCTGTAAATTAGGATATCAATATTTTTATCACTCGTTTTAATTAAGATAGAAGCTGACAAACATCTGGACGCAATCAAACAGCAATACAAATTTGATGGCCTTTTTCACGCAATAAACTATATTCTCTTTGATTCTCTCAAACAGATACTGCATCCTAAATTAAAATACTACCAGCATTTCTTCCTGTGCTGAAGCAGTCAAGCAAGGCCCAAGTATGAGACAACAATCTGGCCCTATCTCAGTCACACGGCTTGTTGCCATCTTGATCCTGTGTGCAGTCATGGTAAACTGCGCCGACGATTTTGCAGCGATGACGAATCAATCGATGAACGACTTGCTGGTGCCCGTGATGACGACGTTCTTCGGCCGTGGGCTGTACCAGGCAGGCCGGTCTCAATTCCAGGCGCCAACCTCGGAAGATACAATCTCTCCAACATGCATGGACTATCTGTCCCACCTCAGCACAAACTACAAAGGTAAACAGTTCGGAAATGAATAAAGGGTCACAGTGGTGCTCCTAATTAAGTCTTGTCTTTTTGGGGACTGCTCACTTTAAAATTTTCAAACAAATGTAAAATTTTCAAACAGCTGTAAATTAAAATAGAAGAGAGAGAAGGAGGCATTGGACCTCATCTGGTGCTAGGGGGCGCTGTTCATCGTTACCTGGCTCAAAAAACTAGTTTGCCAGAGTAACGTCAAAATTTCCATCCACTTCCCCTGCTATACTTTTAACACGATCTAGTCACCAGGAGTCAGATCATATGTCGAGCAAGCTCTGTGACTAGTCAAACTTGGTCAACAGACAAAGCAGGCAAGTTGTGGTCACAGCTGTTTTGTCACTCGCCTGGAGTCGAAGCGTAGCTGTTTGAAGTTACTTAAACGGTCTCAGCCAGTCAATCCTGCTTTATGTGGGCTGGGAATTCTTAAGTGTTGAAAACAGTCTCTTGATTGACTTTGACAGAAAGGACCTCTTGGCACAGAATGTATGTTTGCATAGGAGGGATAATGAAGAAAGGCGAGGGCATTCTGAGTGTGTCTGTATAAACTTTGCCATTAAACTTGAAAGTAAACTGTCACGCTCACACACATTTTTCTCCTCTTTTTGGGGGGAGGGGAGGGGGGAGGGGAGGGTGCCCCCTTGTGACTGAGGACAAAATAAGTTTGATCAACTAGTTCATGCTTCATAAGAATATCAAAATAGATCGAGAAACATTCAGTGCCAGTGCAACATTCACTGCAGCTGTAGACTTTGTTCAACTTGTAGATGCACTGCTCGTGTCGCATTCCCATGGAGTGTGAACCATTATAGACTTGACCGTCCCATCTACAAATTTGCAAAATAAAAACAAATAATAATAAAGTCTGATGCACTCCTACTCCTAGCCAAAATACTGGCTTGACATCTTCAAGGCTTGTAGCGTGGCCAATTTTGTTTATTCTCCAGGTGAGTGTCAGAAGTTGAAATGCTGCTACTGTTGTGATTTCTTCTTTTCTTCGGCATCTGAATATTTCATTTTGTCTTCTTATCTTTCAAATGCCAGCCCTGGATGCGTTTGGCAAGCCTGGAGCAGGTTTGTTGGAAGGGAATGCTGTCTGGCTAGGCAACTACGACGAATGTCTATCCATTAAGGAGTTCAACTACTGTCTTTCTGATATATTGTTGAATGCAACGAAGATCGGAATCAAGGTATAGAAAGATTTCTTTTTAGTCAGCGCTAAGTTTTAGGTTATAAAAAAAATACTTAGTAAACATGTGAAGTTTTTCTGATTAAGATAAAAACAACAGCCCCGTCTATATACCTGAAAAACAAAAACATCATGCGAGATTTGAGTGAACTTACTATCAGCACAAGTCCACAAAAATTGTCAAAGTTTGCAATTATTTGATTTCGCCGGATTGTTGAAATTAGTAGGATTAAAAGTGTCTCCCCATGTTTTTTTTGAAGTGCTATCCCGAAATATAGATTTTGTTTTTAAATTGCTATTTTGGTAGCAGGACAAAAGTTATTCACTTTTGAATGAGACACTGAACAAAATAATCCACCAAAGTTTTGTTACGGAATATTTACTTTACAAACTTCAAATTATGTGCAGCCCGACGATAATTTGGGCGAACCTTTTTGTGATTTATGGGTGCAAAAACAACCCAAAATAAAAGCAGGTATGATAACGTGTGTGTTTTGGGTCGTTTTGTGCAGGACAAACAACATTTTATTGTCTATGTGTATGCGCAACTAGATTCTGAGTGATCCTTTTCATTGGAGATTGTAAAAAACCCTGTACTTCGACCGAAAAACTATGTACTTTGATCATTGAAGATTAGACCCCCCCCCAAAAAAAATACTCGGTCTCTGGTCAGAGTGCGCGTCAATTTTAATCATGCGCGTCAACCTTTTTTTTTTCTTCAAATTATCACGGAAGCTACAACAGCCCTCTAATGCCGCAACTCCTCAAATTTTTGTACCAAGGAGCACCAAGGAATGGGGAAATTGCACCAAGGCAAATGATAAAGGGCACCAAGGCAAATTATGGAGGACACCAATGTATAATGAGGACACAAAAAAGCAAAATAGTACCCACCTTGTCTGTACAATTCAAGCTTGAAAAAAAAAAAAGCCACCAAAGACCGATTATTTTTAATTTTTTTGGCCTTATGAAAAACTGATCACAAGTTATATAAAATAGAATCTGTTGTAATTTATGTTGCGTTTGAACATGGTGCGGATTCTTAAAAGCCAAGTATATTTACTGTTTATGCCGAAACCATCACTAGCACTGCACACAAGTGCTTCTACATATATGTTATTTTTTTTCTTCCCCTTTACAGGGTGTGCCAGTGATTTATGTCCGCTGGGGATTATGTGCACCAGCTTCCTGCACCAATCAGGACTTGTTGGGCGCGCTGCAATATTTTTTAGGTAACCATGTTCATATTTTTTTTGGGGGGGGGGGGTTGTAGCTAAAAAGACTCTACTGTCCTATGACTGAATGACTGCCTGCCTATCTGACAGACTGACTCCCAGAGTTGTAATGACTCGAGTCAATGACCTACTCGAGTCCAACTCGAGTAACAATTTTTTGGTGACTCGACTCGACTCGAGTCCCTAAAGGGCAAATGACTCGACTCGACTCAAGTCACTGCGAGCAAATGACTCGACTCGATTCGAGTCCCTTATCAGAATGACTCGACTCGACACGATGAAGGCTAATGAGACTCGAGTCCCAAAAATAAAAGCAACACTTTTACATTAGAATGTTCGCGAATAATGTATACATATACAGACGTGGTTTGATCAGTGTCCCCATTAGTTGAATGACGATCAGCTGTCACCCCCTTTTTATTTTCATTAAGAGGCAAATGTGGTGTCGCCACATGTAGTAGCCCGAATGTAAAATATAAAAAGCCAACAAAAATGACTTTCTCTCTTGTGTTTATTTATTGTATAGTGCTCAAATATTTGTGACTCGAATTGACTCGAGCTAATTACTTGACTCGACTCGACTCGACCATCTTAACCTAATGACTCGACTCGAGTCACTTCTTTAAAATGACTCGACTCGAGTCACAAAAATCAGTGACTCGTTACAACTCTGCTGACTCCCAGACTGACTGAGTTACTGACGGACTGAATACTCCCCCACATTACTGAATACACCATTACATTACTGTTGTTCCGTACTGGAAGATTTTAAACTTGCCATTAACAATCAATACAAAGTTTTGTTAATTTCTGCCAGTAAGACAGATCTCAATTCCGGTTACTTCTTTGTTTTTTTAGATCTTCTTGAACTGAAGTATGTGGAATTTAAAGCGATAACTGCCGCAAGCGTGACTTGCTCGGAATCTCCTCCGATACCGTACAGTGCTGGCGTCATCTGCACAATGTGAGTACAGGCCCACTGGACAGGCTTATAAACTGTCCAAGCGTACCTGCCAATACTGATGGTAGTCAGGGTACTACATTATTATTACCCCTGCCCGTCGGACCAATGCAACATTCCGCAGACCATCTCAACTTCCCAGGGAGTACATGGCTCGATGCAGCCATTTTGGCACACACGTAAAAACCCACACAGTTGTGACAGTCGTGAATTTCTGTACGCCGGCCCGAGGACCATGCTTTGTGTTTTCCTTTGTCCCTGTAATATAACACTCTCCTGTAGACTAAGCCCATAGCTGTATGATCGAGGACTGTTTCCAACAAAAGACCCAACGCTCGAGGACTGAAAGGATCTTTTGTTCTCCCTTGTGTGTCTGTTCTCCATTGTAAAGCCATACATGCACACACATACTTGTTCCTTAGTTGTGGGGACTTACACACACGAGTTGTCCCATGGGGACCTAAGTTACTGTGGGGACAGCAGAAAGTCCCCATAACTTGGTCCTAATTTGCCTGACAATAAAAAACTTTCCCATAACGCGGTGATGGCCCGCCCAGTCCACCCTCCACTTTTGCTCCAAGTGGGGAGAAGCAATATATTGATAAAGTGTCTTGCCCAAGAACACATCCATGAAGACCCACAGGCTGGACTCGAACCCACGGTCTGCAGACTTTCCAATATAATGGATTTTGAGACATTAGACCGTGGTACTATTACAACGAGAGCCAAGTAGACTGGTTCCCAGTCCCTCCATCATACAAGCAATGACAGGCAGGGGGCTGAATCCAGACATGAGAGCACATTGTTCATTTCCTTCTTTGTTTTTGTCCCGATCCAGTGTCCTGTTGTCCACATTAGGAGTTCTAATGATCATTGGTTCACTATATGACGAATGGTTGCGTCTCGACACCAAGAAACTGAAGAGGCACGGGCGTTGGCTGTACTGTGCCGTGATCAACAGCGGTGATGATGCTAATGATACTGACGAGGATGCTGACAATATTGACAGCTGTGATGATGACGTCGAGCCACTGTATGGACGAGAAACGGCCCATCGTTGGAATTTGTCTATCAAACATGACGCATCGGAAGGTAACGAAAAAAAAAAACAACATCGTCACAGAACAGTGTGCATACAACAGTACTTGAGCTTTGTATAAATGACAATCAAGCCAATTTGAAAAACAAAATTACTTTGATTGTGTGAATATGAATTTATGTCAAATTTGTTATGAAATTCAGTGAAATCTCGCCACGATCCCAAAAAAAAAAGAAAAGGAAGGACAGAAACATGAAAGGCTAATTTGCTTTTCCACGAGAAGGCTGTTTTTAAAAGCTTTTGCTTTGACTTTCAAACGTGGGAAAAAAATGGGGGAAACGCTGATTTTTTTCAGGTGGAAAAAGGTGAATTTTGGCTTCCAGAATATTGATTTTGCTTTCTGAGCTCTGTGCAGAAGTACCCCCTCAACGATTGCTAATGTAGAGTTGGGGGAAGACCAAAAGAAGAGATGTTTGAATGCACCACCGTTGGCGTCTGACGCTCACGCAAAGACGCTACATGGCTTTGTGCGCACTCAGAATAAAATAAGTCATACTTCTGACCTATGACCAATGGTTGTTTGTTTTTTACCGTTGCACTCACAAAATTGGATTGTTTTTCATCCCTTTTACAGTGAGCCTGCTGGGCAGAATCCTCCTCTGCTTTGCCGTGACCCGTAACCTGTCCAAACTCCTGGACACCCAGCAGAAAGACACCAGCATCGGCTCGCTGAACGGCATCCGGGTCATCAGTATGAGCTGGGTCATCCTGGGTCACACCCTGTTCTTCTCGATAAGCACCGGCGCAACCCGTAAGTGCCCTTCAGCTGAACATGCTCCACTGTGCAGGAACCAAGGATGACACATTCGTTATACTAAAAGTCTACTGTGCAGGAACCAAGGATGACACATTCTTTATACTAAAAGTCTACTGTGCAGGAACCAAGGACGACACATTCTTTATACTGAAAGTCTACTTACACGGAAGGGCACGTGTGGTCTAGGGCACAGTATTCATGATCGTGAGATTGCGGGTTCGAGCCCCGCCGTGGCCAAGTGTGTTGTGCCCTTGAGTAAGGCACTTTACCTCAATTACTCCTCTCAACCTAGGTGTTAAATGGGTACCGGCATTATTCAATGCTGGGAAGGTAACAGACTCGCTGTGGAGGAGGTGTGGTGATCCCCCCACAGCAGCATTTCATGGACTCGAGTCTGGCCCAATCGCTTCGAAAGAGAGATGGGCACTCGGTTCCTGTGAACACAGGTTCCCCCCTCTTTACCTTTACCTTTTACACGGAAGGACGTTAACAAAAAGTGGCAACTAAGATCGAGCTATTGCTCATTTACAGATGGGCCGAATGCTGTTCATAATTATGTTAAAGCTATAGTCCATCATTTGCAGCCATCCGAAAAAGTAACTGGCGTATTATTGTTGAAAAACATACTTGGTTGAAAGATAGTAAGTGGACTAAACTCCCTGTGAAATTATTCTTTCTGGCAAGCTATCATTTTGAAGTAATCAACGAAAGAAGGCCTTTCCAACGGAAAATTTAAATTAGTAGTTCGTTTTGTTATTCGGCGCAGCGTGCGCAAGCATTGGCACGACGCACACGCGCACGGTTGCTATAATTCGTCGGATCAGTGCGCGTGTGCGTCCTGCTGCGATTCAAAACAATTCAAAACATGATTCAGCAACTTTTGATATGAAATTGAGATCCTAGAATGCTGTTTTTCTCGGAATATACAGCTGAAGCTGAGCTGAAACTCCATCAGGTTAGTTGTTCAGTATCCTTCATTAGATTTTGAACACTTTTGTTGCTTCAAACGAACAAAATGCACAAATTACAAATGATGGCCTATATCTTTAATTGGTGTGTGTACTGTAAACAGGCCCTTGTGTCTTCTAAGGAACGTCAAGCCCTACAAAAAGTAACAATGCCTTATCTGTACCTTCTACATCCTCCTAAATCCTCCAAAAATCCATTGATGGATTCTGCAGTGTGTGGGAGGGTTGGACTTTAACGAGTAGTCTGTACCCTAATGCTGCTTTTAACAATTATTTTCTCTTCACAGAAAATATTCTTGTTGTGCTCGAGTGGTTGCAAAGCTTTGGTTTCCAAGCGATTTCAAATGCATTTTTTGCCGTGGATTCGTTCTTCTTTCTCAGGTCAGTATCTTAAATCCATATTAAAATTTTTTTTTTTAAATTGTGGGTCGTCCCTTTTTTTACTGACTTCGTTTTTTAAGAACACAGAATAGTGATGGAGTGCAATTTGGACTTCTGAACTTCAGAATGCCATACCAAATGCTCTATCAACTGTTGGCGGAGCCCAGTTGGTAAAGCTACAAAATCACAAGATTTAAATCTTCTTCGGTCAATGTTCTTTGTTCAATTGCAGAGTCAGTCTTCTTCTTCTTCCGTGTCCTGTCCACTACGCTCTCAAAAGTTGTAGAAAAGCGCCCTCTAGTGTTTGCACAAGGAGTTCACAGTAGAAGCTCTACTGTAAAAGTGACCTGTGTTTATTCAACGATTTCCTATTTTTATTGAGTGCTGCACTTGAAGGATGACATTTGTTATGAAAAAGAAAAGTGTCGCATGTTATTTTAATGACATTAATTTGTTATTTTTCATTCAGCGGTTTCTTGGTCTCCTTCTTGACGTTGAGTCGTATGCAAGAAATGAGGTCAGCGAAAGCATGGGCCTGGTTTTATTTCCATCGTTACTGGAGGTGGGTGAGATTCCCCCCCCCTTTTTCTGGCTTTTCAAAACTTTTTAAAACATAGGTCAATCCTAAGTTTGCTCCTGGTGTAAAAGGGTGCCCCTTTAAGCGATTATTTTATCTTTCTTTTATCTTTCTTGCCCCCCCCCCCCCTTTTTTGGATTGAGACACCCCCATCATTTTGGCTTTCTTTCTACTTTAAAGTGTTTAATGGTTTAATCTCATACATGTAAGGCTATTGTTTATACTACCAGTTGGACCCCTCTTTCTGAAAGTGGAGCGACCCTGGAGCAGGAGATTGGGTTGGTCTGGGTGGTGTGGTTAAGCATGCTTTAGTGCTGTACCACCCATCTTACCAACCGCCCTGCTCTTTGTTTTCTCCTTTCAGGTAAGACATTTTCCTTTATTTTTTTGTATGTAAACTTTGCAGATTGATTGACTTTTGTGAAACTTAAGATTACTAAGTTCACTTATTACAAATTCTCATTCTTTTGGAGTTGGGAAAGATAGTGCTTTTGCTTATTTTTGCTGTTTTGTTTCTCAGCATTGTTGTAACTTTTCAGTGAGTATAACAAGTGGTCACTCTGGGCCAAAATCGGCCATATTCTGGTCTGGAGTGAGGATCTTTCTACTTGATTTTCAGTTGAACCTTGTTTAAATTTGCTTAGTTAATTGTATTTCCAGGAAGTTTATAATGTATAGATTACTTTCTTATGGCTGTAGTAGAATAACTGACTTTTTAAAGCTTAGTAATTTTAGGCAGAAAAGTTACTTTCCCACCCTGGCCTGTGTCTAAAGTTGAGACCACTAGCACATGGCCCAGTCACAGGGGGACATTTCAGAGCCATCTGTTAGAGTCGTTATCTATTTTGCCTTAGGGGCTTGACCACAAGGATAGGCTAGCTAGCAGCCAGGATAGCCTGGCCAGTGTGTTGCTGACTGTGGCCAATTAGCCACTGTCCATTTGGTTCTTCATATTTGAGGCAAGTGCCAGGCTAGGCACTGACTTTGTGGTTAATTGGGGAGGTTGATGTCTTTTTCTTGCATTTTATTATAATCTTATGTTTCCTTTACATCAAGTGTTTGGATTGGGAGCATTTTACATCAAGTGTTTGGATTGGGAGAGACTAGAATTAGAGTATGGTTCAAAAGGGAGTTTTTTTGGAAATCTTTTGTAGAACAGTCTCCATCTTAGATTAGACTTGACTAGGTCTGGCTGAAGTCTGGTGACAGACTGGATTACTTTTAATACTGGGACTGAAAGTGAAGTTCAACAAGGCCTACTTTTAATTGTATTTTATCTAATTCTATCTTATTCTCTTTCATTTAGTTTAGTTAAATATTTAATCATTATGATTCCTATCTTGAATTTACTTTTCTTTCGAGGTTTAATTTTCCATTTTAGAGTTATTTGTAAGATACCGATATATACCGAACAATTGTTGAATAGGATAGATGAATTAAAAGTGCTGTACCACCCATCTTACCAACCGCCCTGCTCTTTGTTTTCTCCTTTCAGCTGGCAACAAAGATTTACAAACCATACCCCTTACACTAGCATTTCATAAGAATCCTACCGGACCAAACAATATCCAAACACCTGAAATATCTGAAAACTGCTTGATCATGAGTCAACAGGGCGAGCCAGAATGATCTGGACCCAAATTAACGAAAATATTAAAAAATATGCAGCAATTATCAAAACAAGTGCAAATGAGACATGTTATAGGCTGGTATTTTGGACAAATATGGTGAAAGTTTCATGTATCCATTGTACCATTTTGATGAAAAGCGCTAGCACAGAACACACGCTAAAAAAACACTCTGACCACGGTTCCATGGTCCAACAAATTTATTGAAATCGCGTACTGATGTGAAGCAGTGTAATAACAAATAAAAACCTAGTCATGGTGACTGACTCACTTGAAGTTACGGACACATTTAAAAAAGGCAAAACCAATTCCGTGTGCAGACTGGAAAATGAGCCACTTCAATGAAAATGGCACAACTCGTCACCACAGCCACTAATTTGACAAGAAGCCTATTCATTATTGCATTTGGGGACGAAAAGTCAAAGGTCAAGGTCACAGTGGCTAAAACAATACAAATCTTGTTTAGTATAAAATTAAAATGTGATCTTATATTTCGTTTTATGTACATGTACAGCTGTGAGTTTTTTTTTGTTAATTCAGCTTGTCTGTACAGGATCTTTTCACATTCACTCACTCTTTTTAATCACCTACGATGACTTCCCAACAGAAAAGCCAAAAAAATACATTATATTTATTCTGAGATCATAGGGATTAATTCATATACCCTACAGAAAACAATAACGATGTAAATGAACATTCCATGTGACCAAACGTACGTTCCATGTGACCCAGGTCACATGTGAGTCGATGTTAAAAGAGTGGTGTCATGTCATGGGAACATTCATGGTTGCGGGGCATTTGTGTTTGTAAACGCACCTGACTTGTTTTTTTTTCTCAATATACTCTATTTCCCACAAAAAAAGGGTGAACTTGGGTCCAGATCATTCTGACTCGCCCTGTTATACAGCCTGTCTAAAAAAAAATGGTACAATTGAAAACATTTTTTTTTCAATATTAAATCTCAAAATAAGTAAGTCGTTTTGAGCATCACATTAAAGAAAAAAGACCAGGCTTTCCAATACTTTTTGTTTCATCTCATTTGCTTTTGTCAATCCAGAGATAACTCCAGTTTACTGCGGAACACAAAAATCGAGTTTGTTTCTTTTGCCAAGTTGCAATCTTTTGTGAGCTTCAAGACAGCATGGCACAGTACTCGAAACAACTCTGCCCATGCATAAAAGTGGCACAAAAATCGATTTTGGTGTATCGCACTAAATTGATTATATCTCTGAATTGACAAAAGCAAATAAGATCAAACAAACACTATTGGAAAGCCCAGTCTTTGTTCTTTAATATTATGCCAAGTAAGAATGACTTATTTTGAAATTTCAGATTTAACCATTTTTTCCCTCTGATTGTACCATTTTTTTGGAGACAGGCTGTAGAATCTAGTTGGCAATTTGGGGACATGGCAAAATTTAATGCCATTTGGTTGTCTGTGTAGATTGACTCCAGTCCTGGGCCTGACCATTCTGGTGTGGATGTACATTCAGCCGTTCTTTGGTGACGGTCCGCTCTGGTACACCAGCACCGCCAAGCCTTCATGTGAGAAGTACTGGTGGACGGATCTCCTGTACATCAACAATTTCTACCCGCAAGGGTTCATGTCAGAGGTAGGTGTGTCATCCGTTCAAAAACGTAGTCACAAATCTATAAATCTTGCGAATGAGACCAAGCCGATACTGTTTGTGATTAATACGCACGTCTTCCCTGGTGTTGATGTCTGTACAAAAATCAAACTTGTTCATTTTCTGTGTCATTTTTGTTTGGCACGGCTGCTTCAAATATTCCTTTGATTTTTATTTATTTATTTTGTCGGCTTTTCTCGACATAGGGTTCATTATAACACCTCACCCGCAGATTCTGTGTCTTGATTGGCCGAGAGCGAGTCACATGATACTTTCTATTTTTGCTATCTTTCTGTGCACGGCCAAAAGTACTATACCCGTAGCAACCAAAGTACTATACCATTAGCAACCAAAGTACTATTTCCACAGCGCGGCATTTGTGTGCAAATGCATGCTGGTGTGGGCGTTGCGCGTTGCACGCAGCGTGTTTTGTTCCAAAGAGAGCCACAGAGTTGGGTTCAAACATTTCGCGAAGGGGTAGTTTGGAAGATAGAAATACATTTTCCACCAATTTTGTATTGAAATTGAAGTTTATTTCAACTGTGTTCAGATTTAAATGATTTAAAATATTATAACCAAGCAGAATCTGTGGGTGAAGTGTTATAAAACAAATATTGAATGCTTTATCTCGTGGTGAAGTAAAACTAGCCTCCCTCGGTGATCTATGGAGTATTCTATTTTCCCTCGGCTTCGCCTCAGGAAAACAGAATGTCCATGGATCACCTTGGGAGGCTAGTTTAATTCACCACTCGAAGCATTCAATATTTGTATAAAATAAGCAGGCAATATAGCACTGTGTCAGATCAAACCGACTATTTGAATATATGAATGAATGATTTGAGAGGAATATTAGCTTAAATTTCTTCGTTTAAATCAGTCACATATCAGCCATTCCACTACCTGGTCTTTATATTATTCTAATAAGCTTGTTGTCAATTTCAACAAGTGCAGGTACAGTGACATCTTGATAAGTCAAACTCTGATAACTCAAAAACAATTCTTAATTCAAACGAAGACCCCATTCTCTTCAGTAGTATAGCAGTGATATACAACCCTGCTTAACTCAAAACTCTGCTTAAGTCAAATGTTGAACCTGTTCCCTTGAGGTTCGAAATTTCACTGTACATGTAAAGCCAGATTTATGGCCAGTTTAGGCTGATGCGTGTTTTATTTAACTTGATCACCACATTTCCAACATCGAATATTCGAATTGTCGTTGAACTCCCAGTGGGAATAATCGAACACCAAATAATTAAAAAAAATACAAAGCCCTAAAACAGAATCCAGTTAAAAATAAATAGACTAGCCAAGCTAAGATTCCCAGCGCTAAACCATTGTATGACATTCAGGATTGTTTCTATATTTTAAGCTCTAGCAGGGGCTTCTTCATGTCACTTGGTGGTCAGTTGTCGGTCTGTCTCCGAAAATTGACCAAAAAGTATGGTGTTCCATATGCTCCATTGGTGTCGCGTTTTTCGGGGTCGCAGTTTTCAGCTCTGGCAGGGATTGTTTTGATTGATGTCATGCAAGACTGTCATGCAAGACGGCCAGCACCCGATTTCACGAAGCGCTGCGACGCGTCGCAACTCGAGTTATGACGTGTAACAAGTCACAAGTCGCGACGCGTCGTATCATCCATTTCACGAAAGTTCCTTGACAATGGCTTAAAACATGTCGCAAGTTTCGACGTGTCTAGTGGTCATCGCAAAATAAGAAGAGTCTCATTCTTAGCCAGTTTAATGCCACAAACATTACATCAACGAGATTATAATACCGAGGCAATGTGTGTAAAGTTGTAAATAGAAAATTCATTGAATAATTATGAATTAGACTGGAATATTGCAGTTGAAATTTCAAAGGAGCTACACAGTCCACTGAGAGCTTGTTTTCCTTCAAAATTGCATCGCACGGCCGCCATTTTGTTTTACGTTTTAACAAATTTAGAGCTGAAATCCGACGACTCTTTGTTGAATATCAGACGACTATTTACTGTACGCTGACTAAATACATAAAACAGTCACCGAGTTGTGCTATAAATGCACCTATGACGCATCGCACTTACGACGTGTTGTGAAATGGATCGAAGGACGGGTCGCAGCTGCGAGGCATCGTAGGGATACGATGCGTCGCATCGCTGCGATGCATCGTAAGTTACGAAGAGTTTCATGAAATCGGGTGCAGAGCTTATGGTGCACTCGCACTTGTTCTCATTCGTGTCACACAAGGTAGCACAAGGTAGCACTTAACCTTCATTTTCAATCCTTATTTGAAATTTGTTTGTATAGGAATAAAGAATGCAGTTTCGATGCTCTACCGAAAGTCTCACATGCTCTGTCTTGGTGTTGGCAATTTTTTTTTTTAATCATCGGGATCCTTCACAGCTTTTTTTTATTTGAAGTTTATTTATTTTGCATTCTGTGGTGTTGTTGTTTTTATTTTGTTTTCTGATCAATGTAGTGCATAGGATGGGTGTGGTACCTGGCTAATGATATGCAGTTCTTTGTCATCAGTCCTCTGCTTCTCGTTCCTCTATTTTAGTAAGTTTCCTCAATTTTACAACTCCACTCACGAGGTGTCAATGTTAAGGGGCCTTTCAAAATAGTCAATGTTTAACAGTTGTGATCCTCATCAAATTAGGTTTTGCCCTTCACCGACGTTTTTTTTTTAAATTTTTTTAAATTTTTTTTTAAATTTTTTTTTTTTTTTTTTTTTTTTTAAACACTGTATACTCAGTGTGTTACCTCCCGAGTGAAAGTTGGAAAAATCACTCGGGTGAGACTCGAACCCACGACCTCCTGCTTTCTAGCGCAGAGGTCGTTATCCTTTCACGCGCAGAGAATTGTGATCCTTTTTCAAAATTGTTTGGACCCACCCACCCCGAATTATTGCAAACATTTTTTTTTAGTATTTTGACATATTTATCATGCTGAAAGGGTTTAAATAAAAAGGATGTGATACCTGTTCAGGTGGGAAATGAAAGGTATTTCCATCAAATTTATTTTATAGTCTTGTCATATTATGTGCCATGTTGTTTGTAAGGATTAGGACATGCAACAATAGCTACAGTGAAAATCCCTTTACTGTGGTAATTTTTTTGCGTATAGGATAAAAAATGACTACTTTTTACATAATTGGCATTTCTCAGCAACCCAAAGTGCCATTTTCATGATTTCTTTCAGTATTTGAAAGAAAAACTTATCAGCTTTAATCTGATACCCAAAACATAAAAATCCACCAATCCCTTTTTTTTTCAAAAGGCAAATGTTTTAGGGTTGCATTTTTTGGAGTCACCCTGTATAAGTAAGTACAGCACTCATAGTCTTTTCTAGTATCTGGGTGCCGCCATACGTAATTTTTGTATTACTTTGTAGTATGTGGTACTGTACTCCAAATGAACTCTTTTGGGGTTAGGGTAAGTTTCCTGCATAGCAGGGGTCAATTTCAAAGCATTGCTTAGGCCAAAACAAGGGGCTCTGGTTTCTGGTATGCGTGCGCGTCGCCGTAGCCATGCGCGTCGGCAAAATTTAAAAAAAAAAATGTCAATGTAAGATGATGTCCCAAAACCGCCAAACTCACTGGTTCGACTGGAATCCTGCTGCTGCACAATTTTTACGTGTTTTTAGATGGGGTTACAGTATACAGTTCGAGTATATGCTTTATGTGGCCTTTCTTGGATCCCATTTGTTTTTCACAGAATAGTCGGGCACGGCATTTGCAGACGGCGTTGTGTGTTTTTGTGATTGTGTGTGTGGAAGCCAGACGTGTGTGTGCGGAAGCGATGGTCGTGTATCTGGAACCTGTAAACGCTTTTTAATTAGCGCAATATGTAAGGGAGCAGACTAATGACCAGCCTGGCAGCACAGGCACAATGTCGATGGTCTGACGTTACCGTTTTCTCTGATTTTTGTCTTGACTATCCAAATTTCCCGAAGAATGTTCGTGTCGGTCGAGATCGTAAGTGGGTGCCGAATTCTCAAGCCTTATGGCCTTACTGAGGTCACCTCAAGCTCCACCCTGAAGGATATTTTTGAGTGTTTTAAGGGGATCGAAGCGTCGTCATCTGCAACATCAGCCGACACTTGAAGAAGAAAAAAAAAGCTGTGTCGCCGCACCACTTTTGGGGCAAGCTCCATACCAGAAACCGAAGACTTTTTTTTGGCCTCAACAGCTAGCAGGAAGGTTAAAAATGTTGTCCATTTGGATGATTTTGTTGTTCTTTTTTTCCAGTGCGCCTGTGATTGGCTGGATTGCCCTTGTGTCGTTAACAGTCGTCTGCATGATTGTGACAGCAGTAATTATGGTCGAGTACAATGCCTCCATGGATATCTTAGGAATTGCAGCATCAGCAAAGTGAGTTAAACAATAAATTGATCTAAAAAAAAGGGGTGTGGGCGGGAATTGGGTTTGTATTATCTGTTTGGTTCTCTAAAATAATGACTGAAAAAATGACTGAAAAGTACTAAATTTCGTAAATCTTTAGCCTTGTTGCCATGGAAACCTTCGGCCCCAAATTGTTACATTTTGGGGGAAGTTTGTTTTAATTAGTCATCGTTTTTGGCTTAAAGGTAATACAACTTGAGAGAATCTGTTAGAATTTGTTGAAAACATTTAACAAGTACAGAGCATAGAAACTCTGAAACCACGCAGGTTGGGCTTTTTTTCCTAAGTTTGCTTGTACATAATCGATTCAAAAATTCTAATTTTTGAGAATCTGCATTCACAAATTTTCCAATTGTCAAGTGATCTACACCCTTGATGTAGAGTTCGTATAATCATCATCTCAACAATTCTACAAGCGTGAAAAATATCCAACGCACTCACATTTTTTGTTCACCGTTTGAAGGGTTTTCCAGATAGCATCACAAAGTCGGTGTTTTTTCCCCTCGTTTGACAGGAATGGCTACGGACTGGACGACGATTCCTTAATTTACGATAAGCCGTACTGCCGCATCGCTCCGTACCTTGTCGGGGTCGGACTGGGCTACATCGTGCACAGGATTGGCAGCCGCAGAATCAAGATGTCGCCGGTAAGTTGTGGGGGACACCAGAAGTCTCAACGTATTGAGAAGGTGTCGCTTAATTCTGACCAAACGTATGAACCGTTTTGGAAAGGTATTTTCAAATTGAAGAGAAAAACTTAAACTTAAACGCAGTTTCACACAGTTGAAGAATTAAATCCAGCTCACATACAGATCCTATGGACAACTTATGAACATAGATATCAGTAATTGGGTGTTGTCCATATAGAGAAATTCAAATTTTCAGATAACAAAGAATTCCATTTTTGGGTCATTTTATAAAGTTTTGGTCCACTTTTTTTTCCCTGTCCCTGTTACATCTGACATCGATGGTTTTATAATTGTGATGCACTCCTTAATGCTGTCTTTTTCCAAGAGTGATTATGAATAGCAAACTACCTACCCAACAAACAAATGAAAACATTTGAAATCATTCTTAATGATATTTGAGGGCAGATTACAAATTATCAAGGTAACAGGGACGTGAAAAATGTCACACTTTGGACCTCAAAACTTTGCTAAGTTATTCAAGAGTACCCATCTTACTCAGTCTTGAGGGGTATTTCTTGTTCACAAGTGGGGGATGTGGCCAAGTGGTTAGGGTTCGTGACCCATGATCAGCGGGTCAGGGGTTCGAATCCAGCTGCTGGCCATATAATGTGACCTTGGGCAAGCCACTTCACCCTCACTTGCCTCTCCCCACCTAGGGGTATGAATGGGTACAGGCATTAGCTGGGGAGTAACCTGCAATGGACTAGCATCCCATCCAGGGGGAATATAAATATTTTCAGTCGTTTCATGTTACCGGAGATAAACACCGGCCGGATTGCCCATTTTGGCTCGTGACGGATTTAACTTACTCTTGTACAAAAAGTCCGTTATCACACTCCTCGTTTTGTTTTGCATGGATCCCACCCTAGTTCTTCGCCGTAGCTGGCTGGCTGGTGGCAGCGGGCATCGCCATCAGCGTTGTCTACGGCTTTTACCCATCGTACCACACGTCTGTCCCAATATCCCGGGCAGGGCAGGTTGCGTACGGAACCCTCAGCCGATTCGCCTGGGGTGTGGCACTCGCCTGGGTTGTCTTCGCTTGCAAGTATGGCTACGGAGGTAGGGACATCCCCTTATCTTTCTGTGATGTCATTCCAATTTTTTTACAAATTTATTGGAAGATGGTATACAAGGGTGCATGAAATAGAATTCTGTTAAATTTGGGTAGTGGAGATGTAATAACAACATCTGCTTTTTTTTTTTTTTTTTTTTTTCTCGAAATGTATTGTAGCCAGTGAGATGAAATCTCAATAAGTCTGTTGTTCATCACAAAATTTTCCAAGATTATTGCCAATATCATCAACTAACATCTGATAAAAAGTTACAAAATTTGGAGCGTATTAATTTTCGTAATTCAAGGTCAAAGGTCATTTTGTTACGCATTTTCTCTGCGCTTGATGCTACCAATTTGGTTTTATTTTATGAAATGGAGGCCATTCAAAGAGCTCTTAAAGATGTACAACTTGGCTTAATAGGTGTTGTAGTTTTGGAGATAAAAGCATTTAAAGTGCAGAGGTCATACTAATTAGTCAAAAGTTGGTTGACCCGTATCTCAAAAACTAAAAAAAAAAGCCAATTTACAAAAAAAATAAAAATTTGCTGGGGGTTTTTCATATAAGCCAATCATCATACCAAATATCTCGACCTGTGAGAGTCGGGTGCAAAATCGTGTTGAATTGACACGGAATGACCCCCTTAGAGAAATTTTAAGATGTGAATCAATAATTAAATAGTTAGTTTCCTTCTTTTGTTTTGGTTCTCCAGGTTGGATCAACGGTTTCTTGTCGTGGTCCTTCTGGATCCCCCTGGCTCGTCTCACCTACTCCGTCTACATGTTCCATCCCATGGTTTTCATCGTCTTCTACTACAACTTTGGCACGGCCATTTACGAGTCCAAGTATCTCATGGTGAGAGTTGATAGAAACTCTTTTTTTTTTTTTTTTTTACAGTATCACACTGCAAAGACCTCAGTGCAATATTTGTATGTTGAGTAATTATGTTATTTCATAATTAGAGGTTTCGGCACGGAAACCTTAAAGGGAAGATACAATATTTGCAAACATCAAAAAACCAAATGATCAAATTATCACGAAATATCTTTCTGGATTGTTAGGGAATGACAGTCTAAAGCATCCTGTAGAGTTGTGGCACCTGGTGTGTTGATATTTTCAAGAAAAACTGTAGTTTTCCAACGCTGGTCGGCCGACCAGCGTTGGAGAAAACTGGCTTTTTTCAAAAAGTGCTCCTAATTTTTCATATTCAGTTCGTCCGCATTTTCTTTGTAATTGATTACACACCTGTGAAGACTACAAGCCTGCTAGACTGATTCTCTGATCTAACAATTCCCCAAAGTCTGTAAATTGCTCCGTTTTATCTTAAGTGGGGTCAGGGAACCAGACTACAAGAATATGATTGGTTTTCTTGGTTTTTCCAGCATCTACGAACCCAAAACGTGAAACAAGTCAGTTGAACAATATTTGCTATAATATACTTATCCTCCAAATCCATTTATTTCTGAAAATTGCAGCAAAAACAAATGTTGTACATTCCCTTTAATCATCAGGGGTGAGATTTTTCAGGATTTTTCCCGATTTCAGCTTTAAAAAAAAATGCAAATCTGGAATTTGTGAGATTTTACCATAGAGGTCTCTGTACCTACATAGGTTTATATACAACAAAAGCAGTGACTATTTTAAGGGCTGTCTGTAGGCTAATGCAAAATAAGAGCATAGACGCTACTCCGAGGCCCTCATTGACTCGCGAACCGTCTGCCGATTATTTTCATGGATTTTTTCGTCTGCACGAAACGTTTGAGCTTCTGACTTATGAGAATCGGCAATGTAGCTGAAATTTGAGTTGAAGCCTAGGTTTTTGGCAACACTTGATGAAATTCTAACTTTTGGCCTGTTCATGGCTCTTCTTTTTTAGGCGTACTTTTTTGCAGGGAACCTACTGCTGTCGTACGTCGTCGCGCTGTTTGTCGCCCTCGCTGTCGAGTATCCATTCGCGGGGCTAGAGAAGCTCTTCATGCCGAATAACCCCAAGGAGAGAGCAATAAGAGTGCTCAAAACCTAAAGAAGGGTGCTTAAACAATTAACCTGATGAAGTTATAGCTCAGTGAATGCTGTATATTCCGAAAAAAACTAATATGCTAGGATCTCTAATTCCAATTGAAAAGTTGCCGAGTCATGTTTTGAATTGCGTCTGAAATCAGCGTCCGGGACACGCTCTCATTCAGCCGAGTGCTCAAAAACTAAAGAATGGTGCTTAAACAATTAACCTGATGAAGTTTTAGCTCGGTGAATGCTGTATATTCCAAGAAAAACTAATATTCTAGGATCTCGATTTTCAATTGAAAAGTTGCCGAGTCATGTTTTGAATTGCGTCTGAAATCAGCGTCCGGGACACGCTCTCATTCAGCCGAGTGCTCAAAATCTAAAGAAGGGTGCTTAACAATTAACCTGATGAAGTTTTAGCTCGGTGAATGCTGTATATTCCGAGAAAAACTAATATTCTAGGATCTCGATTTTCAATTGAAAAGTTGCCGAGTCATGTTTTGAATTGCGTTTGAAATCAGCGTCCAGGACACGCTCTCATTCAGCCAATGACAGCTACGCATGTCATGCACTGAACCAACGAATAATAGCGATCGCGTGTGCGTCGTGTCACTGCTTGTGCGCCGCACCCATTCACGGATTCACCCAATTACAAACCAAATACGAACGGAAATTTTCAAATATGCGTGTTTTGACTCATCTTTGGAAATGATCTTCTTTTATTGTTTCCTTCAAAATGACAGTGTAGTCTCCACACTACATATCGTCCAATAACATTTTACTCAGTAATGAGATGCACTGATGACTAATTTAACATTTCAATTTAACTTGAACGTTAACTTTAATGTCTGGAGTGGCAAACTTGAATAATTGGGTGACAGTCTAGCAGGATGGTAATTGGCTCGACTCGACTCGAGTCACTGCAAGCAAATAACTCGACTCGAGTCACTGCGAGCAAATGACTCGACTCGAGTCACTGCGAGCAAATGACTCGACTCGAGTCACTCACCAGATGACTTGACTCGAGCGAAGGCTAATAAGACTCCAGTCCCAAAACAAGCAAACTTTTGCGAAAAGTATTTGCAATGACTTACGGTGAAAAACGTATGTTCACGTCACTTTGCTAGTAAAGAACGGTACAGGCGACTGCTTGTCATGTACAAACATAGAACGTGTAACAGAATCCCACCTCACGGTTCTAGAACGCACTTAATACTATCCAGGAACCAGATTTTAAACACATTTTCGAATTCGTTGTTTCATCATTGGCTTTGGCTGATTTGATTTTTTTTAAAGCTCTTGGATTCGAACGCCGCCTAAAGTTATAAATGTTGGTATATAGTGTTCAAATATTTGTGACTTGAATTGACTCAAGCTAAATATGTGACTCAACTCGACTTCACACTGTGACTCGACTCAACCTTCTTGAACTAATGACTGGACTCGACTTGACTTGAGTCACTTCTTTAAAATGACTCGACTCAACTCAAGTCCCAAAAATCAGTGACTCGTTACAACTCTGCAGTCTAGATGACAATTTGGTGGCTACAATCAAGAACAATACTGCCACTGGGTGGCGAGTGACCAAGTTGGTGACAATGTTCTATGACTTGAAATAAATTGGGAGTAAGTTCGTGTTGACAGGCGGAAATTGTGTAACTAAATTGCTGTAACTAACTTGGTGTAACTTGATGACAACTTGGTGTAACTTGATGACAACTTGGTGTAACTTGACGGTAACTTGGTGTAACTTGACGACAACTTGGTGTAACTTGACGACAACTTGGTGTAACTTGACGACAACTTGGTGTAACTTGACGGTAACTTGGTGTAACTTGACGACAACTTGGTGTAACTTGACGACAACTTGGTGTAACTTGACGACAACTTGGTGTAACTTGACGACAACTTGGTGTAACTTGACGACAACTTGGTGTAACTTGACGACAACTTGGTGTAACTTGACAACAACTTGGTGTAACTTGATGACAACTTGGTGTAACTTGACGACAACTTGGTGTAACTCGGTGTAACTTGGTGGTCTGACCAATAAATACAGAGAAGAAAATAAAATTTCTAAATAATGTTTCCAAACCCAAGCTTGTGAACACCCTGTCCTACCACACAAATGTCCATATATCTCTAGCTATGGACACTCTTATACAATTTGAACTCACAAACTTATCCAAAAAATACCATGAATGAGCTACATGAACTATATGAACAGTGCCCTCATTCGTTAAAGAGACGAAATGTCCCAACCACATGGAAACATTTGTGACAAAACTCCCAATTCTATGTCCTCTATCCACTATAAACTTAATCAATGGCTATATCGGATCTTCCAAAAAAAAGGTACTAACTTTGTTGAGCTGACGAAGTCTTACAAAATAAATGGCAAAAATAATGGCAACTTGTCTCTGAATTTCAATTGAAAAAGGTGGCGAGTGCAAAACAGCGCCCTCTGATTACAAAAATGCACCACACAAAGTTTCTGCACTCGCACGGAGCAAAACAATGCAAAATGATATTCTGGCCGCTACCATGGGCGTCGCCAGGATTTTTTCTAGAGGGGGGGCAAAGCACATTTTCCCCAAAAAATCCCTGTACGTTTCCTGTATATTCTCAATTTATCATTTTCCAAGGGTGGGCAGGAACATTTGCCCCCTCCCCAACCCATTAAATTAACAGCAATATGACTTCGTGCCTCTTTTTCTTTCCTTTTTTCCCTCCTTTTTGTTGTGCTTTTTTTCCCCACTTTGCCCCCCCCCCCTCCCGACGCCCATGGCTGCTACAGACAGCATGCCAGAAGGAATAATTTCACAGGGAGTTCATTACCAATACTATCTTTAAACCAAGCTTTTCGACAATAATTTGGTCAGTTACTTTTTGGATAGCTGCAAATGATCTACTCTACCTTTAAGGCCAAAAAAAAAAGTCTCCGGTTTCTGGTATGGAGCTTGCCCAAAAAGTGGTGCGGCGACGCAGCTTTTGTTTTTTTTTACCTGATTTTTTGGCTTCAAATGTCGGCTGATGACTGCAAATGGTGCCCGACTAAACTTAGTGCAAATATATGGGAGTCCACATAAAGTTTATACTCGATCGTAACCCCATCTAAAAACCCTTTAAAATTGTCCAGCAGCAGGATTCCAGTCAAACCAGTGAGTTTGGCGATTTAGAGACATCATCTTTCATTGAAAAAAACCTTTTTCATTTTGCCGACGCGCATGGCTACGGTGACGCGCGCGCATACCAGAAACCGGAGACTTTTTTTTTTGGCCTAAGCTCCTGACTTACGAGAATGCAGAGATGTAGCCAAAGTTTGAGTTGAAGCCTAGTTATTGTAAACTATTGATTAACATTCTAACTTTTTGCCCGTTCATGGTTCTTCTTTTTCAGGCGTACTTTTTCGCAGGGAACCTACTGCTGTCGTATGTCGTCGCGCTGTTTGTCGCCCTCGCTGTCGAGTATCCATTCGCGGGGCTGGAGAAGCTCTTCATGCCGAATAACCCCAAGGAGAAGCTGGAACGTTACCATGGCGATATTCAAAACCTTAACCTTCGACTGTGAGACTTGCCCGATGACTGTCATGAAATTGTAGCTTCTTCGGTAAAAACCGTGCTTCTGCATATATTTTTTTTTTTATAGATATTTAGTGTGGGGAAGTCTTAAAAAAAAAAAAAAAATCAAGAAAATGATATACTACTGGTGTACTTATGGCTACTCAGAATGATGATAATAATAATAATGTGGTGCTTATATAGCGCTTTATACCAAAAGTCTCAAAACGCTTCACAATTATTACCCCTGTTCATCAGGCCATGAGGCCAGTTTTTGCAGCAGCTCGAGATCAGCGCATCCTGGGCTCTACCTTCACTGGTACCCATTTACATGTACACTCCTGGGTGGAGAGAGGCAATTGTAGTAAAGTGTCTTGCCCAAGAATTCAAGCACCATGTTCGCCGTCAGGGTTCGAACCCATGTACCACGGCACGTGAGTCAAACACCGTAACCATTGGACCACAGTACTCCACCCAATATATTGGTAACTGTTAAATTAATCATTTTTATTGTTGCTATGGAGATAGTGACTTACAAAAATTGATTTTTAACTGTGGAGTGACAGGGTAAACATTTAAAATTGTTTAAAAGTAGAGACAAGAAATATAAGGAGATTTTTTTTACTGTGCAGTGTAGTAAAGTTTATTTTGCTGACAAATATTCATAACTTTAATACCAACAGTGGTTTGAGGTGCACCAGTACTGCCACTTTTATCATTTTGAGAGGATTTTTACTCTTTGTGTATATTTATGTAGAAGTGGATATAACGTGTATTATATTTTTGATATAAGAATTTTATGGAGTCTTTTTGAAAAAACACCTCAAAACCTACTTTTTTACTGCAGGGGTTGTTTGAGCATATAAGTAATGTATGCTCTTATTTTTTTTCTCCAAAATTACATTTCAACCTTTTCAGCTAAATAAATCAATTTTGCATAAATCAAAATCGCAGGTGCTAAATAATTTTGAAATCTGACCTCATTTTTGTTCCTGCATTGCATACTTGGAGCTACAATCCTAGCCAAATTTGAAATCTCGCTGGGCCCCCAACCCCCCAGCCCCCGCTCAATGTTGTCTCTCATTGCGCGGTGTGTGCTCCATCCGCTGGAGAGAACAACATTGACCGGGGGAGCGGGTGAGTGGGTGACCGTGGGAGGCTCAGGAAGTGTCCCAACCATTTTGGCCGGGATTGTAGGTGGGACCATGTCATTGTCATTCCAAATCTATAATGTATTTACTGCTGCATGCAAATATTTGTATCATGGGCGTGAAAAATGCCAATTTCTCAATTCCCGACTAGTTTGTGGTACAGATGGATTCTAAACACTGTCGATATCAAAACGTTCAATAATCGATATATCGGAAATCTATTATCAAGAATATTCAAGATATTGATTATTCCATGCAAAAGTCAACAAAATGTGGAAAAATTACAAACGAATTTCTTCAAGCACATACAAAAAAATTTAAGTCCCAATTTTCTAACAGCTTTCTCTACAGCATATTGCTGAAACTTTTAAAACAAATCTCAGCACTGAGAGTTTGTTTTTAGGTTTTTCATTAGGGAGACCGCGAATTCCAGCGAACGCAGAGCACCTAGCGTTGCTGCTGGGTATTTCCTGATGATTTTATTTTCAGTTACAAGCACAAATGCCGCTAGGTTTTATTTCATTGTACGGCAAACGATAAACACAAAGTAAAAGCACAAACGGAAGATTTATTTTGACGAGAATCTGACGCATTTCGATATTTTCGATATATCTCAATATCAAAATTTTCGATATTTTCGATATACTAGCGGCAATATCGATATCAAAATAATATCGAATAATTGAGAAATATCGATATATCGACAGTGCTTAATGGACTTATCGGAGTGATTCTTCAGAAATTAAAAACGTTAATTTTTGGAAAAAATTAAAGTTTTTTTTATGTGATGTAATACAAATGATTATTGTTCACTAAAGTTCTTCAGGTGTTTCATAAGTAGGTCTTTCCGTGCATAAATTAGCATAAATTTAAATATATAATGTCACACATGTCACCAATCAGACCTGAGTTTGCACATTTTTAGAGTCAATTTTAGTGCACGTACTTCAAATATGTTTTATGTTTTAGTATATTTTATGCTTTACTTTTATGCAAGCTGGTTAGATGCTATTTCTGTTTGAAATATAAGTAAACATGTATTGGCACTATATAGAGTAGATTATTGATTGTTGGCAAAGTAGTTTTAGTCAATTACATGTATGTTGATCATGTATATAATCATATGATCAAAGGTTAATAGTTTTGTAAAATTGTTCAAATATTTTCACAGCTTTAAATAACTGCAATGTAGATAGATAAAAGTAGACCACAAAGCAATTTCTTCTTAGAAACTGAAATTGGTGAAGCGATGGCTACGGAAGAATGAAATTTTATCAGGAAGTCAAAAGTGGATAGTATATTGAAATAAAAACCTGGGTACGCTCTTTCTTATTCATTTGAAAACGCATCAATAGAAATTGTCTTCAAAATTTGTTTGATGGATCTGTTCAGTAAATGTACTTCATGAAAGTATGCTGTGAATTTTCTTTTGTTAAAAGTGGTATTTTCAAGTGTAAATTTCTATTCAAAAATGTTTCATGAATATGTGCATTCAGTGTAATCCTATTGTAATATTCTAAAATTGTTTTTCAATATTAGTGGAAGGCCTATTGGAAGAAAATTTTACGTAAAATTATGGAATTTTATCTTGAAAAATAATGATATAATTAGCATGCATATTCCTACATATACATGTTCTTAACTTGTGTGAAGTTTTTCTTCAATATTCACGTTTAGTGGTGTTTCAAGGGCCAGTTTTATGTTAAAAAATTGTTTGATGATTATGTGCATTCAGTGTGATTCTATTGTAATATTCAGAAATTCATTCAATTTCCATACTAGTGTAAGACCTACTGGAAGAAAAGTGTATGTAAATTTATTGAATGAATTCTTTTAAAATTATGATATAAATAACATGCAAATACCTATATATACTTAACCTGTGTGAATTCTTTCATGTTGAAATAATCTGATTCTGGAACTTTATGCAACTTTGCGACATTTTGCTGAAACTATTGGACTTCCCACCCATCTATCTGGGGCACAAGTTGCCCAAAGAAGTCCTATGGTTTACGTCATTTATTTGCATGTAAGTTCCCGATTTAAGTTTATTTGAATTTTTCCCGCTTTCAGAATAATGCACAATAAAATGTGAAATTGAAATATTAAATGTGACAATTTTATTGTGAAAGAAAGACTATAATAATTCCAAAGAAATACTTAAACTTGTTTGGTTACGCTTTAATAAATTTTCCTCCCTTAATTGGTTAAGTATATTTCCGCTACTTATAGGCAAATGTAAATTGCAAAATGTTAAATTTACATTGTGACCACAACCCGCTTTCACATTTTTAATACATTTTAGTGAATACAAAGTTACAGAAATATCCTATAAATTATGAAAGTGATTTCATTATATTACAGTGAACAATTGTTTCAAAATTTCGCACATTAAGTTAATAATGATTACATTTGAAAAAAAAATTGAGGCAAATATCAGTACTGATTGTATACAAGTATATAGTAGGCTAATAAGGTGAAGGGGAGGGGTTTTAGGATTTGAGGGAAGGGGGGGTTGAACAGAGGAGAAGTGAATTTCTTTTACAGTTTGAATATAATGGAATATGCGGGCTGGAATGTAGCCTTGACCAAGGCTAACAGCTTGTTCCCATACGAGCTTGTTCTCGCTACTGCACACAGCGCGCGCCGCAATACTATTACTATACCGTTTAGCCTCAACGACCCTTGTATGTGCATGTACATACACCCCACACACACTTCCGCAAACAGCTGTACAGAAAGTCGGGGTGGATATCCTCCGCCTCTACTACTTACTGTACGGCTGTTTACGGAAGTGTGTGTGGGGTGTACGTATAGATGCACACGCAAGGGTCGTTGAGGCTAACGGTATAGTACAACTAGCGTGTTGCGGCGCGCGCTCAGCGGTAGCGGGAACAAGCTGGTATGGGAACAAGCTGATAGCCTTGGTCAAGGCTAGCTGGAATGTTATAACAGGCCTTCAATATTCAGTTATGTTGATTGTCAATGATTGAAAGCATATCAAATTTGTGATTGCATATACACTACCACAAATTTTCTCATTTGCTTTACCTTAAAATGATCCAAAAAGATATTCAGTCTCTTGTCTTTTAAGAAATTTTTTTTTTTTAAATTTGATAAAATAGAACCATTTTGATAATCTTTTTGACAGAATATTAGAGACTTAACAGCTGCTTTAGTTTCACGTTAAATGTTGTGCAGTCTGTAATTTGATACAAATATTAATTTAAATTCTTTTGTTTTGTTTCTTATCAGTACAGAATCAGGCAAATATATACAAATATATTTTAAATCTCTAATGTAAAATAAATTCTTTGGTTGCCTTTACAAATTTTCCAGAATCAAGCTAAATACAAAATATTTCAATTTTCCATTTCTCAGTAGTACTGATTCAACAGTAAATCATAAAAAAAATAAGCTTTGAAAAAGTTATTGTAAAATAAACTGATTTGTAATAATTTGGAATGTTGATATTTACCTCTGCTCTCTTTATTGGTAAAAAATATTCAATTATAACTGACTATATGGTAAGAAATATAATAAAATTGCGTACTGTATTGTACCTTTATTGTGTAAAAACAAGGGTCTAAAAATTGCAAATATTAGTATTAAAAAATCATCAGTGTGATACAATAACACATGATCTAGGAATACAGACGTTAATTTTCAATATACACCTATAAAACGACAATAATTTGGGAGCTTTGAACAAGTAACCAGTACCACTAAGTGTTGACAATTTTGCAGATTGTTTTTGTTAAAGCTGTGCATAAATTGGGCGATTCACAAAGCAGTGCGCCACCAAGAGTTTACCATGGAGAGTTCATATTTCCTAGCGCTTTGTGGGAGATAGTCGACAAATTCGCAACGCACTGAAAGTGTTAGTTTTTCGGGCCAGTTGTTTCGTAAGCGTATGATTTGAGTAAATATTTGTCCTTTTCTCTTCTTTTTATCAATATGGTGGTTTTTTTTTTAAGGCGGCAGAACGCTATGCTCCAATCTATAACATATTATCTCAAGTTGTCTACTGACACTCAAAAATGGACTCTCCACAGCAAACTCTTGGTGGCGCACTGCATCGTGAATCGCCCAAATTTGTGAGAAGAATGAACAAGGTGCAATTTCACGGTGCTTCGGAGCAGATTTGTCTAAGCAAGTTCACATGCTCAACAGCGATCAGCACTGAACCAGTCAAACACAATACACACCACACACTATTATGGCTGGTAACCCATTTCTGCTAAGCATGTATTATCTATGTTTAGCAGACGACGCCTGTGCTACGAAGCTCCACTTGCCTGATTGAGATACAGCGCGCTTTTGGTTCGTGGATAAAGTCTTTTTTAATCGTCAAACTTGAATTCACGATCCTGACTAGTCGATCCATGGCAACAACAGTGTGATGCTATCCCCTACTGCACTTTGCATATCGCGCTATTCTAAGATTTCTAAGCAGTTATTCCTGCTGCGTGCACAAATAATGGGATAACCGCCTAAAAGTTTCTACAGCGTGCTTGTTCCATCTTTACTGTGCGCAAAGTTTGCTTGAAGATATTTTATCCCACTCACTCTTGTGAAACTCAGAAAATGTAGTGCATCTGTGTTCCATATCTTAAAAAGTCTTCGGCCTTGTGGCGTATGCAGCAGACACATTACATTATTCCATTAAACACAGCAAAACAAGAAAGTAGACACTCATTGGGGGGTCATAATTTTGAATCTGATCCTCTTATGCTGACTTATTTATATAGACCTTTGGGTGAATGTTGCTAGCTACATTTCGATACCCCCTTTGCTAACAAAGTAATTGAAAGAGTTCGCAAGAGAAAATTGCTGAGTGACAATGTTATACACTGCCCGAAACGAACGGCAGGGAATATCGATCGCACAGTGCTTGCATGCATGGGAGCACACGAATTGAATTACCAGCGCTTTGTTCGGGCACCATGCAATCGATGGGGCCAATTTACGGGCATGTGTGTTTGCATTTAGCAATTTCTCCTCAAACTGCATCATTTTTCATAAACAGTTGTCAATCTCGGACAATTGACAGTCTTTGGTAGCAAACAGGGTATCAAACTGTAGCTAACAAACTTTCCCAAAGGTATATATGCGTGATGTCATCTTAAGACAATCAGATTAAAAAGTAAGACCCCTCCAATGAGTGTGGATTTTCTTTTTTGCGGTGTTTATAACACTTTTTACACCAAATAGTATCCTCCTTCTTTAGCCACTATATCTCTAAAAGGCTCATTAATTTGGTCCCCTGTGCGTAAGACTAAGAACAAATAACTCAACAAACGCACTCCCACACTTTCAGAAATAAAATCCGAGAAATTACGGAGAAACTATCTAACGCTCGTTGTTATTAAGTAGGCAGTGACCGCTGGTGAGCGATTCCATTCTCGTGGGCGGGGCCTCGGGCCCGGACGCCGTTATCCACAGGAGACGAAGGCTCGATCATCGTGACTACCGCGTTACCTCGCGTCTCCGGACCCCCCTCGACCTTTTTAGGACTGACCCGGGAGGGGAGGAAGAGCTTTTCCAGATTGGCGAAGGGGTACTCAACGGCCAACGCAAGGAAGATGGCAATGAAGTAGGAGATGGACGCCAGACCGGCGAAGTAGAAGGCCTGTGTGGAGTGGAGAAATGTTCAACAAATGAATTTCTAATCAATTTCGGATTCCAGCAATTACTTATTCACAGGATTTTACGAAAGCTCGGATGAGTCAACAGCTTTGGCTTCAGGAGACCTTAAGCCCATGACTTGTTGGGGGGTGGGGGTGGGGTGGGGGGACGCGATGGGGGGGGGGGGGGAATGACTCCGGTTCAATTTAGGTCCACATTCTACTTCATGAACATAAAATTCTATTATGTGAGTCTTGGTGAATACATCAGATTCTTGGGTGTTTTCTGGGGGTTGGGGGTGGGGGTTCCTTGAAGAAATGTTTAAAAGAGTTGAAATAGAAGAAGAGTTGAACGCAAAATTCCATGAATGTCTGGTTTATGCAAGATCTGTTCCTATACAGTGAATACATCACACTCTTGGGTATGTGGTCTTTTTTATGTGTTTTTGATTTTTTGATTTCTTGAAGATTTGTTTAACTCTTTCGCTACTGAATTTAATTTCCTGATTTTTTCACGTTTGTACGTAATAAATCGTTGGAAATTCTGCCGTGTGTCGACGTGGACGCCGGCATCTTTAAATGTCTCTCTGTAAACAACCTGCTCAGAATAACCTGCAGCAGACCCTTTTGACGCGACGGAGAGCCGTTGGCAGTGGCTCAAACTTGGGTCAGAAGTCATCATATAAATTATGTAAATAAGGCACACGTCATGGGGATACCCAAGCCGCTGCCAGCGGCTTGCCGTATGACATGTACAGTTTTTGTGCGCTGCTGTCGGCTTGCCGTAGCGAAAGAGTTAAAACTAGAAAAGACAACAAACTTACCATGAGGTAGACAGAGAAGTGCCAGGGACTGGCAAAGTTATCGTAGAAGACCATGATGACGATGGGATGGATCATGTAGGCAGAGAAGGTGACTCGGCTGAGAGGAACCCAAAAACCCCAGGAAAGAAAAGTGTTTATCCAACCTGCAAGACGACAAAGCACAGCGGTCAGAAAAACTCAGGGATGGATCACAAGTTGTCGTAAGTCATCACAACTCATCATAAGCAGATCACAAGTCTTCACAAGTCCATCACAAGTCCTCCAGTCCCAAGTCAACTCGCAAGCTATTCTAATGGACCTTGACAAAGATATTCCTTTGTTATTGGTCAACTTTGTTACTTGAGACTGGACTTGTGAATGGATTTGCGATCTACTTGTGACTAGACTTATGATGTACTTGTGATTTATCACAAGTAGCTGGACCACAACACTGATGTCTTCATTACTATTATGCGGGCCATGTGAAACAATGCAATTTACAGGCAACTTTTGTTCCGGTCAAGAAAAAAAAACATGTACATTTTAATTTTCCGTTAACTTTGTAAGGTATTGCTATAAAACCACAGAGCTTTGTATTTCATTTTTCATGAAGGTTTTTTTAGGTTGCAGTGCATTTTGGTGCATCTAGTAAAGTAAACATTGACTCAACTGAAAATTGAGAGTTTTCAATTTTCACTTGGGCCAGTTTCGCTTGCACAATTTGCACCGTAAAAATTGCCTAATATTCCTTTTTTTGGCAATTAATTAAAGGATTTCTAACTAAATCTGTAGAGAGAAAACAATGAAAAAATTTTCAGTTTTTGGAGTTAGGAGGAAGATTTCAACTTCGAGCGTCGGTAGGATTTGAACCTAGTGCAGAGTGAAATTTGGACTCTTGTGAAATACAGACTCCTCGGTTGTATTGTGCATGCCTAAAGTGAAGATAATTAGGACAGAGACAGGTCACATGTGAGGGCTAAAATCCATATAAGGTAAAAGAGACCAGATTTCATAGGAGTCCAAATTTCATATGACACCAGACCACAGAGGCAAACTGTGCAACTGTGCAATTTTTTTGCACCAGGGTTTGCTTTTGGTGCTACAACCAATTTAACATCCACTCATGGTTTCATGGTTTATTAAAAAATTCAACTTGGTTGCCAGAGGCAAAATTGCATTGAATTCACAATGAGTAAAAAAAAGTTAACAATAAAAAGTTAAGCTTCATTAAAAAAAAAAAAAATTAATATAGATTAAACATGGACAGAGTCATTGTACAATTTCAAAAATATTACGCATGTACACAAGAATTAAAAAGGTTGCCAAAGACAAAACATGCAACGAGTTAAAAAAAATAATGAGGAGTATAGACAAAATACACCGGACACAAACCTTCTTGCACAAACTTAGAGAGTCATTTTTATCATAAATGTCTAAATATTGGCCAGTACAACTCACCTCCATATCCGTACTTGCAAGCGTACACCACCCAGGCCAGAGCCAACGCCCAGACGAAACGGCTGAGGGAACCGTAGACGATGGAAGCCGGTCTGGACATGGTCATCGACTGGGTGCTGGGGTACAGACCGTACACCACACTCATCGCCAGGGCAGCGGCCGCTAGCCAGCCAATCACAGCCAACACCTGACAAAAAAAATATGAATAAATTAAAACAAATTATTGAATTATTTAAAGGTACAGTCCATCATTTGCAGCTATCCAAAAAGCAACGGACGTAATTATTGTTGAAAAGTTTACTTGGTTAAATGATAGTAATGGGACTAAACTCCCTGTGAAATGATTCCTTTTTGCAAGCTGTCATTTTGAAGAAATCAATGAAAGAAGGCCTTTCCAACGATGCGTCTTAAGAAGCACCGTTGGAAATTTCCGTTAGTAGTTTGTTTTTTTAGTCGGCGAAGCGCGCACAAGCGTTGACACATGCGCAACATCGCGTACCTGCAATCGGCTCAGTGAGAACGTGTCTCGGACGCTGAATTCAGGCCCAATTCAAAACATGACTCGGCAACTTGTGATTTAAAATCGAGATCCTAGATTGTTGTTTTCTTGGAATATACAGTTTTCACTGAGCTGAAACTTCATCAGGTTAGTTGTTCAGCTCTCTTCTTTAGATTTTGACCACTTTTGTTTCTTCAAACAAACATAATGCACAAATTACAAATGATGGATGCTACCTTTAAAAGCCAGAAGAGTCGTTTCATACTTGGACAAAACCAAGCAAGTATTCGCATTCAATAGTGGACCTTTATCAGTAGAGGGCAAAAGAGTCCACAACTCGGTGAAGATCTACTTTTGGAAAGCATTTACAATACCAATAGGGGTGCTTCCATAATTTTTTTACAATAAACGGCCAACAGAAATCCCTGTCTACATTCAAATCTACCCTCAATTCCCATCTGTCTTTTCATCGTTTTTTTGTTATTAACGTTTTTCTTTGTATTTATGTGCCGTGAGCATCATGCTAGGCGGATACCGGCACTTTACCAAGTGATCATTATTATTATTAATTATTGTTCATAAATACCTAAGACAGTTTACCAATTCCTATTGGTCTTAAACGGATGATAAAGACATGGCTAGCTGGTCTTAAACACTTTTCCAGTGTCACATGAAATTTGGACTCCTAAATATTCAGTGCCTCTTACCGTTTTATTGGTTGAACATTCACTATCCTCACGTAGGCATGCGCAATACTACCAGTGAGTCAGTATTTTATAATCCTAAATTCACAACGCAACGCCCCAGGTGCATTCTGCGCGACATCGCGCAGTATGCATGACGCGCATGCCAATCTCCATAAAAGGAGTTGTTTACAACTTACTCGCAAGCTGGACACTCCACTATTTAGCTGGAGGGTTGTTTCACAAAACAAAACTTGACCGAAAAGTTTTGATTTTTTGTCCGAAAAGGTATTTATTTCGGCTCGGGTAATTATCAGCACCAAGACTACAAGCGGTCTTAAACAGAGTGATTGAAGCCTCCCAAACACACATATTCCCTTATTAATAGAAAGTCCGCGATTGAAGGTGTTTCAACACTTATGTGTTTATGGTCGAGTCCATCACTAGTCCCCACAAGACCAGCACAAGTCATCCATGCTCCATTCAAGTTAAAAAGTATTCCAATAAATTGTCACAATTGCATTCCCTTGTTTTTGTTCACCTGTTACTTTTGTCTGGACTTGTGAAAGGACTTGTGATTTACTAATGAAAGGACTTGGGGTGGACTCAACTCAGTGTGTGTGTACAAACTTACAGGATTCATCTTGACTTTGCGGTTGCCAATGCGGTGCATGATGTAGCCTAGTCCAATACCGACCAGGTAGGGTGCGATACGGCAGTATGGCTTGCCGTACACCAGGGAGAAATAACTAGCAGAAGTTAAACCCCTAGAACGAAAATAAAAATACCAACATTAGGCAAAAAAAATAAAAATACTCGGTCTCTAGTCAGCGCTCGCGTCGATTTTAATCATGCGCGTCAACCTTTTTTTTTCTTCAAATTAACACGGAAGCTACAACAGCGCCCTCTATTGCCGCGCCTCCTCAAATTTTTGTACCAAGGAGCACCAAGGAATGGGGAAATTGCACTAAGGCAAATTATAAAGGGCACCAAGGCAAATAATGGAGGACACCAATGTATAATGAGGACACAAAAAAGCAAAATAGTACCCACCTTGTCTGTACAATACAAGCTTGAAAAAAAAAAAAAAGCCACCCCCCCCAAAAAAAACGTGTCGCCGCATCAATTCTGGAACTTCGGTCTGACCAGAGACCGACAATTTTTTTTTTTTGGCCTTATGCCTTTCCGACTCTTGAGGCAAGCTGCCGCAACTTGTGCCTTGGTTGTGAGTAACATCGTGCCCCAAAATTAAGGCTTGAAAAAATGCAATATTTAGACACTGTGTGCACATTAGTTATCAGGTTCTCATTACATCAATTCACACTGAGTTAACTTTCGAGGATGTTGAAATCAGATATGTTAGTGTAAGAACAAGTGACTGAAGAAAACGTTGCGCATTCGCTAACGGCGAACTACATTTTGTTATTTTGTCAGTCTAGACAAACAAGTTGTATCAAAATTCTTGTCAGGTAGGCAAAATGTCACAGTTGGCAATACGGGGGATTCTCAATACAGTGCGCCAACAACAGGCCACCGAGAGTTCATTTTTCAACTTTACGGTCGATAAAAACATGGCTGACTCGCTGCGATTTGAACTAATGTCAGTAAATAACTTGAGGACATTTTTGATAGATCGCGGCATAGCATTCTGCCGCCTCACAAAATACACCATCTTTATAAAAAGAAAAGAAAAAAAAAAGAACTTTGAATCATACGTTTACAAAACTCCTGACCAGACAAACTAACAATTTTAAGTGTCCAAGGTCAATTTGTTGATGACCGTCTTCCACAATGCACTGCGAAAATGGACTCTCAGTGGCAAACTCTTGGTGGCGCACTGTATTGGCAATCCCCCATATTATTATGTCACACACATATGTGACCTGTTCTGTCAAAATCAGACTTTTCTGGGCATAAGGTCGAAAATGATATTTTTACATATTGTTAACATATGTTCTTTTTCCTTTTAATAGGTGGTTTAATTTTTGAAACCGGTCATTCCTGGGCAGAGTTATGCTATTTTGAAGTTCATTCTGTCGAAAAGTAGAAAACGGAGAAAATGGCCACGAACGTCACAAAACAGTTATTTCTTTAACTGATATACCTTATCAAAATCATCAAAAATAGTATATGTACAGTTCAAATTAGGGTTTCAAACTTTTATAATATATTTTCGACATGTTCAGGATTACAAATATGCAAAAATTTGAAAATCGATAAAAATCACCCCCACAGCGTTTTCAATTTCAACCTCTGCCCAGAAGCGTCTGCTTTTGACAGAACAGGTCACATATGTGTCTCGTTACACGACTGCGAATTGGTGAATTGAGCACGCACACAAGCGTGTGGAAAGCCCATCTGTTGCACTTACGACAGGGAGTTGATTAAACTTAGATCCACGTCATAGATTCCGATGATCAGACCGGTGGAAACAAAAGAAGCCAGAAGTGTACCAATCAGAGCAAGCCAACCGAAGACAGGGTAACTGTTACCATTGGTTACAGGGAAGAAATAGGAATTGAGTAGAAAGTAATAAGTGAGTGAGGTGGCAGGGAAGAAAAACAGAGTTAGAACAACCGATCCAAATCCCAGTTTCAGACGTGGTTAAGAGTGTGGAAAAGTATGGGGAGAATGCAAAATTTAATGAGCGGTACTCAAGAGATTGAACCCCGAGGTACCCCGTAAAACCTTGTAAAACCCCGAGGCACCCCATAAAATCCTGTAGAACCTCGTCAAAACTCGAGGTAAACCCCATAAAAACCTGTAAAACCTCAAGGTAAAACCCTGTAAAACCATGTCAAAGTTCGAGGTAAACCCCGTAAAACCTTGTAAAACCTCGTCAAACCTTGAGGTAAACCCCATAAAACCCTGTAAAACCCTGTAAAACCTCAAGGTAAAACCCTGTAAAACCATGTCAAAGTTCGAGGTAAACCCCATAAAACCTTGTAAACTTTTGTAAAACCTCAAGGTAAACCAAAACCCTGCAAAACCTCTTCGAACCTCGAGATAAAACCCTGTAAAACCTCATCAAAGCTCAAGGTAAGCCCCATGACTCCACGTAAAACCTCGTCAAACCTTGAGGTAAACCTCATAACTCCATGTAAAACCTCGTCAAACCTTGAGGTAAACCCCATAACTCCATGTAAAACCTCGTCAAACCTTGAGGTAAACCTCATAACTCCATGTAAAACCTCGTCAAACCTTGAGGTAAACCTCATAACTCCATGTAAAACCTCGTCAAACCTTGAGGTAAACCTCATAACTCCATGTAAAACCTCGTCAAACCTTGAGGTAAACCCCATAAAACCCTGTAAAACCCCATAAACCTCGTGGTAAACCTCAAGCCTGTTTAATTTCACATTCTCCCCTAACTTGAAGAACTCAGAGTCACAGGTATAAACAGGTAAAAAAAAAGAAGATTTTTAAAACTTACTAAAACAACGGAGCCAAGAGGAGCGGGCTGATGAGAAAGAACTGCATGTCGTTGGCCAGGTACCAGGTCCATCCAATGCACTGTGGGGTGAAACGGTGAGAAAAAGTTGACAAAATTGAATTGGTCTTTTTAAAAGGGGTGAAAAAAGGTTTGTTTTCTTCTTTACATTTTCCACAACATGACATTTAGAAGAGCAAGTGAGATCGAGAATGTGCAAAGTTACATTCATTCACATGAATGCATTTACTCGCACATTAACTCCAGGTAAAGTGTAAATTAAGACGCAAAATGTTCCCAAGACCACGTGCAACTGCGTCGTTGAGGAATTCTAGGCAAACTTTAACCGTTGCCTTGACTTTTTTTTAGCTTGAACCATCGTTAATCTGCCAAATTCTAACATGGGTGTGATTATGGTCTCATTTTTGGCATAAACTGGACATGGATACCGATGCAATAGTGGCTTGGCCATGCAGTCCTTAATCCAACAAGGTTGAGTAAAGGAAATGTAGTTCTTCAATTTTCTGGCAGCTTTGGGACGATGAGGTTACACTTCTAATCCCGTACCTATACCATATCCAAGTTAACACTTCATACTTTCAGATTCCACGTCCAAAATATCACACATCCAAAATATCCCATGTCCAAATTATCCAACGTCCAAAATATCCCACATCCAAAATAATCAATGTCCAAAATTTCCCATGTCCAAAAATATCCAACGTCCAAACTTTTCCATGTCCAAAATATCCCACGTCCAAAATTTCCCATGTCCAAAATATTCCACGTCCAAAATATTCAGGCTATGTGAATGTGTATTTAACTATGTGTGAACATGGAACTCAACTGTGCAACTCTGAACTCAATTACGCAACTAATTAAGGTTTGACTGAGAGTACTCGGGACAAAGTCTCCACAGAAGAAGCACTTGAGATCGAGTTGAAGGGAATGTTGCCGTTCCGTACCTGCTCGACGAAATTCGTCGGCCAGAAGTTACTGATGTAGAGTAGACTGCTCCACCAATAGTCTGGGCAATATGGACGTAAGGCGTGCGACTGCCATATGGGACCCTCCCCAAAGAACTGCGGAAGGTACATCCAGATCAGGATGGTGATAGCAAACAGGGGAGTCAAGCTAGAAAAAAACGTGGAGGGGGTTAAAAGAAATTTTCAAGGTTAATTCGAGCTAGGAATGATGTATTATGTGACTTAAATTTGGGGTTTTGCAACTCACCAACAACTCTTTTTTTAGGGTTTGTGAAAAAAATATTTCACAAGTTTACTAAGGTGGGACTCTTAATAATAATAATAATAATAATAAATATAATAATTACTGAAAATGGGACCATAGGGAGACATTCCCATAGACTTGCGCGCAAAATTTTTCAAACTTAAATGTGCCCTTACCCAACATTCCCTGGTCCTTTTTCCACGAATTTCGGTATGTTTACTAATTAGACCACGAGCAACAAATATAACCCGATTGCGACAGCAAAATTTTGCCTCTGAAGGGGGGCTGTGGAATTAAAGAGACATGAAAATGTCTCCCTAATGACCGGTGTCTCCCTATTGTCGAAGAAATTACGATAACGTGTCTCCCTAATGGTACATTTGTAGTTTTAATTGCGTTTATACAGCGTTTCCATCGTATCAACAATCTCAAAGCGCTTTACAATTATTCCCCCGTTCATCAGGCCATGGAACCATGCGCCAGCCGATATCAGCGCTCAATCGGTCCTCGACCCTCACAGGTACCCATTTATACTCCTGGGTGGAGAGAGAGGCAATTGTAGTTAAGTGTCTTGCCCAAGGGCACAAGCACCATGTTCCTGGCTGGGTTCGAACCCACGCACCTTCGTAACAAGAATCAAACACCGTAACCACTGGACCATGGCATAACAACAACCTCCTGCTTACTAGCACAGCCGTTACACCACGCAGCTGCCGAAATACTAGCAGGATTGAATCTGATGTAGCAGTGGGTACATGTGAACTTAAAAACAAGTTGAAACTTGACTCACCCCTGCCATCACATCTGGGATGCACATTAATAACAAGGGTTATGATTTTGTTTTGGACAAAAAATTAACCTCCATTGAATATATATGCATGTCAGGCATGCAACTGGGAATTTAGAAACAACAGGGAAATTCCAAACGACACAATACTTTGTACAGTGTTTTTCAATTTGTAATGGCATTCATGAGAATTAAAAAAAAGAGGAAATCAGCGGATCCGAGGAAAAGATGCATGCTTGGCATGTGAATGATAGTTGGACCAGCTTACAGGAAAATTCGCTGTCTTTTCCCTGATATTTCCCTGAGAAATTTCCAAAATTCCATGAGAGATATTTTCATTTTAATAAGGTTGCTGGGAAGTCACGAGGTGGTGTAGCACAGCCATTATCTGGCGAAGTGTGTTAACATTCACGCTGAATAAACACCGTAGTTGAGGGGACTACACACGAGTTGTCCCATGATACTATGGGGACCGAAGACGCTGTGGGGACAGCAGAAAGTCTCAAAACTCAGTCCTAATTTGCCTGAGAGTGAAAAACCTCCCCATAACGCGGTGACGGCCCGCCCACCATAGCCAGTCGGTCAATGGCCCCAACTTGGGCATATGGCACAAGACTCACATGTGTCAATCTGGCGTAAACCTTTCCGTTTTGGGTAACTGTCAAATTCCCTGAGTTTTCCTTGACTGGAAAAATATGTAAACTGATTTTCAAGGTTTTCTCTGATTTCCAGAGTGGCTGGAACCCTGATCATACTGGCGACCAGTGTTCATGTCACTGCTTTTAACCTTTCCATACTTGGAGAACCAATTTTGTAATTTTCAGGGTTTTTTTTCTCTAGCTTACCGCCAGTAGCGATGGAAGTAGAACAGAGCCCAGGCTTTGGCCGTCCTCAACTCACGGAAACGTCCCAAGGTGAGGTATGCCAACAAAAACCCACTGCAAGAACCACAGAGAAAAATAAATCACAGTCACAAAGTTCAATATCAGAATCCACGATCTGATACACCGTGCCCTCTGGAGACATGTACACAATAGGGAACAAAAGATTGTATACGTCTCCACAGGGCAATTTCTATAGATGAAAACGTTTCCACAAGGTTAACATGAAATAGATATATGGATTTAATCAAAAACAAGGAATTTCCAAGGTGGGTTGATCTATCGTAAATGGAAGAGTTTTAGAAAAGGGATATTAAGTCCGAATTTCAGCCAAGGAAATTAATTCTGGTTAAAATAAGAGCATTTTGAAACTACACTTTCAAACTCGAAAACTTAACTACACGAGAACAAAGAAATGTCTCCACAAGGATACAAATCTCAGTATGTGTGTTTATATTCATTTAAAGACCTTAACAAAACATAAGACATAAAACAAAGCAACAAGTGGAATAAAACAATAAGGAAAGACAGAACATTTAGATTGGTGCTAATTGCAATTTTTGTTTCCGCTTTACCATTCAAAACAACGGATGCAGCTAATTTTTTTTTTTTCATTATTTGAGTTTAACCAATGCAAACAAACATTTTTTTTTATAATTCAAACTGATAATCCGTAGTTTTCATTATGGTACTGCTCAAATAAAAATACATTTTGACTTGTAAAATGTTTGAGCTACTAGCCCCGTAGAGGCCAAATTTTGGTTGATTTCAACCTGAAATAGCAGCCCTGAATCAGGCAGGAACAGAAAAACAAATGCAATTCATGTTCTGGCCCAGGCAGGAATCGAACCAGGTGCAATACAGATGAGAGGCAAGAAAGAAGCGAGTCAAAACAGGATTTCCTAATACCTCAAGAAGAAGAAGGTGTCGACAGAGAAGAAGGCATTTGCCACAGCCTGGAAGCCGAAGTGATTCTGGATCCAACTGAGAATGGTTGGCGTATTGTCTGTCAAGTAAAAAGCAACAATAAGGCGACGTAAAAAAACAACAAGATTCTCGTTCCCGCCCGCTTCCTTTTTGGAGGCCGCCTGGATTTTTTTAATTATTTTTTATTTTTGAAAAATGTAGTAGAAACACACCGAAAAAGTCTACAAATTCATCGGAAAATAAATACCAATACCAATACAACTCTAAATGACACTGTAAATATGTTCAGTTCTCTTGTCCAACTTGTCTTTCATCTTTAAAAGTGTCTTTGAACAGTGGAACACCAACGGTTGCAGGAAATTTTGAAAAGGCGGTCATCTTGAAAAAAATAAAAAATAAAAAATAAAAAGCCCCGCTTCCTCCCTTTTTTCAAAAACCCCGGACGAGAAACTATTTTTTTTTTTACTCGGCCTAATAATAATAATAATAATAATAATAATTTGGGAGGCTAATCATCCTATACTCGCAGCTGGTATGCTGAATTGCAAAGGACGCGGCTACAACGTGGTCGGGCCGCTGGCACGTAAAGGCGCCTATGGCTGCCAGCCACATCGACCCATATATGACCACGGAGCACAGCCTGAGATCGAAAGTGTTTGATTTTTCCGGAGGGAGGAAAACCGGAGGGCCCGGAGAAAAACCCACGTGGCACAGGAGAGAACCAACGCACAACTCTACTCACATGCGATCCGCGGCCAGGATTCGAACCGTGGTCACCTTGGTGAGAGGCGAGCGCTTTACGCACAAGCCACCCATGCCACCCATGCCACAACACAACTGTGTTATAATCATAGAGCTATATTCAATTACTAGAGCGCTGACTCGATAGATGTACAAAGTGATGCATGATGGGCGCATCCATGTTTGTGCACAAACCTAGGGAGAACTAGAAATTGTGTACGGCTTTTGTACGACTATTTCGTGAAAAATACTGCGCAAGCTTTCATGCACGACCAGAGTTGTAAATGTGTTAGGAACACAGCCAAATTCATTGTGCTACTAAGCTGAAAAATGCTGCTTAGATTTATTGCTAAGCGAAAATGGCAGAGTACCAGTCGAAAACAATATACAATATAAGATTTGAGGCTTTGCATGGTGGGGTATCGGTATCGTTTCGGTTTGCGGTAACACCATGTGGTAATAACTACTGCTTAGAAGATATTAGTTCTGAAAAGAACTTGTCGAGCAGGGCATGCCCAGCACTTAGCACTCCCAATCCTAACAAATCCTACTTAAGGAGTAGCATCTCCAACTATCTTCAGTCTCCTGACGATGACTAGAGCAGGCTAGTCGAAACGTTGAGACCAAAGACAAGTTCGTTAAGAACTTACAGCAGGACTGTTCTTATCAGAACAAAAAACTACTTAGCAAAGTTGATAATAAGCAGGACAAGTTCTTTTCAGAACTAATATCTTCTAAGCAGTAGTTATTACCACATTGTGTTACCGCAAACCGAAACGATAACAATATACAAGACATGACATTTTGGCTGGTGACCGGTTCTTGCTAAGCACTAAGCAGAAATATATGCTAAGCAGGGCATGGATCTAGAATGTTTTGAGACTATCCCTTAGTGTCACTGTCAATGTCGTCTCTTACGTGTGATGTTGGCCGTGAAGCCAAAGATGACGGTGTGACCCAGGATGACCCATGTCATGCTGATGACGCGGATGCCGTTGAGGGCGCCGATGCTCTTGTCGCTCTGCTTCACGTCCATCAGCTTGGCCAGGTTGCGATTCAGGGCAAAACAGAGAAGAAACCGAACAGCCAAATCTACAACAAAAATGCCCAAAAAAATACATATGGGTCATTCCATGGCAAATGTCCTAGCGGCTGTCTGGTCACAGAGGCAGATTCAAGGGGTGCGGAGGGGGTGCCTGCCCCCCTTCCCCCCCCCCCCCACTTGTGACCAAAGTTTTCTCAAATAAGGCCATTTTTCACTTGAAAGATCCCTTCTGCCCCCCCCCCCCCCTCGCCCACCTCCCCAGCAAACCTTCCGCCCCCAGCAGTAACTTTTCTGGATCCGCCCTTGGAACAAACTTTTGTGGTTCTTATGAACATGTGAAATTTATGCTGCCAACTTCAAGTCGTTGTCGAGATATGACCACCTGAAAAAAATAAGGCCCATCACTTTTTTCTTCTGTTGTGTACATTAGGGTTTTTTGGTACAATTATGAAGGCTTATACCCCAAAACTGCAGCAACTGTTAACTTGCCTAAAAACTGGTATGAGGGGTGAATGGCATCCAATGTGCATGATTTTGCCATCAAAGTCAACTTTCTTGTTTACCCATGATTTAAAGGCCTTCCAAAAAAAAGACTTTTATGTCGACGAGACTATTAAAAAAAAATATTTGGCCCCAATGAAGAAAAAACAAAAGATTTTTTATTTGTTGTACATTATATACACCGAGTAAAATACCTTTAGATCATCAAAACGTTGGACCAACCACTCCATTTTGGGGTGGGGCTAGGGTCTGAAAATAGGGTCACAGATATAAATGTCCAAGATATACTCTTTTTTTTAAGGGATATTTGGCCATGTTGAGTCACTGAATGACTGCTTTGTATTGACTACCTTCCTCCAACTTTTTGTTGGAAGGTATATTTAGTCAAAATCAGCCATTACCTCGAGACATTTCAAAATGCTTGCCCTCAAAACCGTGTTGTGATCTAGCTAATACTTCCACTGAGAGTGGCCTAATGGTTAGGGTTGGTGACTCACGATCAGAGGATCATATCCAGCTGCTGGTCATATGTTGTGTCCTTGGGCAAGCCACTTCACCCCCACCACTTGCCTCTCTCCACCCAGGAGTATATAAATGGGTACCGGCATTAGCTTTAGGGAGTAACCTGCGATGGACTAGCATCCCATACAGGGAGAACAGAACTATTCTCAGTCCCTGGTACTGAAACCGGAGATAAACGCCGGCCTGATGGGCCACATTGGCTCGTGACAGACTTTACGTTTTACTTCCACAGACTTACTCTGTTTCTTTGGTGGGTCACGCGCACTCTCCCTGTTGATCGACGCCCCGGTCCCCACATCCCTGATTAACGGCACGTCATCGGCATCTTCGTCTGCTTCATCCGTCTCGTCCAGCAACCTGAAAGGTCTCAGGAGACTCAGGATCAGAGTCTGATAGGCGGAGCGCTGGAGTTTGAGTTGGAGGTACTCGTCATAGAGGGCGCCAATTATCATCAGGGATGCAATGATGCTAAACAGAGTTCTGAGCAAAAGAGAAAAAGAAAAACGCCATCATTGATCTAGTCAGGCAGATTGGTGCACTGAATATGATGGAATTGGTCTGCGGTCGATCCCTATATGTTTTGTGTTCTTAAACAAAGTCATATTTTGTACATTTTTAAACGACCTCAAATGACCCCTAGATGACCTTTGACCTCCAACTGTGAAAGACTCGTGATGAACCCCACTCCATTCATTAGATACATTAAAATCCATCAAATTCTGTAGACAAAGAAACATTTAAAGCATATTTGAACAATGACCCCTACATGACCTTTGACCTCAGTAATCCGATGAAGAATTGTATCTTCCCACCCAAGGGTCACTGCATCCAAGTTTCATTAAAATTCATGGAAACATGTAGAAGTTGTAATTTTTTTTCAAAACTAACATACGAACATACGGGTCTATGAACATACGGTTATACAGAATTTAGGCCCGAGTCTCCCTAAACTTTGTTTAAAGCTATAGTCCATCATTTGCAGCTATCCGAAAAGTAGCTGGCGAATTATTGTTGAAAAACGTACTTGGTTGTAAGATAGTAAGGGGACTAAACTCCCTGTGAAATAATTCTTTCTGGCAAGCTGTCATTTTGAAGTAATCAACGAAAGAAGGCCTTTCCAACGGTGCTTCTTAAGACGCACCGTAGGAAACTTTAAATTAGTAGTTCGTTTTGTTATTCGGCGAAGCGCACGCAAGCATTGGCAAGACGCACACGCACCCTCGGTTGCTATAATTCGTTGGATCAGTGCGCGACATCGCGTAGCTGCAATTGGCTCAGTGAGAACGTGTTTAGGACGCTGAATTCAGGCCCAATTCAAAACATGATTCAGCAACTTTTGATTTGAAATCGAGATCCTAGAATGCTGTTTTTCTCCGAATAAACAGCTGAAGCTGAGCTGAAACTTCATCAGGTTGATTGTTCAGTATCCTTCATTAGATTTTGAGAACTTTTGTTGCTTCAAACGAACAAAATGCACAAACAAAAATGATGGACTATAACTTTAAGTGACGCAATGAGTCATCAAGCCCTCTGGACATTTCACCCAGATACAAAAGACACTGACAAATGAGGCTTGTCAGTTCAATTGGTTGGGCACTCATACAGTGCCGTCGAGATCAAGGGTCATTGTTCAACTACAAATTCATTCACTGGTCAGTAATAATAAAGCCTTGCGTAAGTACGCTGAAATTGCAATATTCACGTCAGAAATCATGTGTGGTTGAAATAATCAGTGTTGATCTTAAACAGCTCTGTTTACTGCTTGTTGCACAAATCAAAGCAGAGATAACATTGTCTGGGTGTATGAGAACAACTTGACGCAATCTGTCCTACAAATAGTCATTGTCAAAGTCCATAAGTCGTCATAGTTGTAACCTTTCAACTAAATCCGAACAGAAAGTGTATGCTAACAGGCATGTAACATGAACAATTTAATCAGAGCCTACATTTAAAATAGTCTGCTATCAAAATAATGATTGCTTTTGCTTGTTAAAATTATCAGTCAGCATCACTTACCAAAAAAAAATGTAGCCTACAATATATTAGTTTAATGTGACCGAGTCCACCCCCAAAACCAATCAGACTATTTTTAGTCACATGGCCATATTTTGATATTGATGAAAATTGGGAACTACAAATATCTACCAACTCCATCAGATTGTGTCCAATATATTTTATACATTATTGAAATGCATATTCAATGTCCCTTCCCATGAGCCAAAAATCCCAGGTTTCAAAAATTGGTCCAAGTGACTGCTTGAGGGTCACAAATGGTAGGCTTCCTAACCCAAAGAGTTTGAGCCATTTACAGGTCACAGGAAGTTGTAAAGGACATGCCATGTTCAAACTTCATCACTGTTTAACTATATGTTGGATAAGCAGTTAAATGAAACAGCTTCTGGACAGTACAGGGACAGGGACTAACAGGCAGGCGGTTCGGGGCAGTACAGAAAGTAACAAGCAGGGCGGTACGGGGCAGTACAGGAAGTAACAGGCAGGTGGTTTGGGGCAGTACAGGAAGAAACAGGCAGGACGGTTTGGGGCAGTACAGGGAGTTAAGGCAGTTTGGGGCAGTACAGGGAGTAACAGGCACAGCAGTTTGGGGCAGTACAGGGAGTAATAGGCAGGGTGGTTTGGGACAGTACAGGGAGTAACAGGCAGGGCGGTTCGGGGCAGTACAGGGAGTAACAGGCAGGCGGTTTGGGGCAGTACAGGAAGAAACAGGCAGGGCGGTTCGGGGTAGTACAGGGAGAAACAGGCAGGGTGGTTTGGGGCAGTACAGGGAGTAACAGGCAGGTGATTTGGGGCAGTACAGGGAGTAACAGGCAGGTGGTTTGGGGCAGTACATAAAGTAACCAGCAGGGCAGTTTGGGGCAGAACACGGAGTAATAGGCAGGGCGGTTTGGGGCAGTACAGGGAGTAACAAGCAGGCTGGTTCGGGGCAGTGAGTACAGGGTGTAACAGGCAGGGCGGTTCGGGGCAGTACAGAAAGTAACAAGCAGGGCGGTTTGGAGCAGTACAGCGAGTAACAGGCAGGTGATTTGGGGCAGTACAGGAAGAAACAGGCAGGGCGGTTTGGGACAGAACACGGAGTTAAAAGCAGGGTGGTTTGGGGCGGTACAGGGAATAATAGGCAGGACGGTTTGGGGCAGTACTGGAAATAACAGGCAGGGCAGTTCGGGGCAGTTCGGGGCAGTTCGGGGCAGTGCAGGGAGTAACAGGCAGGGTGATTTGGGGCAGTGCAGGGAGTAACAGGCAGGGTGATTTGGGGCAGTGCAGGGAGTAACAGGCAGGCGGTTTTGGGCAGTAAGAAAGTAACAAGCAGGGCAGTTTGGGGCAAAACGCGGAGTAATAGGCAGGGCGGTTTGGGGCAGTACAGGGAATAACAGGCAGGATGGTTCGGGTCAGTACAGGGAGTAACAGGCAGGGTGGTTCGGGTCAGTACAGGGAATAACAGGCAGGGTGGTTCGGGTCAGTACAGGGAGTAACAGGCAGGATGGTTTAGGGCAGAACACAAACTAATGGGTCAAATGGAAAAAAAAGCTTGCCACACTCAAAAGTAAAATTCAGAGAAACTTACACTGTACAGATGACTCCAGCATCGTATGGTATAGTTGGGTTCTTAGTGCATATTGCATATGCTGCTTTCAGAGCATCAGTCGGTATTCCAAACCGTTCCAGTAACTTTAGGCCATCTGCAAGGAAAACAGAAAAAAATGACACTTGTAAGCAAATCCGATACGTCCAGTTGAAAAAAATATTCATAACAATTACCACTAAAATGAATGTGCAGCTTTAATGAAAATCTGATTTGCCTACAAAAGTTTATAAATCAAACCAATTGTTGGCACTTAGAAAATCACTATAATGAAATTTTTTTACATATACTTTCTGTATACCAAAAGGTATACAGAACTGTAGTTGCTAGCAATGTTCTATTTTTATATACCAAGTCAAATTCCATATTCATGAGCATAACTGTGATGTCATTTTAGGTGGAAATCCCAGTATTACAGTTGCTACAGCAACAAAAGTTGCCAGAATTTTTTTAATTTTTTGATGTGGAACATTTTCTATTTTTGTGATTCATTGTTGTTTCAGTACATGACACTTAATCAATGAACAAACTTTTCTCACAAAATGTTTGCGATAAGCAAGTTTTTAGGTTTACAATTTGAACAAAAAATCTCTGAACGGAGGAGTGTATTCCTAGAAATGACATCACAGCAACAGCAACAGCGACAGCTTCCTAGGTTGTCAAGAAAAGCATGGAACATTTTGAATGTTTCAAAAAGTGCATTTTTAGAAAAAACTGTTACCAAACAGGGCTGTCTCATAGTTTTCCAATATTTCAGCGAAATGAAATTTTGCATAAAATATGTTTTAGCATTTAAGATTCATGTTCTGGGCCGTTTAAACAAAAGTGAGCAATTTTTGTTTGTTGCTCAAATAGCAAGGTGAGTCCTCTGACTGACTGATTCACCGACTGTGAACTTGTTTTCTTTGGGATTTGTTATTACTGCAAAACTCACCTAAAAGTTCATTAAGGACCAACAGTACATCCGTCTCGCTGCAATTGGCCGGCGGGCAGACACCCCACTGGATGTTCATTTGCTTTATCTGAGCAAACATTGATTGATTGAACGATGGCACATTCTGAAAAGACCCAAAATAAGTTGGATTGATATCCATTCAGTACAAGGGGGGGGGGGGGGAGGTTTCAACGACTTGACCTAAGATCTTAGCAGATGTTATTCAAAATCACCCATGGAAAAAAACAAGATAGTGGATATTTTGCCGGAGGTAATGACGGCAAACTAACGATTACTAAAGGTTTGCCGGCGGCAATCCATATCAACAGAGGGCGCTGTACTCTTTAAAATAGGGCTGAATTATAAGATGTATTAAATTCCCACCAAAATGTGTGTAGCACGTTTGGTGTAATGGTTTTAAAGCAAAGGCTCTAGTAAGCGGGATGACTCGCGTTCGATTCCGACCGAACCACATTTTTTAAACTTTTTTTTTTCTCATCCCCAAATAAATAAGAATATTCTTCTTTTATTATTTTAACATGTCTCAAACATTTTTTGCAGAGTATTACATTTTCTTTTTCAGATTTGTGGCTCTGGAGGATTTTTTTTAAAAGGGAAATAAAGTCCGAAATTATAAAATGGTCTGAATCCCATCTTGTGAATACGAGGTAACAACGATAATTTTGGCATGGAGCCAGACTAAAACTTGTCACCGGAAAATGTGTTAAGTACAAAAAAACAGTAACTGCGCATGTTCAGTGCATATCCGGCAAACTAACGTTTACTAAAGGTTTGCCGTCTCCGGCAAAATATACACTGCCAAAAAACAATGAACTGACTTTAAGCTCAGTTCATAATTGGGCCTGCAAAGGATAAAGTTAGACACAAACCCGCTCAAACTAGAACAAACTAGCATAACCATGTTAATTGTCGTATTATAAGAGTCATACATGTACATGTATTATTAGCAGTCACATGCAATTACAGTACAACATTTGTCAGGACAAAAGTTGTGAACCCATTTCAGATCGACTTATCAGAGTCACACCGAAAAGCATTAAATTTACATTCCCTGAATACACTGTATTGTTAGTTACTTTTTCACGGTATTATTACCTCCGCCAGGGAGGTTATGTTTTCATCGGATTTGGTTAGTTTGTTGGTTGGTTGGTTTGTCTCTTAAAAAGAATTTTTTTTGGAGTGGTCCTTGGTACAAGTACTCATTGATTCGATTTTAGAAGTGATCGGGATCTGGGTCTGGATGCAGGATTTTTTTAAAGGATTCTTCACCATTTACACGAGTTTTTCTTTTGGGTGTACTGACAGTATGGTGGGGGAATTGTTTAGCCTCAGCGGAGGTTTGCACTCTCTGAGCGCTTTCTAGTGTGTTCTTGCATTTAGGTTGTTGAGGTTGGATGAATCAAAATAATCATATAAGAAGTCTGTTAGAGGTACTGGAAAAATGTTGCAATCTGACGCCACTTCCATGATTGTGTACAAAGTCTATGGAGAGTCGAGAAAATTGTATAAGTATTTCTTAACAAAATTGGAATCATTTCTCAGTGCCAGATTCATGTCTTATCATCATTTTTGCAATAACTGACCTTCATTGAGATGATATATGAAGAAAAAAGTGGCATCAGGTTGCAACATTTTTTCCGAGGGGCCTTTTGGTGAAATATCTCCCCCCCCCCAGCCCGCGGGAACGGGGGGTGCTGTGGGTGCTGCAGCACCCCCAACTATATTTCCGCCGTGATGGAAGCTTTGACCCGAAAGCAATAACCTCGGCCATGACAATGGTGGCAAAGTTGATTATGCTTGCCAGGATTTTTTTCATTCGATCTTTCAATAGGGGCAAATGTTCATACCTTTCCCCTGAAGGCTTTTCTTTTCATTTAAAAGTTTCTTTGACGTTGCAAGCATTCTGTACTCAACATTTACAAATAGCAAGGTTAATTGAAACCAGTCATGCTTTACGCCAATTCCAGTGTAGTCTGCAAGTTTTTCCTCATAAAAACTCTGTAGACCGATAAATTATTGCCTATAGCCCCAAACTTGCCATGTACCGATCATAAACATCAAGATACATTTGGTCTTTTAGTCTTTTATATTTGCCATTCCAACAAGCAAATAACACTGCAAATAATATCGAGAGCCACATCGTTTGGTGAGTTAGAACTATGTGAATATTTTTATGAACAGAAATTTGTCCGCTTCCAGTGGAACCATTTGTTTTAACTTAAACCCCAAAAAAATCCTTTCGGGTTTTATATGTTTCAGTATACTACCAGTATATCTCATCACAGTGCATCCAGAATCCAGCATTTTCCGGGGCCTTAAAGTGGGCCCCTGGCCCTGTGGCCCCACGCCGTAAGGGCTCGAAAAATAAAACAAAACATACACGACGGAATTTACTAAATGTACGGAAGCAGCCTTGCAACAATAATATTTACATGCGATGTCATGCGCAATGATACAATTCTTTTTCCAGAATTAAATGGAACCAAAATGGAGATAAAAATACAGGGTTCTCCACTTTTCAGTACAGTTAAACGTTTTAAGAGCAATTTAAACAAAATAATAAAATAAATTGTTTTTATAATCTCAAAAAACCTTTTGCTAAAAAGTCAAATGAAAGTGGCCAAGAATCGCCTCAGATTGCCTCAGCATCCATATTCCAAATTGAGCCACGACGTAAGGGCTTTGTGCTCCGCTTTCGTATTAATTTTGTCCGTCCTTTATAAATTCCAGCACCCCCTGACAAAAGTTTGTTCCAGCGGCAGTGCCCCCCCCCCCCCCCCCATAGGACTGGAGTTTCTTACCTGTGCTATGCTGGTAAGATTGAGTGACAGCATAGTCAGACAATAGTTGAAACCCTCAATGGCCATGCATTCATCATAGTGGCCGAGCCATGCAGTGTTTAACTGAAGTATTCCCGCTGGCGGTTTGCCAAATGCATCCAGAGCTACCACACAAAAAAGAAGAAATACTAAGCTCAAACCGCAATTTTTAAAGGTTTTCCCAATGGGTATTAGAAAATAAGCCGTGAGTTTAAAAAAAAAGGATTTGAAAACAGAGTACACATATATTGTAAATGGTTTTTCATGGCTATTTACTTATTTACTTGTTTACTTAAATCGGAATCAATCCACATTATAAAGAGTAGAAAAATGTAAACAATTTTTGTTTATGAAATCACAAAGATCGGAATTTAGTGTGCGAGTAGGTTGTCAAATAAAATTCACCCAAGCATGGTGCAATCCACACTTTTTCTGAATTTGGCATTTACTTTAGATCAAGAAATGTCCTCAATTTGTTGGTACCCAATGATGTAACGATGGGCCATTGGAGACTCCAGAGACCTGTGCCCCCCCTGCGCCCCCCCCCCCACATAAACATTTGAAGATGTAAACAAATGAGCTTTTATTGTGTAAAACCACACCGAGTACCCGCACCCCTCCCCCCCCCCCCAAGAAAAAGAGGCCCTCTACATGAAAGTGTCTGCCACTTCATGTTGAGTACCATCTATGACTTTGCATCTACACAAGAGATTGATAATTATCCTACCTGAAAATCAAAACTTGGATTCATGCAAAGTTCAAAATACTGTACTTTCTCAGTAAACAATACCCACCCATTACAGCATCTCCTACAAGAGTCTTCATGTCGCCACTGAGAAGTTTGTCGACTTCGGCCCGGCACTGCGGCGACACCGTGTTATTCATTGCCACTGACTTCAAATTTTTAAGCGGTGGCTCTCGGGATCCATACATCAGATTCTTGACTTGAATGTCAGCAGCAACAGCTGGGAGGGAGCAAGCTAAGGCCAGGATGATCGCTCCCAGGAAAAATGTCCCCTGTGTTGCCATGGTAACGGATGAATATATTCCTTTGCTGTGCAACTGCTGGTCTGAAGATATAGTACTGAAGTTGAAGTCCTTGTTATTTTTTATTGAAAGTTAATGCAGCCTAAAAGTCTGAATCCCTGTTAACATCAACTAGCTTCCTCCAGTGTTGAGTTGTGGAGAACTCAATGTGACCATCAAAGGCGGGTTTCTATGGAGAGAGGAAAGTTATTGACATTTTTAGTTAAAGAAGGACTTTTGAGGAAAAAACCCACAAAAATAAGCTCAAAAAACATATTGACCACACATTGATGATAGTTGGAAAGATGATGCCACTTCTTTGGTTGTGTGCAAAGTCTATGGAGAGTTGAGTGCATTTTCAAAGTATTTTCTAACAAAATTGAAAATATTTCTCGGTCCCAGATTCATATCTTTTTAACAGTTTTTGCAATGAATGACCTTCATTGAGATAATCCCGGTACATGATGAAAAAAGGGGCGTCAGGATGCAAAATTCTTCCCAATTAAAATACAAAAAGTTGACACAACTATACCTCGGAAATGTGTTGTTTTTCACGTAATTACGCTACGAAAGAAGCAAACTTTTGGTCCCCAAAGATCAAGCTGCTGGAGCGCTACATGTAGTCAGCATTTCAGTCACACATGGTTATTTTAGAACCTTTCTTTAAACGAGCTAGGATCACTACAGAGATTTGCAGTGAAACATCTTCAACTGATCTGGACACCAATGCATACCATGCAAAAGCCAATGCCAAACAAACAGTATTTCTTCATCAACTATGCCAGTTCAAAGAGCATGCCCATACACACTTTTTTTTCGAGGGGGGGGGTTCACTATCTGGATTAGCATCATGTGATACCACTCGCCACTGCGTTATCACAAAGCAAACGTTGATCATGCTTATATAAATGCATGCATTATCAAGTCACATGTCAATATTTTGACCAAGCTCTTCGAAAATGTCTGATAAATAAATTATTTTCTTCTAGCCTCAAAGACATTGATAAGTTGGCAGACTGGAAGCTAGTCCCAGGTTAAAATCTAGCCTGACTGCCTCTGTCGTTACATAGTATCCTCTTGTAGGCCTACTGTCACTATTAACGCCAGACAGCGCCTTGTTGTTCTCAAACGGTAAATGTCATGTAAGCTAATTTGCTAACTGAAAACTCTGTCACGTCTTGAAAATGGAATTGTTTCAGAACATTACACATGTGATCTATTACTACAACTGTTATCTTACTTTCATGACTTTCAAAAAGAACAATTTCTCAAAGATTTTGCTTTCAGATTCTAGATCCTATTTATCAAACGTCAAGTTCAACTCTCTGGTGTTCAATTGAAGTCCGAAATTGCATTACCATTGGCGGATTCAGGGGGTGCTACGGGGGCGTGCGCCCCCCCCCCCCCCGGCAGTGGCCGAAATTTTGCAAAATAAGGCCATTTTTCACTCGAATGAGCCATTGCACCCCCCCCCCCCAGCAAACAGCCTCATCCCCCCCCCCCCCCCCTGGCACGAACCTCTCCGGATCCGCCACTGCATTACCGACAGAGCCTCAGTTGGGCTAGTTCTAGCCCCATAAATGTGGCCTATTTACTGGACTGCCTCCGTAAACATAGGCCACACATCCACATGTACAAAAATCGTGTTGACGGAGCCAAATTTTGATTTTCACATTTAGGCTTAGTTTGTAGGTGTTTTTTGCTTTAGAAGCATACTCACCCTCTTTATAGGCTAATCAGAAAGTGCTGCCTTTTTCAGATGTATATTTTTCGTGAAATTTCCAGATTCATTTTTACACGTTTGCGTATCAAAATTTCAACATGAAATTTCACAAAAATTAGACATCTGAAAAAGGCAGCACTTTCTGATTAGCCTAGTATAAAGAGGGTGAGTATGCTTCTTATCTAAAGCAAAAAAACCCTACAAACTAAGCCTAAATGTGAAAATCAAAATGTGGCTCCGTCGACACGATTTTTGTACATGTGGATGTGTGGCCTATGTTTACGGAGGCAGTCCAGTAAATAGGCCACATTTATGGGGCTAGGCTAGTTCAAATCCCACTCCGATAAATATTCCTTGTCCATCGTATCGCAACCTGTCGTGATTTTTTTTAGTGTTGACCAAATGTATTACATTTTACTTTGTCAATGAATCGAGCTACTGAAAATAGGATATCGTGTAGTTTAGGATCCCATTCCATATAAGACAATGATCCAGACATATGTTTTGGGGGCAATTAATACCTAAACATTTGGCTATGACCAGCAAGAAATGTCACTATTATATGTGTTTGTGTTTGGAATGATCTAAATAAGAATAGATGCCATGTTGAATCAGCTGGCCTAATTTTGAGAGAAAAGGGCAGGTTTTGATTTAGGCCTAATAATATGAATGGAACTTGTAAAAAGTCAAAACATTATTGTGTCGTAACTACACAATTAGTAACCAAAAATAAAAATGCCACCTTTAATATTGCAACATAAACCGGCTCATGACATGGAACTTGCCAGTTGGAAGATACTGATAAAGTGATAGTGATGATAGGGGCCTATTACTACTGCAGTACTGGCGAATCTGAGCTGAAGTGTCAAGTGAGCTGGATAATTCAACCGGCAGGGTTCCACGCTTGACATGCAGCCTTGCTTGGTCATTGAATTCGAAAGTAACCGAGTCTAATAGTATCTGATCATGAGTGTAAGTAGATTCATACTGCAAAATTGAAGCGCTACTTACTTGGTAGGCCAGGGGAAATGGATCTCTTTAATGTTCAACCACGGAGCCTAGTGGTGCAAGTGTTGGCTTGTGTTTTTAGCCGGCCGGCGTTGACTCCCACTTAAAATGTTGCCGGTGTCTGTGCACTGCCACTGCCAGTACTACTGTCGGTACCGGTGTACGTACGTACACACAAAAACATGCGTTGTCATCACCGTAGTCATGTGATAAGTACCGGGTAGGGACCGCACGGGATCAAAGTTCATCATTTTATAACTAAATTTTAAAAAGTTCAATCGCACCGCGCCGGCGGACTTCCAAAGTTCCCACCATTTTGCTCAAAGTCATTTAAGTTAGACTCCATTCGAGCAGGTCTTTCTCCAAAATGGATTTGCCGGCGCCGCCATCCCGCGCCATACAACTTACAATTCCCAATGAGTCCAGACTGGAATCTAGGCCAAGCCCTTGTTATTGAAGTTGACCCTCGCATGAAAGTCGCGCAGTTTTTTCTTCCTCAACTTTCAAGGGCTGAAAGTGAAAACAAATCAAAATGCCTTTTTCTCCTGAGCAGACAGGGCACCTTGCTACAGGTAAGTTTTGATCTGCCTGAGGGTACCGTAAAAATTGCCGTAGTTCGGTGCGTCGTTGAGCCGTGCACTTCCAGCCAGCAGCTTGTACACAGCTGCGCCTCGCCCCTAATGCTATGCGCCGCAGGTCGAGCCAAGCCGGAAAATGGTCGCCTACATGATGCATCAGCGCTTTGTTGATTGCCACAAAACTAATCGGATTACGAGACAAGACTTGGGTAATCCGATTAGCGGTTGGTTTCTAAATTTGGCATTGTCCTGGTCCTACTAGATTAATAACTGTTCCGTAATTAGGGATTTTAGGTAACTGATTCCAGTGATTGATTGTGGTTTTCTATAAAAACAATGAACCACTTTCTCTTTTCTGCCTCATTTCTTTAATTGGGACTATAGGCCTACATTTGTAATATTGTGTAAATGTAGTCAATATTATCTTTTTCCAACAAAACTTTTTAGATTTGTCTACCAAATTTCCAAAACTTAGATTCTCAATTTTTTTTTACCATTAGTTTTGAAATTTTAGCAGTAATGTTTCTATAATTTCCAGTTTCGGGGGCATTTTTTTTGAAGGAGATCTGTTGCCTCCATTGGCTAAGGGTCAAGTCCGCCTGTACAGCAATCGTTTCTGCCCCTTTGCTCATCGTGCACGTCTTGTCCTAGCAGCTAAAGAAGTTCCGTAAGTTGTACCAAAATCCTGTTACATATATCTTACTTTAAATATTGGGTTTTGCCCTTCATTGACTTGGTAGGCCTAATCCTTACTTTTAGGACACCTCTATTTTGTACAAGTTCTGTTCAAAACTGACTTTTGCAGATGACTGTCCAGTAGCAGTACCAAAGTGACTTTTGCAGGCTAAAACAGTGATTGTTTCTTCAGATAAACTCATGTTAGTTGTAACTTTGAAAGCACTTTCAAAGAAAATGTGACCTTTTTTTGCAGTTCGCCATCTTGCTTTTTAAAATATATTTTCTGTTTGTCATCGTCTTTAACCCCTCATAAATCAAAGCCCTGCCCTCTTTCTACAAAATTAAACCTGCTGGCAGTGCTGATATTCAAGAAACTGTCATTGCCGATGTCACTTTTGATTGTCACTTATTAGTCTGTTAGTCAGCTATTTTGGTGAGTCTTTTAACCTTCTATAGGAAAGGGGTCCTAAAGGCACAGGATTACCATTGACTTTATCAGCTCCGCATGTACATGTACTCAGGGCTAGTGGGAATAACTTTTACAACTTACTCAGGTGGAGCTCGAACCCATGACCTCCTGCTTACTAGTGCAGACTTCTAAACCATGAGGTTGAGGGTTCGAGTCCTACGTGAGCGTGCTTGTGAATTTGTTTTAGCTTTCCGACAGCACGAAGTATGCAAAGCATTAGAATTAAAGTGAAGAACGAAACTATTTATTAGGCCAAATAAAAAAAAAACATGTTTAGCGTCCAACCTTTTTGAAAAAAAGAAGGGAGGAGGGCTATTTTTCAAGATGGCCGCCAGCTTTGTTTTTTAAATGGCCGCCACTTGGACTCAGGAATGACATACTAGCTTTATATGGGCTAGATGCAACAGACAAAGAGGCCAAAATGATGTCACTGTTTAAAAGTTATCATTGTTTTGTGTTTAAAAGAAAAAGGAAAAAAGGAGGCGGCCTCCAAAAAGGAAGCGGGCGGGGACGCTAAACATTTTTTTTTTTATTTGGCCTTAAAATTGCATCTCGCTGACGCAAAATTCCAACCAAATGTTTCATCTACAAAGGGCTTCGTTTTCCAGCAGGCTTTTTTTAGAGATTTAGTTTCTTTCAATATTTTTTATTTCCTGTTCTAGTTTTCACATTGTCAACATTGACTTGAAGAAAAAGCCGGAATGGTACTTCACCAAAAATCCACTAGGCAGCACGCCGTGCTACGAGAGCGACGACAAGATTGTGACCGACTCGGCCATCATCTGCGAGTTCCTGAACGATTCGCACAACAACCCCCTGTGGCCCCAGGACCCCTACCAGAAAGCGCTGGACAAGATGGTCTTGGAATACTTCTCAAGCAAGGTATCAACGAATGCGGGCATGTGACCAATGAACACTCATGCGGCCCCCTTCAATGGAGAAACCATTGTTCATGCTATTGTACAAAAGCAACTGTCCCGTGACGGATTATCTAAACAATGCTCTCGCCATTGAAGGGGGCCTCCACGATGGAAGTGATAAGCATGCCCGGATCGTTCTAGAGTAACTACACCATGATATAAGAGTTCGCTTTTTTCCTAGAAACAAACCTGGGGGAAACCAAGGAGGTTATGTTTTCATCCGATTTTGTGGGTTGGTTGGTTGGTTGGTTTGGCTGTTAACAAGATAACTCAAAAAGTGACGGACGGATTTGCATGAAAATTATTTTTAGGGGTGGTCCTTGGTAGAAGTACAAATCAATTAGATTTTGAAAGTGATCCGGATCTGGGCCTTGATCCAGGATTGTTTAAGTATTCTTCACCATTTATGCGAGTATTTCTTTTGGGTGTACTGACAATTTGCACTCTCTGAGTGCTTTCTAGTTTCAGTCTTTAACAGCAAATATGTTGTTCTTTTTTAAGTGAAATAAGCAAAACGTAGGAACAAGAAACTCCAAACCTGCAGTTGTTTATTCCGATTATTTGTGCAAGACAACTGAAATCTTCTCGTTTTTGACCAGGTCAGTCCAGCCTTCTTCAAATCCTCCTACTACCCAGTCAAGGGAGAGGAAGAGAAGTGGTTTGGTGAATATCTGACCCATCTCGCCGTCATTGAAGACAAGTTGAAGGAGAGAGGCACCCCCTTCTTTGGAGGTAAGCGTGTAGGTTTTCAAACAATGTATGGGGGTAGGAGTAACAATTGGGAGGAGGTAGCGTGGAGGAACCACAGAGCTATATTAAATTACTAGAGCGCTGACTCGTGTACAAAGTGATGCCTGCTGGGCGCATCCATGTTTGTACACAAATCTATGGAAAACTCAAAATTCTGTACGGGTTTTGTACAGCTATTTGCATATCTGTGTTTGTATACTATGCAGGTGCGTTATCGAAGCCGACACGCCCAAAACCAAAACGCACGATCAGCAAATGAGCGTGTCATTTTGCTCTTAGCAAACGGCGCAATGCGTGTGCCTATCCGCTGCAGATGATTAACCGTGACGTTTTTTTTAAAACCGTAATGACGCGTTTAAGTTGTTTAATTGCGTACGTTGTATATTTGCGGGTTGCATTTCTAAATGCAAATCCATTCAAAATCAAAATTCAATCCATCTAATTTCGTTATGTTCTACAAACACACACATGAATTCACAAAGTCTGCGCCCAGGACGGCTTCAAAGTGTCTCTGCGCGCAAGGATGAGGAGTTAGCGCTCTAGTAATTTAATATGGGAGGTACAGTACCCCATCCCATATCTTATCAAGAAATTTTCAATTTGGTCGTGAGAAAATACACGTAGGAAATTTGCATTTGGAAGCCAGCCGGCCCTGGCAAGCTGGGTGGTCGAGTGGTAAAGACATCAGCACATAGTGGGTTCGAGCCCTACCTGATTAAGCATGTCGATTTTCTTGCAAATTATTGGACAAAATTGATTGAAAAATGTTTCTAAAATCATGTTGGTGAAGGACAAAACTTGACATTAAATTGCCCTTTTTTTCTCCATCTGTGACAGGAGCTAAGCCAGGAATGTTGGACTACTTGATCTGGCCGTGGTTTGAGCGCCAAGTTGTGTATGGCGCTAAACTTCCCTTTGAAAACTTCCCAACTGTGAGTACTTTAAAACATTTTATTCTCAAATATAAACTCTTACATTCACGTGAACAGTAGATTGCGCAAAGGTATGCATGGCTACTATTAAAGACCAGTGCATACTGCTTCAATGCAAATGCGAAGCGAACTTGACGTCACCAAGCGTACGCTGTGAAATTTTCTGTTATTAAACTTTTACACATTTGCAGTGTGAAAACTCGCTGCGACGCCACAAATTTGTGTTCACATTTTCTTTCGCTATAGACCAGCCTTAATTCTGTCGTTGTGACCATTGAGAGGGTACATGTACTTATTAAGTGCATTAACGTCCACAAAGCGCCCTCTGTAATTTGCGTGCCGAGACCATTACCATTTGTATTGAGTTCGCTATAAGCCTAAACTCTGGTGAATCCGTGAAGCCATAGTCTTGTAGATTGGGAATTTTGGGGCAGTTCGGGGAGAAGAGGGTTGGGCAGTTTTGGGCAGTACAACAACTAAAGCAGTTGATTACTTGGGCTTTTCCTCTTCCTGTAGCTGGCAGCATTTCGTGAGGCAATGAAGCAAGATCCTGCAGTGCAGCAGGCTGCTGTGCCGGACTCCCTATACGTCAAACAGTTCAACAACTACATCAACGGCATCTATGATTATGACATCCAGTGAACATATGCTCAAGTATTAGTTGAAATATGGTGTACTGCCAACATCAGGTGCCAGTTTTTGGAATTGCTATTGAGCATAAACCATTTAGCATAGTTTAAGCACAGAATATATTATTGAATTAGCATAGAATATATCATGGAATATATTCAGCATAGAATATTATATTAAAAAAACCTGGAATTTGGAGGAAAAAACAGGGTGTTGTGCTATCATGCTTGAACTCGAAGCGATTACTGCAAACTTCGCCACACACTTCCACTCAAACTGTGTTTTTGACATTTTTTAACATGCTGCTAGAGGGCGCTTGAACATCTCATTACGTCACCGATAAGTTTTTTGTAAAGTTCAACATAGGCAGAGACTAACATCGTTGAAAGCAAGTTCACATCTTTTTCCAATTTCAAATTATTAGGCACTTCCAGTTTCGACTGGAAGCAAGGGTCACATGATTTGACGCGCATGCGATAAAATGAAGATCATGTATTATCACATCGATTCCTGTAAAATTCAAGTTCTGGTCTTTCACAGGTGATTTCTCATTGATTTTCAAATATTAAATTTATTCACCTTTCAAGTGACGTCATGTGACCCATGATGACGTCATCATGGCGTAATTTAAAAACAAAAAAAACAAAACAACTTCAGTGGGTTGTGCATTCAAGTATTGACAATTGAAGTTCATATATGTTTCATTTTGACAAACAGTTCTAAAAACGAAATTGGCGAAAAGAATAAGAATAGCAAATTCTATCCAATATCCATTGCTTTATTGTTTTTTTTGTTTTTGTCTAAGTTTTATCACCTTGATGTTGTTTATCTTTTTCATCTGTTTGTTACTTTAAAAAAAAAACACCCAAAACACTGTAAATCTTTATAAAACACTTATGGGCTTTAATTAAACAAAAATTAGAATAGCATTAATGTTTATGATGCATGGTGTACGAGTTCTTTTTTACTTTTAATGATTCCAATAAAGTTCTACAAAAAACAGACACTGACTACCGACAGATGCACAATATAGTTTTGTTGTTTGTTTGGAGTTTTCAATCACCATTTCAAGTTTCAATCTATAATAATCTTTCAATTATTTACTTGTGGGTTTTTTTCTGCAGCAAATTTTGAAACTCTAATTTAAAATGCATGATTTAAAAATAATTAAATTGATTTTCATGATTCAAAATTGCATTTCAATAAATAAAAGTTCTACATGAACTGAAGACTTCAATGATTGTTACAAAAATATACACCTGCTAAAAAAAACCCCTCAACCTATTCCCAGTACGTGTATATGTTCTTTTCTTGAAACACTCCTCGTCAAAATTGCTCGCAATCTTTCATGCTTACATAACATGAAATGCAATTCTCATTATAGACCTTGTTCATGAGGTAGCCATTTTTGATCATGTTCCCTGAATGCATTCTATAAATTGTAAACTGTTGAATGAGATGGTGCCAGACTATGTGTTCCACGCTTCACTTTCAATTTTCTTTTTTAAATTTGGGCTTAAAACATGTTTAATCACAAATTTCAAATTATTGATCAGAGCACACTGGTATGAATTTGAAATGAACTTTACTTCATTGCTTTCATTGGCAAGCTCCAAAAATGAAAGATTTCACCTCGCTTTCAATTTAATATGGCCGACTCGTGAACAATGCCTATATGACATGGTTGTGCCTCAACATGTAAGGGGGAGATTCACAATTAAACAGGCGGGTTCTTCTGTGTTAACCGCATAAACCGTGCGGTACCGCACGGTAAACCTTTAGGTTTTTCGGGGTTGGACGTAAATGCATACCAACAATGCATTCATGAATATTCTCCTCCAGTGCAGGGTCAACTTCAGCTCAGTCCACCCAGGTTATTGCGAACAAAAGAAGCAGGTTAATTGGGACACTTTGGTGCACAAAAGGCTTCATCAATAGTCGACCCTGTATAATTAGGGGATTACAGGATTAGTGGTCACGCTTGTGAGGTTTTGTGACTAAAAAGCACCATATTTGCAACTACATAGAGATGAGTTCAATTACATTTGGAATTGAATGGTTTTTATTCATATTCTGTTGCAGCCATACGCCGAATTGCTGGAATATTTATGAATTTGGTAAATTTGGTAAACTTGAAGCAGTACAATATTTAAAAAAAAATATTCAGCTCATTTTGTAAAGATGGACGGCCAACAATAGCTAAAAATGAAACAATAATTCACTTTTCTTGAAAATAAAGCCAGATGCCGCGACAAAAGGTGCCGTAACAACAGGCGCCGTCATTTCACAGGATACGTGACACTTTAATATTGGAATAAGTTATTTGATACTTATCTGGTTCTTCTTTATTTATGTTAATGTTTGCACATTAAAGTAATGATTAAATGGAGTTTTGTCTCAAAGTTAAAAAATTCAAATACTATTCCAAAGGCTGAGTCACTGGGCGGGGAATCTTAGAGCCTTTATTTCAATGACAATGAATAGAAAACTATCCGCTGATTAATGTGAATTAGAAGAGAGAAAAATATACCTGTACATTTAGTGTCAACATATCAAGTCAAGCTTTCACCCTCAATTGATCGGTAGATTCCATTCAAATTCAACGCCTTCGAAGTCACTGTGGGCACTGGGGGATTAGCAGGAGATTAGGCCTTGCAGAGGGGCTCTATTGTTAGCACTGCTGGCCTGCCAGGCGCTTGTGAAGACACGCGGTTGTGGGCTTTGACTCGTAAATTTAGCTCTTTAAAACGAAACCTTGCGGTACCGCATAACCCGTGCGGTACCGCGAGGTTCCATCTCCCAGAAACGCCTGTTTAATTGTGCATCTGCTCCTAACCACTTTGAAGTCAGGTTGAAGCAGTTGTTTCTTACTCTCCTTCAAGAAATCTCAAACCCAATGTCTAGAATTACAGAAGGTATAGAAGGTAAAAAGCAGGGCAAAAAAAGATATTTTATTCATGAGTTGTCCCCTGGAAATTCAACAGCCATTATCATTCCACAAGTTCATCATCTGAGCAAACAAGTCCAGTTTCTTGTTCATCAAGGCATTCCTCCTGGCTAGTTGCTGGCTTGACAGTCTTACCACTTGGTGCCTCCCCTGGAAAGAGAAGAGCCAATTCCCCTTCATCCAGGCCGTTCTTTAAAACGACATAGTCCAGTCGCTTCCTGTAGTCTTCGATGTCGGCCATGAACGTCGGGATCTTCAGGTTCGGAGAGTTGAGGTCCACCAAGGTCTTGAGATGTTCTACATCCTCCAGGGCCACTTTGCCCAGCTTGTACAGGCTGTGGAAGTCGACGGAATGGCGGTAGCGCAAGACGCGAAAGGCGCCTGCTAGGTAGACTTGGTCCTTGTTGAAACAACCTGTGGAGAGATACAATGTACAACAGGTGATTACGTTTTCAAAAAGAAAATAGGAGGGGGACAAACAGGCATCACAGATTCTGAAGAACAGAGTTGCGGTTTCTGTTGAAGCAAGTCAGTTTATAAAAGTGGGTATTTATAAAGCACACGTATCCACCAGGACTGGTGCTCAAGGCGCTACATCATTATTACCCCTGCTCATTGGGCCCATGAAACATTCCAAATACCATTTCAGCTCCCTGGGGAGTATACAGCTCGATGCAGCCTGTTAGCGCAAGAAGCTAATTCTATCACAATAACCATCTCTGCCCTAGTACCCATTTACTCCTGGATGGAGAGAAATAATGAGTGACAAAGTGCCTTGCCAAAGGGCACACGCACCATGACCCCGGGCTGGACTCGAAACCACAACCTACAGCTTTACCCGCCGACCACGAATCCAGTGCCCTTAACCACGGGGCCACGGCACTCCACATAAGCTCTGGAAAGCACCCTGGGCAATGAGTTCCACATGGATGTCATCGTGTGGGGAACAAAAATCCATTTACATGGTATACTTTTTTGTACCCCTGGGGATAGCTCGGCTCACAGCAAGACGAGGCCCGACCAGATATCTTTGAAATAAAGTGCCAAAGGAAGATCTACAGATCTCCTTGAAACAGCATGCGACAAACAAGAGTATCCGGGCCAAAACCAACCCCAGCTCACAAAGGTTTAGGAACAGGAGACTCCAGTTGTTTGGACACGCCCAACATTCTATTAAAAACACAATTCAAAGGAGCCTTTCAACTGGAATCCACTCCATGAAAAGCGAAAGACTGGAAGACCAAAGACAACATGGAGGTCCACGATGCAGCAAGACCTCGCTCGTCTCGACATCCGATTGCCAGTGGAAGAGGCTGCAGTTGCTGCTCAAGACCACAAGACCTGGGACTTTCTCTCACGTCAAGCAGCAGGTGCAGAAATGCATGAAGCCGACCAGGAAATAATTAGTAAGCATGTGGTGAGACTGCAAGCTCAGCCTCACATTGAAACATCTTGGCAAAACTGTTAACAATCACATGCTCAGTCGGCGTCGCGGGCATATCACAAGTCAATTCACAAGTCAGGATGCAAATGACAGGGGCTGGACGGTGACAAAGGAAGGCTGTTATCACATTTCAGTTGAATAGCTTGTGAATTGAATTGAGACTGGATGACTTGTGATGGACTTGTGGTGACTTGCGATGGACTTGTGGTGACTTGTGATGGACTTGTGGTGACTTGTGATGGACTTGTGGTGACTTGTGGTGACTTGTGATGGACTTGTGATGGACTTGTGGTGGACTTGTAATGGACTTGTGGTGACTTGTGATGGACTTGTGGTGACTTGTGTTAGACTTGTGGTGACTTGTGGTGACTTGTGATGGACTTGTGGTGACTCGTGATGGACTTGTGGTGACTTGTGATGGACTTGTGTGGTGACTTGTGATGAACTTGTGGTGACTTGTGATGGACTTGTGGTGACTTGTGATGGACTTGTGGTGACTTGTGATGGACTTGTGGTGACTTGTGATGGACTTGTGATGACTTGTGATGGACTTGTGGTGACTTGTGATGGACTTGTGATGACTTGTGATGGACTTGTGGTGACTTGTGATTGACCGGATTACAACACTGATAAGTATGATTCCAACTTGGAAAGTGTAAGGATAAAAGGGTTATACAGAGGATGGTATGTGTTTTTAGGGATATTCATATTACCCAAGAGTTTCTGACCTGGTTGAGAGGTGTCCGTCTGTCCTCGTTTGGCTCTCAAGCAGTAGTCCCACCGGACCTCCGGATCCTCAATGTAGGTCCCCAGGTCCCGAAACAGATCCGCGAAGGACAGCCTGGAAGCCATGTAGGTGGTGTAGTACAGCATTGCTGAGCGCCACAGGAAGGGTTCCTTTCTGAGTAAGACGCTGTGGATGCTTGCGATGCCCTCTTCAGTCGGGTTGAGAGAGCTGAGGCCGTGCTGCTTGCGGCCTTTTGGCGTGCTCCACGGGTGCTCGCGATTGTTGGCGCTCCGTATGTAATGAGTTCCTAAAAAAAAAAAAGAGAAGGAATAAGCTATGTTAAAGGTTAAGTGGAGCATGTATGTAGCCTTCAATATGTAAAAGATTGCCATTATAAGATGGAATTTAAAGATTGCCATCAGTCTAGGACAGGTATGAATAGTAAATTAACATGTGGTGTCAGTGCAGTTGCATGTCTACAACGGTTCCCAAACCTATAAATGAGACTGACTTTGAAGCTCAACTTTGCTGTTTGCATGGAATGTACGACACAACGACTCTTTAGCTTTGGTATGTGTTTTTAAGTGGCTAAATTTTTCCACTTTAATATAACTAGTGCAGGGCCAGTCGAAAATGTGCGTGTTCGGAAGGGGCAGTTGAGAACTGCAGCTCGTGCAAATAACGCACATTATTCAATGATGTGAACGCACACTCGCAAGTTAAACGCACAAAAATGTCGTCACCCCCCGGCACTGATATTTACCCCTACTGGACAATATGATATCGCCCTACAACTGTAGGGCGTAGTTGTAGGGCGATACCATATTGTATTAGAGTTGCTCAGTCGACCGCCTACATACAGTGCAGTGATGGTTGCTCAGTTGACTACAAAATGCATGTGCCCGTGCATGTCACTCATGTACGAAGACGTGGTGTGCAGTGCTATCGCCCTACAATGTGCCCGTCCTTTTTTCCATTGTTGCGTCATATTAAGCACGCGAGCTCTTGCTCAAACATGACGTAAACAATTGAAAAGAACATCAGTGCGCGGAGTTCTAGGCTATATTCTGGCGCGCTAGGCCTCAGAAAATACTGCTTTTTTGCAGCTTTTTCGACAACCGCTGGTCCAAACCACTTCAAACTTGGCACTGCACATTCTGCTGTCTCGAGCAATATACCCGCAGATTTTCAACTTCATACGGTGCCCGGTTCTGGAGATAATCGGCGGACAGACAGACAGACAGACAGAGATTCCTTGAATTGTAGTATAGATAATAATAATAATTACAAAGCATTTGTAAGGCGCACAGTATCTGACAATCCGCTCCTTTCACAAGTACCCCTTCACCAGCAAAGAAAGCACAGTTGGGGGTGACCGACCGACGCCATCTTGCCCGACTGCAATTTTGCCGCGACGTGCAGCCTACCACTGCACTGCGTGTACATAGTACAAATCCCCTGGTGTACGTGCGTCACACACAAGGAACGATGCGCGTCAAACCAGCTAAATGTCCTGCCCATGAGACATCATTGCTAGGTAAAAGGGCGCCCTCTTTCGTTGGGTCACGAAGCCCATAATAGTCATTCAAAGGCGCCGGATTCAAAGCTGAAACATGCTTCAACCATTTTGCTCCTATACGGTAGTTAGCACAACATTCCCACTGACCATTAAGCAGCACCATGACACTGGCTCCCGGACATTGAATCTTTCAAGCCTACGTTCCATTCCCTTGGGTTTTTATGTATTAATTCTTCAAGCCTTACCTATTTCATGTCTGAGCAGCCCGTCCGACCACTGGGACTTGAGCGCATTGGGTCTGGCGTTGAGCGTCGCTCGTCCGTTTGTCCTACTCATCACCGCACGGGCTACCAGGCTGTCGCTCAGGTTCAGGGCCACCTTGTTGGTAAGGCCTTCCTGGGCCAGGTACTGCTGGAACATGGCTGTGAACTGGGATACGGAGATTGGCTTGCCACCTGTCGTGGCCTCAAAACGTTTATAGGTCTTGAACTTCAGCAGGGTGGCTTGAAAGACTTGGATGGCCTAGTTTGAGGAAGGAAAAGTAAATGTTAAATAAGTTGTTGTACTGCTGGGTTTTAATATCCTTACAGGAAATGGGTTGGCTGAGGTAACTTCAATCAGCAACATTTGTTGGTGGGGATGCCAGTAACTGATAATGTGGGGTGTCCCTTTATATTTCCGCACTAACCCTAACCACCCCAACTCCAACAAAATCCATCCCCCCATTTTGGTGGATTTTGGGGGACTTGGTCCGGCTAGAAGGCCTGGCATGACTCTGATGGGGTGTGAAGGACTTGGGCCTAATGGCCTCAAGCAGTGCTAGGGGTATCCGATTGATTTTGCCTAGCTTCCTGTACCGCTATTGCGATAAAAGCCATGTGTAGCAAGTCCATGAATGTCAACCAGTGCGTCAGTGGTGGATTCCATTACGTCATGTACAGTTTTGTATTGGACGCACAGTGATTGATGGATTTCAATGGACTAGGTCCAGTTCTAAGGTGTTAGGGCTAATGTGAATATCCCTTTATATTTCCGCACCAATGTGAATATTTTTTGCTGTGCAAATGATAAATTAAAATTATCAGCACTGCAATGGTTGCATGATCTCTGGTCTTGGAAACTTTCTGTAAGACAAAGTCATAATGCTAGAACTTCAACTGAATCAACGTTAACAAAAAATGTTGATCTAGTTTGTTGTTCCTTGAATTTCAGCAAGGTTAGGGTAGCCTTTACTTTTTCGACTACTGAGGGAGTAGGGGTAGGGTTAAGGGAGGCGGTCAGGTTGGGGAACGATTGAACACTCAGGAGAGTTTTTACACACCGGCTGAATCAACTTGTCGGTTGCCTTGTTGTATCTCTCCAGAACGCCTGCTGAGGGCGGACTTCGGTAACTGAACTGTGGATTATAGTCAAAGCTGCTCTCAAAGAATTTCTGCTTCTCGTGTTCCACATTGTCCGGCGTTATCGCCGCAAGGATTGGGACAGCTCTCGGTTTCTTCGCCGGCTTACTTGACAACTTCTGTCCCTGATCTCCATGCTTAGAAGTCGAGTCGGTTTTTGGTTTCCGTCGAGTTGGTTGGTTCTTGGCGCCGGCACTTTGGGAAGAGTTGTGGGAGATTTTACGGCAAGGTTTGGTTGGCTGTGAACGGCTGTGCGTACTACTGGAAAGAATCGGCAGTTTGATGTCTTGGGAAGCTGAACGTGAAGAACTTGACAGGGTTTGATCGCTTAAATTAGGTCTCTGTGCTGTGGCTGGTTCCCTGTGATTGCGGTCGATGCTACCTGATGACTGACTGTGGCGGCTTGAGACCGAGGACTTCCTGATGTTGGGGTCTTTAGGAGCAAGAACAGTTCCCCAGGCCATCTTCCTGTCTCTTTTACTGACTGTTCTTTGTCTGAGAGGCACCACACTAATCTGTTCTTGGATTACCTGTTGTGTTGAAAGACAAAAATACTTACCCCTTTAGTCATTTTACATTGTTTAGACATACATACATGTATCTGTTAAACCTACACTTCACTTTAATCTGCCAAAATCTAGCACATGGTTTTGTTTTATTTTGATTAATTCAGGACCCCACAGCAAAGGCTATTCCTTTTTCAACATTTTATGAAATTCTTCACAAATTCTGGTTTTTATTTTTAAATGTTCATACAGGCCTAGGCCTCTATCTCCCCCAAATAAAAAAAAATGTTCAATGTTGATACACATTTACAGAGCAGTGAGTCAGTGTTTTGTACAGAAATTTTCGTTACGGATTACAGGATTTTAATGCCACCTCTTCACAGTGTGAGGATCAGTTTTGAAAATTTGAAGTACAGTCATTTTCCTAGTTCCGGATAGCAAACATCATTCAGGCTGCTTTCGGCTCAACTACTCCATGAATTCAAGTGACATTGGTTTAAAAGTTTAACTTGAGTGATGGAGATACTACAAAATAGTTTTCAAAATTTAAGCTTTTTTTATTGTGACTTTACGACGTCAAAAGTACCGATGCCACTTTTCCTAGTTCCGGATCGGTTCAATCAGTTCCGAATCGATCAAAAACTGATTCGCGCGAAAAAAAAATCACGCGAGAAAATCAAGTTTTCAGCCAGAACCACCCCAAATCAAGCACATTTTCTGATAAAGTATTATTTAATTTTCCAAAAATAGTTAATTGAAGAGAATTCCAGCAAATTTCCAAAAGAGAATTAACATAAATAATGTTGAAACTTTTGTCTGCAGCGCAACGGCACGAACTCACGCACGGACTGAAAACCTTGCACACGGCACAGAATACGTCACACAAAATCGATTAACGCGCGTGTAGTTGGGTCGTAAGTGCACGCGCGATCCGTAACTAGGCAAAAGCATACGGTCATTCGTTTGCAAATTTTCAAATATTAGAGACGCTACAACTTATTTTGATTGAACAAACATTCGATGGAAGAGTTTATACGATTACGATTGTAGTGAATGAAAAAAATATTCGAAACCACACGGTACGAGAGATATACCTAGGTGAAAATTTATCGTCGATTCGCAGCTGCCGTGATTTTCTTTAAACCGTCCAAACATGTTGAAGTGCGAGTCGGAAATCTGGCCAAAATTCCTTTTCTAAGGATTTTATCGAAAACGATCTTTGGGTATCAAGAAGCTTACATATTCCTTTTCAAAATGCACTCCGTCAGAATTTGTTTTATTGGAGACTAATCCAAACGAGGTAGGTTTTTATTTGAAGCGATCCGGAACAAGGAAAAATCCGGAACTAGGAAAACGACTGTATTTAGTTGGCCCTATAATATATTAAAATAATTAAATAAGGCAAAACTTTGTTGATTATTTTATAAAAAATAAAACACACCAGTCTTGTACAAAAACTACAGGTTACCAACTACAGGTTACCAACTCCAGATATTAGGCTAGCTTTCTTTTTCTTTGCATGTAACATACCATGGGCACTTGCCGCAGTAAAACCTCATCCTCTTCTTCATCACCGTGACCTAGGACCAGACCTAGGCCGCCTGGAGATTCGGGCGGCTGTCCGTTGCTAGGGCCTCGCGTCCGATCTTGCCGATGCCGAAGGCGAAGCTTCTTTCCACGCCCCATTTTTCTCCAAATTACATAGGAAAGTCGCGGCTGAAGAACCCCACGAATTCGAGAGGTATAGACCTACTGTAGCATATCATCCATTGCACGAAATGAGGTGAAATTCTCGGAGAATTTGGTCAGAAAGACGTTCCTTCGTAGTCGTCGTACAATGTTTTTGTTTATACCAAATCTGCGCTAGCGCCCTCTGCAGGGCTAGTTTTTCACCTTTCATTTACATACAGCGGTACTTGAACACCGCCCTCTATCGGTTATAAACGTCAACTACACGTTGTTATAAGCCACCTGATCCTAAAATGAGCTTATGTTTAGAATTTCTAATTCCAAAGCCTTTCTCATCTAATTCAAGTGCAGTAGTTTCCCCCTCTTTTTATACAAAAAAAATGACAGAAACGAATTCATGATCGGAATATATTTCAGCCGCATTTGCTTTGCAGAGAACTTAGTTTCTGATAATTAAATTAAACATCATAACATTGACACTGAGAATTTCAGAGATCTGGCTCCAAAAAGAGTTGAACAGGACTTAAATTCAGGTTTTTCAGGAGTTCCGATATATTTCTTCAAGTGAAACTGCTATTTAGAATGCTACATAAACACAATCAATCAAAAACAAAAAAAGTTTAAATTAAAAATCAGTATACTCCCCGATTAAAAGTTTTACAGCTTAACAGCTAGTTTATTCATTTTAAAGTCAAATCATGATACAAAACAACCGACCACCCGTAATCTATTGTGACTACAACTAGTACAAAGACTTTTTCATTGACTTTGAAAATGTGGACCTTTTGGAATGCCTCATCTGGAGCATTCCATGTCTAGTACGTGGCTATAAAGTTTGCAACAAGAAATACAAGTTTTCCCAGCTCAAGCTCAAAATGGAAGCTTTTCCTGAGTAAGTGTGAATACGTCTACACATATCACTGTTCAAAAGTTGTGCTAAATATTGCAGGAAAACTTAGGCCAACTTTAAAGGTAATATTGAGGGTGAGTGAAAAACGAAAGCGACCTGGAATAATGATTTTTCCCCCACGGTAAAAAGCAATCAAATTTGATTCCATTCATCTGAAAAGAGAAAGAATATAATCCATGCTATCAAAATCTATGCATGTTTTACAAAGTAAAAAAAGAACCTATTTTCATAGTTTTCCATGGAATGTCATTTCTGAGTTAGAATTACAGATTACACGTACACACACAGGCATTCAAATACAAATGAGATTTTAATCATTTTGAGTTGAGACTCTGAAACATTATTATAACTGTCAGACTGTTTGTTTTGAGAAACAACCGAGTCAACTCTTTCTTTTTGTCTTTTTAAAAAATATTGATGGTGATTTTCAAGTTTTCGTTCATTCATGGAGGTGGGAAAACATCCGTGTTTCATTAGGCCGACTATCGTTGGAAATGATACAAAAATCGACCTTTCTTGAAAATGACAGCACATCATGATGAGAAGCCGTGATTTATAACAGGATGCTTGCAACTATTGTTCGCTTACTGTCAAGTGAGATTCTTCATAATAATTTGATATTTTTTTATACCAATGTTGTATACTATCTTTGAAGAGAATATACAACATTTGCAAACATTGAAAAACAAAACCAACAAATTTTTACGAAATACCTTACTAGGATGTTGGTAAATGACAGTCTAAAGCATCCTGTAAAATTATGGCACCTGGTGTGAAGTCATTTTCAAGAAAAGTGGTATTTTGTATAAATTTCCAACGGTGGTTGGCCGACCACCGTTGGAAAAACCTAACTATTTTTCAACTACTGCTCCAAATTTACCATTTTTTTTTCCAGTCCAAATTGTGTTTGCTATTGGTTACATGTTCATGAATGGGTGCAGGCCAGCTAGACTGGTTCCCTTACCTTACAATTTTCTGGCATCTATAAATTGATCCATTTCATCTTTAGTGGAGTCAGGGAACCAGACTACTTAAACATTTTTGTTTTTCTTGGTTTTTCCAGCATTTTCCCTCAAATAGTTCATTTCTGAAAATTATGGCACAAGCCAATCATGTACATTCCCTAATAAGCATAGAGGCCAAAATGGTTGAAGGGATTTTTTTTCCTCAAAGGATAGGGTGTTCATTAATATAAATTACTACAGTCAGTTCTGTAAAGTAGATCGACAGTGGCTCCATATTTAGAACCAAGTTGTGCGCTTAGTAGTATTATGGAATAGGGAACGTTCAAATTCCTGAGAGGCAGATTGAAAAAAATATACAACTCTCACTCTTAATTTATTTTTACAAATTTGAATGCTGACATTTTAACCTGATGTTCATTTGAAAGCTGAAGTTTGAAAAACCATAAAACAAAAAGAAAGAAATAACTTTTTATTTACTTAAAGGTTACCATACATTAACGCTTACCATACAAATCCAAATGAATGTACATTTTCAAGTTATTTTAGTATTTGAATACAACCTGAATATACAATGTAGAATAAGCCATTTGCGAGTAACCTATACCCTTTGGGATTTACATTTCAATAACATCTGGTACACTGACTTGCTCAGAATGCTTGGCACATTTTAACTTTGAATTCTCCAGACCAAAGACACTGTTGCTAATCACATGATTCGGGGCAAGCTCTTGCAGTTACGTAAGAGACGCTCAGCATCAATACATCGCTCACAATGGGTGAGAATGGCACAAAGACACCAGACCATGCCAGAGCTGGGTGTTGCTAGCATAAGGCTTGCCCCGAATCACGTGATGTAGTAACAGTCTCTTTAGTCGGGAGAATGCAAAGTTAAAATGTGCAAAGCATTGGATTAAGTCAGCGTTCCAGATTTTATTCAAATTTAACTCGCAAATGGCTTATTAGGAATATAAAAGAGAAAAATACTGCAAGTTAACTTGCGCGATCCCCCTGGTATGCTGACAGTATTGATACAGTACATATAAGTTAGTATGCACACTTTTCAGTGTCAACCAACATCAACAATGACCTCATTTGACCCCTAGATGACATTTGACCTGAAATGTCTTCAGTCATCTTAAATCCCCCTATCCAAAGATTATTGTCAGCAAAATTGGTTGAGAGTGAAATCTGACTTTTCATGACGGCACTTTTCAGTTTACCTTACCCAAGAAAACCAATGACCTTATTTGACCCCTAGAAGACCTTTGACCACAAATGTCTCAAGTCATCTTAAGTCCCCCTACCCAAAGATTATTGTCACCAAGTTTGGTTGAGATTGAAGTCTGACTTTTCATATGACAGTACTAAACAGTTAACCTAATCAAAATGTAACACACGGACTGACACACACACATGTTTACGTTACATACCAAGTGTGGACATTTCATTGCTTCCGTGTAGTTAAGAAAAACCAGTGAAAAAACTCATTTTTCTCAAACTGTGAAAACTCTTTCAACCCATTTTTTTTTCTATGATCTTCATTCTGCCACAGATAAACCTAACCCCAAAATGCCTCTAAACCTGTTTTCCAGAAATGGGGAAACGACGTCACCTCTACCTGGTTTATGTGGACCTCTTTTGTTAGGAAGTCCACACAGTGAATGTAATGCCTACCCATAATGACACACGTAACGACACACAGACACACAGAAGGAATACACTATCACATATCCCTCTTTCTGGCTTATGCCAAAGGAATTAAAAAAAGAGAAACATGCATAGTGTATTTCTGAAGAGGAAAATCATACATTTTGAAACAAAAGATTCCAATTTAGAACTGCAAAACGCTAAAGAATGGATGTTTGAGTTTGGCCACGCCTTTCAGATCAAGTAACTCGATGAGGACTAAACATTCCACCACCCTGCCCTCCATTTTGCTGATAAGCTCCACGGCCGCACTCATGGTGCCTGCAAAGAAAAATAATAGGAAAAGCTGAGAAACTAAAACTTACCAGTGACATGTAGGAGGGTAAGGCCAAAAAAAAAGTCTCCGGTTTCTGGTATGGAGCTTGTCCAAAAAGTGGTGCGGCGATGCGGCTTTTCTTTTTTTTTTACCCGACTTTTTTGCTTCAAATGTCGACTGATGACTGCAAATGGTGCCCGACTAAACTTAGAGCAAATATATGGGAGTCCAGAGAGGCCACATAAAGCTTATTCTCGATCAAAACCCCATCTAAAAACACGTTAAAATTGTGCAGCAGCAGGATTCCAGTCAAACCAGTGAGTTTGGCGGTTTTGAGACATCATCTTTCATTGAATTTTTTTTTTTCATTTTGCCGACGCGCATGGCTACGGCGACACGCGCGCATACCAGAAACCGGAGACTTTTTTTTTTTGGCCTAACCAGTGACAAGTAGGAGGGTAAAGACAACCGTTTATTATTTACTAGATCAGACCAGAGAATTCTATTGAAGGTTTAAAGTGTTTTCTTCAACATTTCTGAGTTCTGTCCTTGGATGATATAACTATTCTGATTGGTCAAAAGCATAGAGCTACATTAAATTACTAGAGCGCTAACTCGATGTACAAAGTAATGCCTGATGGGCGCATCCATGCTTGTGCACAAACCTATGGAAAACTCGTAATTTTGTACGGCTTTTGTACGGCTATTTGCATATCTGCGTTTGTATTCCATACCCGTGCATCATCGAAGCCGATACGCCCAAAACCGAAATGCACGATCAGCAAATGAGCGTTTCAGTTTGCTCTACGCAAACAGCGCAACGTATGCGCGTCCCTCCGCTGCAGATGCTTTTCGCCGTGACGTTTTTTGAACCGTCATGACGCGCTTAAGTTGTTTGCGTATGTTCTACTTGCGCTTTGCATTTAGAGTACACTTTTAAAATTCAATCCATCTATTTTGACTGTGTTCTACAAACACGCACATAAATTCAAAATGTCTGCGCCCAGAGCGGCTTCAAAGCATCTCCGCGCGCAAGAATGAGGAGTTAGCGCTCTAGTAATTTAATATAGCTCTATGGTCAAAAGCCACTGGATAGGCTTTTAAAGGGTTCATGACATGAATTTTACTTGGGAAATATTTTGTGTAACTCTTAAACGTATGAAAACTTGTTGACATCCTTTTTGGTTAATCTTACTGAAATGCGCACCTCTTTAAACAAGTTTTTCTCAGTTCATGATTTTCCTTACAAATTCCCAACGCTTGACTAGGTTTAGGACATTACTTATACTTAGTGACACAGTCAGACAGTCAGTCAGTCGGTCAGTCGATCGGGGAGTCGGTCGGTCGGTCGGGGAGTCAGTGGGTCAGGGACTCAGTCAGGCAGAGGACAGGCAATAGGCTGACTCTTTGGATCCAGTTAAACTGACAACATGGTTGGGACTTATTAACCAGTTCACGCTGGGATTACTTTGACAAGAACGGAACGAGGCGCGGGATTACTTTTCAATCGACCTCAAGCCAGGCGGGTTGAAGCCATCACCCTCGGGCAGGACATTCATATTTCCGGACCCACTCGCTGAGAGCGGGTCACTGACAGATATTTTCAGCCTCGCTCGTTGCGTGTTTATCCGTCATCCGTTCTGAATACCGCAAAACCTTTGCGTGTATACACGGCCTCCAGTGTGAGCTGGTTAAAGGGGTGACCCCAAAAATGAAAACTACAATGCCTACCTCCCGTGGCTATCAGGTCGTCGACTATAACCACTTTCTGACCTGGTTTGATAGCCTCTGCCTGGGCCTCCATAATGTCCTGCAAAACAAAATGGTACGCTCAGGTTATCCTTCTCCTCTGGAACTATGTGCCGGTGTCATTCACACTTACCCCCCGGCTGGTCAGGGTGATTGCTGATTGGCTGTCAAGCCATACTTGCAAAAATTATGCACATGTCAACTACTCAGCTCACACATTTTGAATAAACACAGTGCGTAACACATTGGTAAGTTATGAAATTATCTAAACAAAATCTAAATCAAGTCTTGGACTAAAGACTTCCCCCAAACCCTTTCATGACAGCAACACGAACAGTCAGCCTACCGTGCCGTATTCCAGGAGGTACGATGCCTGTACACACTTGCCAGGCAGTTTGCCCTTTTTCCTGATTGGAACAAAGGAGCAGCCTAGCTGGACAGACATCATGGGTCCGAACAGGAAGCCTCGGGCCTCCAGACCTATAAGGACACAAATAATGATTCAAAACTTGACTTACAGGCGGCGTCCGAATTACTTGACTACAGCTTACAATTGACCTATCGCGGTAGAATCCCGCTAGAATCGCGTCAGTGCAGCTGGTGAAATATTGTCCAATTACATGATATACAAATGGACGCGGAACGCGCAAAATTTGAGACAAAGGAAAGATTTCCATATAAGAAGTTCACTCAACACCCTGTGTACAAACCCTATGAGATTGGACTGAAAAATTCTAAGTGTTTTCTAAGAAAATGCTTGTATATTCTCACTGCTCAAATTGACTTTGATGACATGAAATTGCTATCTGGGGGCTTGTTAGTCCATACAGAGGAAAATTAGTGAACTTCTTATATGGAAATCTTTCCGAGACAAACAAAACTTAGGGTACGAAAATTCCATAGGGTTGTCTAAGGGGCGTGGCTAACTCGCAAATGGGGATATGTCAATTACACGTGCATATATGGAAAAGGCTGAAGCCACTTCTACGTGATCCATAGTTTTTACAATTTTGTTAAATTTATTCACAAATATTAACCATAACCTTCCTAAATCCTCCAAAATGCTCTGTGCAAAATTGAGGATTTGGAGGAGTGAGGCCTATATGGCAAAATTGTGCAGCTGATTTTGGAGGATGCACTGTGTCAAGGTCTGGGGTCGGACCTTGTTTTGTTTAAGCTCAAGCTGTGCATAAAGTTAGGACTAGATTATACTTGAAATCCTCCGCACTGCTCCAGAATGTCACTGGCTCTGCCTTGAGGATTTTGCAGGATTGAGGCAGTGGTCATCCCTCCAAGGACCGCATTCAAGAAAAAAACAGATGATTTTGGAGGATTGAGGCTGTATGCAATTTTAAATGGAGGCAGTTGGAGGATTTTGCAGAATTGAGATTGAATCCAAACGTTAAAGCTCTGAATATGAAGATGATTTAACTATTTCAGTTGTATATTCTACCCTAGAAGGATTCTCATTTATTAGGCCTACATTTGATAAAAAAAATCCTCACCTACAATTACATCGACAGAGCCAATTTTATCCTTGATATGCTCAACCATGAGGGAGACAGCATCTGAAAGCACCGCTGGATCCTTAAACAATGGAAAGATGTCCCTGTGGAACCAAATAGGGGAAAAAAGCCTTAAACAGTTTTAGGCAAAACGGATATTGACAAGATACTGATGTTGCTCAGATGAAACTATGTGTCCCAAACTCCACATAACATTTTGTAGGAGGAAATCACAATTTTTTTCTAAAACGATGAATTTCATATAGGCCCCTATTCCATTTTGATAGCATTGTATTTTTAAAAGTATTTTTAAAAGTCTTGTAAACAAAAGATAGTGGATATTTTGCCGGAGGTAATGACGGCAAACTAACGTTTACTAAAGGTTTGCTGACGGCAATCCATATCAACAGAGGGCGCTGTACTCTTTAAGATAGGGCTGAATTATAAGATGTATTAAATTCCCACCAAAAGTTGTGTAGCACGTTTGGTGTAGTGGTTAAGCAAAGGCTCTAGTAAGCGGGATGACTCGGGTTTGATTCCGACCGCAGCACATTTTTAATTTTTTTTTCTCATCCCCAAATAAATAAGAATATTCTTCTTTTATTATTTTAACATTTTTTTGCAGAGTATTACATTTTCTTTTTCAGATTTGTGGCGCTGGAGGATTTTTTTTAAAAGGGAAATAAAGTCCGATATTATAAAATGGTCTGAATCCCATCTTGTGAATACGAGGTTACAACGATAATTTTGGCATGGAGCCAGACTAAAATTTACAAAAAGTACAAAAAACCAGTAACTGCGCATGTTCAGTGCATATCCGGCAAACTAACGTTTACTAAAGGTTTGCCGTCTCCGGCAAAATATACACTGCCTAAACAAAACTACTCCAATTCCCATGGAAATCCAATGGAAATCAGATATATCACAGCTCTGTTGGCGAAAGCCCCACTTGTGTGGCCTCGGTATTGCTGCGCTGTACGTTCGGCCACACGTCTGGTTTTCCAATCTACTGAGGAGTTTAATCCAAAACCGGCGCACCTATTTTTTTTACATACCACTGCATACGGTTGTATTCTATGATGTCTCATCTTTTGCCCTCCGGGTAGATTAGGTAATCTTTCTTCAAATTTTTCGAGAAATTTAGACATTTTCCTGGAGTCCTTATGTGCCAGGGTCAGACTAAACTAGATTGGGAAACCGGACGTGTGGCCTAACGTACAGCGCAGCAATATGGAGGCCACACATGTGGGCTATGTTGGCGATTGTGTAGAACTGAACGGTCCCCTTAAGTTTTGGACAAATCAGACTCATTCAGAGTCAAGGATTGTTTTTTAGGGAATTGTGTAGTTTAGGACCCTCTTCCCATAATGAGAACGAAGACATTTTATGTTTTGGGGCTTACTAGTACCTAAACATTTGGCGTCGGGACAAATACAATGAAATAGGTCACTAAGAATACCATTTTAAATAGGCAGTGGATATTTTGCCGGAGACGGCAAACCTTCAGTAAACGTTAGTTTGCTGGATATGCACTGAACATGCGCAGTTACTGTTTTTTTGTACTTAAACATTTTCCGGTGACAAATTCTAGTCTGGCTCCATGCCAATATTATCGTTGTAACCTCGTATTTACAAGATGGGATTCAGACCATTTTATAATTTCGGACTTTATTTCCCTTTTACAAAAAATCCTCCAGAGCCACAAATCTGAAAAAGAAAATGTAATACTCTGCAATAAAATGTTTGAGACATGTTAAAATAATAAAAAAAGAATATTCTTATTTATTTGGGGATGGGAAAAAAAACCTTAAAAATGTGGCGGAGATCGGGATCGAACCCGAGTCATCCCGCTCACCAGAGCTTTTGCTTAACCACTACACCAAACGTGCTACATACACAGCTTTTGGTGGGAATTTAATACATCTTATAATTCAGTCCTATCTTAAAGAGTACAGCGCCCTCTGTTGATTGATATGGATTGCCGCCGGCAAACCTTTAGTAAACGTTAGTTTGCCGTCATTACCTCCGGCAAAATATCCACTATCTTACAGTAGAAAATAGGCCTAGTAAGTTGTATTCTAGTAGCACAGGGCTATATTTTTATCATTTTTGTACCACTTTTTGTTCAAAAACAAATAATCTCGCAAACCTGAACAAAACTCCCGGCTTGGGGAAATCTTGGATTGCAGTGATGGCACCCTTCACGCGCGATATCCTCGTATTTTCATCACCCATGGCGAAAGAGCTGGTCCAATTTGTACAGGAGAATTTGACAACTTCGCTATAACTACCTAACTAACTGCAGGCACACAGATGCAGCCCAGCTAGCTAGCTAGCTCGAAATTTTTCTCGACATCAGCTGTTCCTATCTCGTGCGGAACATACTTGCCACTAGAGGGCGGTATACTGGGTTGAATAGTATACTTGTGCATCTGCCAAGCTAGGTTGATGAGTTTTGGGTCATTCATTACATTATTGAGAATTTGATTTCATCGAATTTCGTATGAAAAATACCACTTCTTTTTTGTGTAAACCAGTCCTTTTATTTTTTTTAAATAAATTAGTCCTTTTATTTTTTTGGGGTCATTTCTGTTTTAGCCTCTGAAGAAGAATTTGCTAAGTTCGCAACGTCAGGCCACATTAATTTTTAGATTTTTTTTTTTTGTGTGTTATCTTTTGACAAAAAAAAGGTGAAAACTCTATATCAATATCTACACGTCCAAAAAATCACCGTGGCTACAATGAAAACCATTCAATCACATCACCATCTTCACGTTGAAAAACAAAATACATCTTAAGATAACAATAAGAAAACGACCGGAAAAGTCCTGAAATGAAAGTATACAATAATACCGTTTTCGTTCACATAGGCCTACAAGTAAATAGCAAATCTTCCCTTGCACTAGTCTCGGTTTTGTTTCTGTGCCAAATATGGGTATGGTCATTCTTTTCAGTTCGATACAGATGCAGAGGTTAAAATTACGGCATGATTTTATAGGTAAAAAAGAGAAACCTAATAAATGCTGTGACAGGTAGGCCTACAGCAAGCGTATAGGAAGTTTGAAGTTACAACGTTCTAAGAGGGAAAATCTATCGAAATATATCCAATATTGGTTGGGTTTGGTTCAGTTTGTTTTGAATATGTTTTGTTTTGCAAACGATGATGTACAAACTCCACAACCTTTGTATACTCGTTCAGTTATGACGTAAGGAGACGTGCAAGTTACTAGCTGTAAAACTAAGGCTAAATTTAGGGCAAAAATCAATATTATATCGATATACTGATGGCAATCAATAAATCGACTAGCCATGCTCTCAAATGTCTCTCATAAGGAGTTTTGGCAGTCAGATGTCGAAATTATAGCAAGACTGGTCCATTATCTTGTTATTTTGGCCGGCGTCAATGCTGATGTCATTCAGTTGACAGATCTTCTCTCCGCGGCTGACCTGTCGCAGATTGAAGGAGCGGCATCGAGGCTCATCCCGGCACGCCGAACCACACGCGATGACACCCTTGGTGGTGGAGAACTCCTTGATGACGTGACCGGTCAGGCATTGGGATGTGAGGCGGCCATCAGCGTCGGTCTTCAGGCAGAATGTCGACGGGGCAGCGAACTTATTGACACCAACTGGGTCGACAGTAGACTCGGTATCGACTGGGTCGACAGTAGATTTGGTATAGACTGGGTTGACAGTAGACTCGGTATCGACTGGGTTGACAGTAGACTCGGTATCAACCGGGTTGACAGTAGACTCGGTATCTACTAGGTTGACAGTAGACTTGGTCTCGACTGGGTCGACAGTATACTCGGTGTCGAATGGATTGACAGTAGACTCGGTGTCGACTGGGTTGACAGTAGTTTCGGTATCGACTGAGTTGACGGTAGACTCGGTATCGACTGGGTCGACAGTAGACGCAGTATCGACTGGGTTGACAGTAGACTCGGTATCTACTAGGTTGACGGTATACTTGGTCTCGACTGGGTCGACAGTAGATTTGGTATCGACTGGGTTGACAGTAGATTGGGTATCGAGTTCACAAATAGCGTAAAAGATATGCGCACACGGGAAATCAAGCCAGATGTGGTCGTACATTTTCCAACATGCGCAATGGTCAGTGTAATCTCTTGGACAACCATAACACCAGTTAGTGTTCTCACACGGAGTACCATCGGAATGAACCCACTCGCCCGATGGTGTCATGGAGCAGTCGATCCACAAATGGTTATTGGCTCCAACCTCTCCATTGACCATGTCATAGATGAAATCTTGCTCGCTCTCTGAACCAGGGACCCACAAACCGCCTCCTATGCCAGTGCAGGTAAGTTTAGCTTCTGCCCACTCCATCAGTTCGTTTGTCAGACAGTAGCCCGTACCACTAAACCACTCCCAGTCAGGACAGAATGCATCTGCTCCAACACAGGCGAGAACGATCACAAATGCCATCAAAGGCGCCATTTTTCAGCTTTTGCAAGAATAACGTCGTCAATAATCAACTATACTCGGTTCGAGACTGTGTCTTATGTCCTCTCGAGCCACGGCTGCGTTTGAACAATGACTGTCACAGTAGACACGAAAAATTTCGTCTATGACGATCGAGTTGAAATGGAGAAATTCATCAGAACGCGTCAAAGACGTTCAGGTTATTGTGCGCCTTCAATGTGACTGATATCGCCACAATTTTCTCCAACAGACACGATACCTGCCCGTTCAATTTCATACGCAGACATCTTGAGACGCGATGGCCGTAAAATTGCAAAAGGTAGAGTTGGTTGTAAAACAAATTAAAATAAAATAATAATCGATAAAGTAATTTCACTGTAAGAGAACTGCGCGGTCTGGGCGTGCAACTAACAATAAAAAATGAATGGCTGATTTCATTTTGTGGAGAAAAAATGATGGAGTCCTTATATTGTCACTGTTGACAGGGCTAGCCTGTTGTCTCTGTAAGAAAAGAAACTGCGCTAGAAATATTAGTCAAGGATGTTTCGCTTTAATATAAGAACCAGAATGAATAGAATCAAGCAACCAATCAGAATGGGCGAGGTGGCCATTGATGCCGAGTATATAGCTATCTGTTAATAATGACGTCAATGGAGAAGGGCGGGGCAGCGGGGTAGAAGGGGGTGTTGATGATTCCCAAGTTAAAATAAAATGCTATCAAGACATCATCAATGTACTTTATAATGTACAGTTTAACTTCTTTTCTCATGATTAGTTTTCCTTCAGAATGTGCTAGACGAATATTTTATCCTCGAGGCCAAATTTTCCAATCAAACTGATGCCACATACGTTATGAAAATTATTTGAACGTCCGAATATTTACGACAAAAAAAAATGTTTGTGCAACGCTTTTAATTTTCCTCTATCATTTAGAAGAAGACGGAGATGACGTCATATCATCCATGGGCGTCGCCAGGATTTTTTTCTAGAGGGGGGGGGGGGGGCAAAACATATTTTTCCCAAAACATTCTTGTGTTTCTCAACAAATTCTCGATTTATAAGTATTAGAGGGGGGCAGGGACATTTTGCCCCCCCCCCACAACTCATTAAATTTACACCACTATGACCTCGCGCCTCTTTTGTTTGTTTGTTGTTTTTTTTGCTTTCTGGGGGGGGGGGGGGGGGGGGCAAGCGCCCCCCTTGTCCCCCCTTCGCGACGCCCATGATATCATCTAATGCGCGCAGACGCGGTTCTACGGGGGGGGGGGGGGAGGGTGGCGCAAGGGTGGCTTTAACCCACCCCCCCAAAAAAAAAAATTAGGTCTAGCCCCCCCCCCCCCCCAAAAAAAAAATTCTATTAAAAAAATAGCAGTAGCAACATGTTTAGGTGACGTCACATGCGATCTGTCTCTCCTAAAAAAAAATAGTCGTGAGAAGGGGCATTTGTACACTATTATAATGCATGATTGTAAGATTTTATCAGCGCTCCCCATTGAAAATATGGTACAAGTACCCCCACCCCCTATTGATTTTCGGAGGCCTAAGCCGTTTGGAGAAAATAACCTAGCAACGTTTCAGTTCGCCTCCCTGCAAAAAATTCTGGATCCGTCCCTGCTAGCCCCCTCCCCCCCCCCCCCTAACATATAGGCTCTAGAACCGCGCCTGAATGCGCGTCCTCGGCAAAAAACAATGATAATCGAAATCATTAAATAAAAAAAATAATTATTATAAAAAAACCCGAATAACTAACTAACTAAACAATCAGTCAAAGTATCTAAAATGTTCAGTGACTAAAGACACAATTTTTTTTGCTAAAACTTCACAATGTTTAAAACATACACTCCTGATATATATACACGCGAGGATATTTTAAATACTACAGCTATACAGGGTGAGTAAAAAAACAAACCGAAACCCAAATGTCGGGACCATTGTTTAAGTGAAGTTCTAAATGTAGCACTTTCAAAATCTAGGATATAAAAGCTCAATTCATAAGCTTTCTTTTAGGACAATAATCATTCAAATCACTTATGTACTTATCAAGTTATGGAGTTTTCAACACAACCACCGTTTTAAAGTTCTGTCCACGGATTACAAAACGGTAAGTGTTCTTTCAGCAAAACGAAAACAAATCACATAGGGATACGTGTGAATTGTTGTCGTTTTGCTGAAAGAACGCACACCTTTTGTGTGATCCGTGGACAGAACTTTAAAACGGTGGTTGTGTTTAAAATTCCATAACTTGAAAAGTACTCAAGTGATTCGAATGAATCTTGTACTAAAAGAAAGCTTATGAATTGGGCTTTTATACCCTAGATTTTGAAAGTGCTACATGCAGAACTTCGCTAAAACAATAGTCCCGATATTTTGGTTTCATGTTTTTTACTCACCCTGTATACTCCCTTTTAAAAAATTTTTGCTGACATTAATATTGGGGATTACGTGATTTGTCACATGATTATCTTTAGATTGACCTGAAAATGATATTTGACAGCTTTGGGACAAATTGCGATTATCTTTGGAAATTTCTCCTCTTTTCAACATCGTGCGCGTTTGGTATTGTCCATAAATTATTGACAATTTATTTATTGCACGAGACCCAAGGGCGGATGGGGGGGGGGGACCAACGGGGGCAATGGCCACCCCCCCCGGTCCCCCAAAAAACCCAAACCGAACCCATTTTTTTTTAAAGTGACGTCGCAATAAAGGCAGGCACTGCTTACCCTACCATCTTTTCCTTAAAAAAAATGGTCAAAGTGGTCAGAAATTGCCACAGAGCATCTGAGCGGGCCCCGAACCCCACGCGTAATTTTTGGACCCACTTTTGGGTGGATCAAGAAAAAATTGCAACCCCAAAAAATTGTATTCTGGATCTGC